TTGGCCGTTGGCCGTTTGCGATTTGGCCGTTGGCCGTTTGCGATTTGGCCGCTGGCCGTTTACGATTTGGCCGTTGGCCGTTGGCCGTTTGCGATTTGGTCGCTGGCCGTTTGCGTTTTGGCCGTTGGCCGTTTGCGATTTGGCCGTTGGCTGTTTGCGATTTGGCCGCTGGCCGTTGGCCGTTGGCCGTTGGCCGTTGGCCGTTGGCCGTTGGCCGTTTGCGATTTGGCCGCTGGCCGTTGGCCGTTGGCCGTTGGCCGTTGGCCGTTGGCCGTTGGCCGTTGGCCGTTGGCCGTTGGCCGTTTGCGATTTGGCCGTTGGCCGTTTGCGATTTGGCCGTTGGCCGTTTGCGATTTGGCCGGTTGCCGTTGGCCGTTGGGCGGTGAGCGATTTCGCAAATCGCGACAGCTTTAGAAAGTTTGAAAATTGCAAAAAAATTGTCGACGTGGGCGATTTTCTTTCCCGTTGCAAAATTTTAACTCGCACCGCTCAGCAATAGGAGTTATAGAAGATCACTTTCAACATTCGTGCTCTTAAATCTCTGCTAATATTTTTCTCTGCTATACCGGGAACACATTCACGACGCCAATCCGATGTACGCGACCTTCACGGAAGCTTTGATCTTGGGAGACAAGGTCGAACCGGACCAGAACTGTGCCATGTGCCAGGCGATGAGCGGGGTGGACCGGTTCGAAATTTACGCGGACCGTAACCAAATGATCTGGTGTGCCGCCAAGGTGAAGACTTCGGCCTACACCAAGCAGGAGCCCATCAACGCGAAAACTCTGTCGGTGTACATTCGGTGGCCGAAGTACAAGGACGGCGCTTCTTGCAAGGACTCCCTGTACTTCGACGCGGGTTGCAAGGACCTGTACAACCTATCCTCGTGGAAACTTGATGATTTTTTGCGCTAGCATAGTACTACTTTTGCCATGATCTTGTTTGATATAATACGACGAGCAAGAAAACTGATGGATTTAACTGATGGATCATTTATAATCTGTATCTTGATCTTTTAGCAGGAGCGGCCGTAGAAGCACACCTGCAAAGGTGTCCTCGACTATGAATTTTTGTAGAGATGGCCATGTTGGCCTTGATGGCCTAAAGCATGTGCATAATACAATAGAGGCATGCGTTTGCGTTCCTTCTTTGTACCTCAAGAGGACGAAGAAAGTGTACGAAGGAGCATAGAGATAAAGACAAGGAAGAAGAACAAGAAAGATGTGGGATGATGATCACCTGCACGTGATCACAAGATGAAACAGAAACTATAACTACGTGGTGGTGTACTATAAACAGAATTTTTATGCTAGCACAGTTTTTTTTCAGTGTGATACACGAACGGCGAGGACAAGTGCGTGGGGGAACCGAACTGGGCCGAAATGACGGAGGACCAGCTCACCGACCTGAACAGCAAGACCGGGTTTCCCTGGAAGAGCCTGGGTATGGCCCTGCTGTTCGGCATGTTGGCCGGCGCACTGGTGGCTGCCCTGTTGCTCCTGAACCGCCGGGATCAGGCCGCTGCGCCAGCCACGCGGCAGGGGGCACGACCAGCTACCGGAAGGGGTGCCGCACCAGGAGCTGCAGCCGCGCAGCAGCGCGGCGCAGCAGCTACACCGGGTGCAGCTGGCATTGCACTGAACGCAGGCGCAGTCATGGTATACTTCTAAAATTAGTATTGAGCAGTTTTAGTTTTTGATGTCAAATTTTTCGAGCCTAGTATTAGTAAAACTTTTTTAGTGCCTGCATCCGTATCATGATCACGAAGCATAATTTAAACTGAAGCATCGAACAAAGATGAAGAAGCTAAGGAGGACGTCAATCAAACCTGACCGATTTCGATGAATCTGAAAATTCTTTTCGCAGGGCGCCGGTGTCCGCACCTCTGCAGCCCGGCAAAGTGGTGCGGCGCAGGTGGCAGGTATGACGGAGCGCCAGTCCGGTGCGGCCCGGTCCTCCAAGAAGTCGGCACAACAAGCGTTGCTCTCCGCGGAGCCCGGCGTCGCAGTGCAAGCCGGCATGGCGTCGACCCCGTCCGAAAGCGTGGCCGTGATCCAGGGCTTCGGCGCGAGCATCCCGAGTTCCATCGGCGGTCACATCTCGCCGCGCCCCCCGTCCGCCTCGCGGCCCGCCTCGGGTGCTGTCCGCCCCCCGTCCGGGGCGCAGCAACAGGTCGTCGCGCCCACCGGTGCTGAGTCTGACGTCATGTCGGATTCTAGCGCACCGGAATCGTCGCAGCCGTAAGTTGTACAACTAGCAGCCGCGAGGACGACCTCAACCCGCAGCGGAAAGAAGAAACGCAGCGGAAAGAAGAAACGAATTTCAACCTTGTTAGCGGAAAATCTTCTCGTCCCAGAAACATGCAAACACACTATAGTTGCATAATTGGGGTGCTTGCTTTTTTTACCAGGGACAATCCTATCCTGACGCGAGAGAGACTGAGACGGAATCAAATCAAGATGTGTAGTTGACCAAGAAAACCATTGGGTCACAGCGCTCGCTTGATGTTGATCTTCACACTCGCAGCTTGATGAAGTACATAACTATCGACATCGAGTTTACGACAAAACAAAATTAGAATTTTTACTAGCTAGTATACACAGGTGGTGGTGTATTGATTTTATAAAAACGAATTCTTGTAGAAGTTGTCCAAGTATCAAACAAAACTTTCATATTTCAACTCACTTTTGCTTGTTTTCTTTTCAGTTTGACACAAAATTTTCCAAATTCACAGTCATTTTCTCTGCAACTTGCTATGCTTTTCTCTTTCATGAAGTTCGTACTTGCGCTGCTTGTCATAGAAAGCAGTTCATCGACAAGGGAGGCGAATGCGATGATGCAGCATTTTCGTACATCGATATATCAAGACTTTTCAATTACATCTCAAGTCACGATTTCCCTCAATGCTCTTCGCGATCCGTATCCCGGTGAGCGTTGCGCGGCTTCAAAACAAGTATAGTAGACTCTGTGAGTAGCGTAGCCCGCACTTCAGGTCTTTTTCTTTCGCCTTTCGCTGTCTTGTCATGAAAATTAGAGACCGCCCTCCTGCGAAGATAATTTAATAATTCAGACCGAAAAAGCGCTCTCCCGAGCGAACGAAGAAATCAAATTGTGGTCCTTCAAGATGACGCTTGCGTATCCCGTTGCGTTTCGCCAAAAAAATGTTTCACCGAAAAAGAGGCAATCTATCTATCGAGAGGTATTTCACATTCACGCCTCTATTTTTTGCTTCAATAAACATAGTAAAATTTAAAGGGGCCGAACACATTTATTTTGAATGGAGCAGGAGCACCCTCAACCTGCACAACCACCAGAGTTGCGACACTAGCAGATGACAGAAAGACTCAGCACACTGTTTTCCACAGGGTGTTTGGAGTTGTCTTGTTGTGCATCACTGGCAATCAGAAATGGTGCAGCCAAAAGTTGTACCACTGAAACCTTGAACCATTCAACAGCACATTGGTATCGCGACGATCCTTTGCCTCAATAATTTCGAACTCGAAGGAAGAAAAAGAAAATGCAAAAACCGAGTACAGGTACTTCAGGCGCATCAGCTTCCATCCGCATTCGTTGTTCGCTTGCTCGATTGATGTCGTACCAAAACTGATGGTCCCAAACACAGTTGGCCCCTGTAAAACTCTGTTAGCCGGTTCACCATCGAACTCACACCGGAACAACGTAGAAAACGGAGCAACAGCATGATAAGATAAGCACGTCGCTACAAAGTCTTGATGCCCATTTTAGTCATCACGACGGTGAAGATCGCGACGCATATCTCGTTCCTTTTTTCGACTTTTTGCCAGAGCAGACGATCAGGATCATTTACTTCGCCGTCTACACCATTTTTGTATGGAGGTTCTCGATCATCCTATAGGTAACTGTAAGAAACGACAAGATCAGTCGTCTATAGCTTCCTGCAAATGACCAAAGCCACGTCATTTCTTGCGCTGGATCAGACTCAGAGTATGCCACCTGTCACGACACAATTTTTTCCGATCGCCCCGAGTCGTGATCTATTTCGATTACGGAACACTCTCCGTGTCTTGCAATTGTTTGTTGATGGATCATGGAATTAGAAGAAACTATCAATGACGACCGGTTCGTTTCTATGATTCAGTGGTTTTTATTTTGGTGGTTCTCATTCACACACAGTCTTTGGATCTTTTTTCCGCAGCATAACTGTATTTTGAGCTAGTATGAATAATTGGCGGAGTTGTATTTCGATTTCCATTCATTGTAGTCAGAGCTAGGCTTCTTCTAACCGTAACTTCTTAATTTTCATTGGGTGTAAAAATCCAGTTCGAACCCAAGCGACGTAGTTCTTCCAATATGACGGCAGCCGCGAGTGGACCTCCGGTCGGTAATCCCGGTACGCCGGATTATCCTAAAGAAAAACGTCCCCACCCCAGAGTCAAGATGGGCAATCTGCTAGACAAATCAGCCAGCTTTGGTTGTTGTGCATTACAAGTTTTGCCTCGAAGTGTAATGCTGTTTAGCTGGTCCAGCAGCATCACAGATCTAGCATATCATGCTTGTTGGAGCATGACAAATTCCGAAACATGGCTAGAAGATGCTTCTCATGGGGCTGCGCATGAGAAACATTATCAGCATACGGATTAGCATTACAACTATGGGGTGAGGACGTTTTTACTCAGGATACGGATTTCGAAAAGTTTATCAAGGACCGCTCGTACGTGGAGAACGGTGCGGATTTTTCGCCTGCCGATCTGGATTGTTTGGCCAAGTTGAACGGTAAGATCCCAGATATGCAGAAATTGCCCTCCACCTACCGCTGGGCACTCCACATCCACGCACTTCAGCGGCAGCGGCCTTTCGCCTTCAGTACCAGTACCACCTCGTCCGGAAATAGTAAACCGCAAGGCGGAAACAAACCAGGGGCCGCGGCGCAGATGAACAACAAAAACAATGCCTCATCATCTACCGGCGGCGGTGCTAAGGGGAAGGACGAAGCAAATATTGAAGGCAAGTTGCCGAACGCTGTCATGGGCAAAGTGTGCACGCGATTCCCCCCCGAGCCCAGTGGTTACATGCACATCGGCCACGCTAAGGCCGCGCTGCTGAATAACGCTTATGCGCGCATGTATGAGGGAAAGCTCATCATCCGATTCGACGATACGAACCCCAGCAAGGTAAGTAGTCTACAACGTCGAGTTTGTTTTTGTTCTGGTCCGCCCGGAATGATCTAACTCCGCTTCAGAGTTTGATTCTTTCATCGCCGCGACCCACCATGAACATGCATTGGTTTTCTTTTCCATGAGAAAGGATAAGAAAGAAGATAGAATAGAAAAAGAGAGTATGCGATGTCTGATTTATCTCAACACCAGGAAAAGCAAGAGTTCGAAGACACGATCTTGGAGGATAGCAAGAGCCTGGGCATCGTTCCGGACTTCGTGAGTCACACCTCGGACTACTTTCCCAAGCTGCAGGAACTGATGGAGAAGTTGCTGAAGAACGGTGACGCGTACGTAGACGACACTCCCGTCGAGAAGATGCGCGACGAGCGTGACAACGGCGTCGAAAGCGCATGCCGGAAGTTCAGCGTCGAGAAAAATTTAGAGCTTTGGAAGGAAATGCTCGCCGGGACCAAGACCGGCCTGACCTGCTGTGTCCGCGGAAAAATGAACATGAAGGACCCAGTCAAGTGCCTCCGCGACCCCGTCTTCTACCGCTGCAAAACCGACGTGCCCCATCACAGGTAAGTGACACTAGTAACCCGTGCTGGGTTTTATTTTTTTCGATCCTTTCGAATTCGATTCTTGCCCTTGCGTCACAGGAGCTGCTGCCTCCACACAACGAAGATTGTATCTATACGTAGCACATAATCATCAATTTCTTTATTCACTTTCTCCATTTTTAGATGAGAAGAGACGACCCCCAATTCAAGGCCAACTAAATCGACTATACGATCCTAGATTTAAGTTTGTGTATTCATTTTCAACGACATAATAATTCTATTGCTTTTCACTCTCCCTAGGCACGGCACGAAGTACAAGGCTTACCCAACCTACGACTTTGCGTGTCCGATTGTGGACGCGATAGAGGGTGTGTCGCACTCCCTGCGGACCATCGAGTACAAGGACCGGGACCAGATGTACTACTGGGTGCAACAGAAGGCGAACGTGGGCAAGACCATTTTGTACGAGTTCTCCAAGACGCAGTTCACGCACACGGTGTTGTCCAAGCGGAAGCTGACTTGGTTCGTGGACAACAAGGTGGTTTCGGGGTGGGACGACCCCCGGTTCCCCACGGTGAAGGGCATCCTCCGTCGGGGGATGACCGTGCAGGCGCTGCAGGAGTTCATGAAGACGCAGGGGGCCAGCAAGCGGGACGTGCTGATGGAGTGGGACAAGATCTGGGTGCTCAACCGCCAGATCATCGACCCGCAGGCGGCCCGGTACGCGGCCATCACCGCCCCGGTGACGTTGAAGATTTCCGGTGTGCCCGCCGAGTCCTACGTGGGCATGACCAACCTGCACCCCAAGTGTGGCCAGGAGGGCGTGCTGTCCGGCCAGAAGCCGCTTTGGTACGGTGCCTCGGTCTTTCTAGAGGCGGCCGACGCCGCGGAGATCGCGGAACAGGAACAGATTACGTTATTACACTGGGGAAATGTCCTTGTCGAAAAGGTTACGAAGGACGCGGCTGGCAAAGTCACCCTGCTCGAAGCCAAGCTGCACTTGGAAGGTATATGCAATTGAAATGATGGTGCTCAAGTACTAGTAGCCTTGTTGCTGTTTTTAGTATTCGTGTAGTTCCTCACGTCTGTGAGTTAAAGTTAGTGTGGTGCCAGCGAGTGTAGTCCGTCTCGTGGCCGCTGGCGCTGCTGCTACTTCCTTCCATCCGTATCAAATTCAAATCCGAAGCAACTGACCTCGTCATCTATTAACAGGAAGCGTGAAGGACACAAAGAAAAAGCTGCACTGGGTCGCCGCCACGGGCCGCGAAACGGAGGTGGTTCTGCGGGAATACGACCATTTGATCTCAAAAGCAAAACTGGACGAGGACGACAAATTCGAAGATTTTATCAACCCACAAACCATTTTCGACACCGTAGCAGTCGGCGAAGCCCCCTTGAAAAACGTGAGCAAGGGCGACATTGTCCAGCTTGAGCGCATCGGGTTCTTTATCTGTGACTCTCCGGCCTTTCCGGAGGGACAACCCATGGTAATATAGTTCTGTCATGTTGATTTGTTTTGAAAGGATTTACTAGTTGTAGATGGTAGCGTAGACGTTGACAAAGTCCACCTCATCTGCTACTTCTTGATTGAAGCATGTGTTTGGTGAGGTCTTATTGACGATCCTGGCATGTTGATCGATATGACGATGATCTTCATTCTCAGGTTCTCATTAAAATTCCGGACGGGAAGTCAAAGGCAATGAGCAACATCGCGGGCAAAGTTGATCCAAGCAAGTTGCAGGGCGCAAAGGGCAAGGAAGCGGCCGCTGCGGCAGCCCCAGCGGCGGACCCGGCTGCAGCGCAGCCACAGGCTTCTCCGGAGGACCTCGCGAAGCTGCAGGCGGCGAAGGACCTCGTCGCAAAATTGAAAGCAGACAAGGCCTCCGATGAGGAAATTCAGGCAGCGGTCGCGGAAATGAAGCGCCTGAAAGAGGTGTGCGGAGAAAAGGAGCTTTCCAAGGCGGAGCGAAAGAAGCTGGAAAAAGCGGCAAAAGCAAAAGCGAAGGCTTAAAGAACTCAATGGATTGTCCTGTCTAGACGGACTGTCGTGGTCACGCGCGCGTTGAACACTTCTTGCTTCGGTGGAATGACATTATCCAGAGACAGATGATCGCACTTGTTTCAGTGTTGCGTACGAACGATGTCTACAAACGCTGTACAGTGCGGTTCTTTTTATTACGTCGAGCCAACTAGTACTGTCTGGCGATAATTTCGCAAGTGGCAACTTTGCCCAACAAGAGGAAGATGCTTCATTTCGGAAGTCGAAGTTAAGTACTTAACAACGGCGTCTGGATGCACCGTTCTTAAAGAGCGAACCTCTCCAGGTGTTGTTGCGGCTTGTCTAACAAGTTTTGACATCAAACGCGACCATGAAAAAAAAACAGGACGCGGTTCTGCGCACATGAAAATGAGTTAGGTCTCTTTTGTACCTCGCTTGGGCGCACCCGCGCTCGAATCCCAGGCATGAAAATGATTCAAATGATCTCTTTTTTGGAGTCCTTCCGCGGAGCCTCTCCTGTGGTCCATCGGACGACAATGTGAATCAGACGCGGTTCGCTTCTTTGTCATGTTTTTTAGCAAGAAGGCAACCCATGGCAAGGATCAAACTCTTCGTTTAATGTCAGAGCCAAGGCGTCTGTCGTTTGGTCCACCTGTTTTGCTTTATTTTTCCGCCTTCTTACAACAGCGACCTCATGCAGAGATACAGATCTTCACTCTTTTGGATATACCTACGTAGTTTTTACCACAGTTACCATGAAATCATCAAATGAGATATCACATTGATCCATGCAACACTTTTAGAGTCGTCCCTTGCATCAGCGTTATTTTTTTGTCTGCTAAAACGCAATTATTAATTTTTTCACGACCGCAATCTGTATGTTCTTTGTACTCGATCTCGACAGATGAAACGACCTAAAATTATCCCTTTTTCCTGATGAAATTCTCCCACTGCCTGTACCGGGAATGAGAATGCATGGAGCTGATTATCAAAATGTGTAGCGTCTTTGCTGTTACACGACAAAAAAGAAGTGGCTTTATCGCCTCCGGGAGAGACAATGCCAAAACGAAAAGTCGACAGCGCCAGAAGTTCTTTCCTGATGGCACCTGTGGTCGTGGTCCGGGTTATGTTTCACAAATTTCATCATGGACCTCCAACATACTACTCAGCATCTCCCCAGGCAGCTGCAGCGCAGATACATCGGCTCGCCGCACGCAGCGCCGCGGCCTGCTGAGTGCACTTCTACCGTACTACCTTGTGCTCACGGTTGGTGCGCTACTTTTGTCATCATTTCTTTCCCGTGGAGGAGCCACATGTTCTGCAACGGCGGTACGAGTACATGCAGGTGCACCAGCTGATCGTATTATTAAGATCCCAGTACGAAAAAAATGTTTACCGGCAGATAGGTCTACGAGAGATACGCTCCTTCCTGAGGAGATCGAGGATGACGAGGGGAAAGTCTTGGTCGGGGACGAGGCCGCCCTCCTGTGCTTGCTGCGCCTTCTGTTGCACGAAACGGGACTCGATGCGGGCTCGCTCTTCGCGAATCCCCTGAGCGGAAGCTTCGCCTCCTGGCGCATGGTGAGCTCTGCATCGGCCTTGAATCTCCTCCAGAAATACTACACCGCCCAGGTCGACGCCGCGGCTTCGGATCTCGCGGTTGCGCAACACGAGTGGCACTATTTCGAAAAGATAAACCAAAACCTCCGAGGAGTCGAAAGCAGTTCTCGTGCTATTCTTGCCCAAGAAATCTCCAGGAGCGCGTCGTACGCTAGTACCGAGGACCACGGCGTGGAAAGCACAAACGCCGTTACTGCCGAGGCGGATCTCAATCCTGGACTTGCCCTCCCTACCCCGAAGATCACCGTCATGGAGGGCAGTACAGCTGCAGATGAGCCATCTCTCGCCAAAGTAGGTGACCAGCACGTCGAGAACCGAATTTTCTCACCCGGTATTCGTTGCCGCAAGGACAGATCGGCCGGAGGGGGATCCGATTCGCAGCCCGCCCCGAGTTGTTTGCCGTCATCCCATATTCATCTCTCAGGGAACAACCATCGAGAAGATCGGAGCATGAAGAGTAGTAACAAGCGACTTCTTGTCTCTGCAACCCACGCGCCGCCCCAGTTGGCATCTTCAGACGCATCTTCACCTACTTCGCCGCCCACTTGCCCTGAAGACGATATTAGCACAGGCGTGGGCTCTGGCATGAGCAGCATTGGGACCTCCTCGTCTTTTGGCAGCGATCTGAACTACATGGACTTGACGGGAGCGACCCCAACGCACTCGCCCATCCCCACCTATTACATGCCCGAAATAAAATATTTCCCGAGTATCAGCGACCCAGTCCCCGAAGGAGAAGGAGCATCACCACGTGCTGTCGTCGTGTTTGATTCACTGCAACTTCCGCCGCAAGAAGGCATGCTGTGCGATAATCTCGACGATGCAACTCCCAGCCCACGGACGGAAGAACGCCAGCACGACACCTGTTGCTCCTCTCGCGGTTGTTGCCTATCGTCACATGATCAGGGAACGCTGAGAACAACCTGGAGCGATTTGTTCGCTGAAGCACCAACTTTCTTGCGGCTCGGCCGTGGTGCTTTTTGCAATCGGAGGTGCAAGAAAAGGAAAAAAGACAAATTCATCTTCTTGTGTGCGAGAGATCAAAGAATGAGCCACGAACCTTGCTCTGGTGGCCCTGCTTCCAATGAGCAGCTGGACGACGCAGAAGCGGAGGTAACCAAAGAACCGCAACGGCTTCTGTCCGCTGTGGACCGACAAGCTTTGAGAAAAGCCCTGTGGTGCGCGAGCCCCGCTGGGGAACAGGCGCGGCGGCGTTGGCGCGACGCGGAGTCGGCGAGCCGGCGTCGCGACACACACGACTGCGTACACGCCTTTCGGGTTGCACAACTGGAATGGGACCGCTTTGCTCTTATTCGGGAGCGCGTCGTTCTTGCACAGAATTCGCATTTGAAACCAGAGCCTCAACATGAACCCCCGCCGTATATGTTTCTTTCCACGGAGAGGGACCACGAGATTTCTGATTCTGACAGTGAGCATTTACAACTTCGACAACAAATACAAGACTCTCGAGTCTCAAACAAGCGAAACAAATCACCTTCATGCTCAACGACACGAAGAATCCGCACCGAAGATCTACAACTTGATCCTGAGACCACAAACAGCGAAAATGCGACGAGTATCTGGCGAGACCGCGTGTTGCAGCTTTCACTGGAGCTAGAGGCGCTGCGCAACCATAACCGCTCAGCTTGCACTCTGCAGTAGATATCGTACTTACTAACTACCAAAGAATAAACTCCACGGCTTCTATCAAGTAGGAATCGATAGCTACCAAAAGAAACCTAAAAAAGGCATTATTATACGTGTTGCTTCTTCTCTCGGATATGCGTATGCCATCGCGCTCTATGTCTTTTCGAATTCACACACACTTCGGTGACTCCTTGAAGATGAAAAGACATGCTGAGCGCCGACGGCAGACTATTTCAGCAGAGGCAGCGACCTGCGAAAGCGAATTACAATTTACCATTCGAATTTCTTCACCGAATGAAGGGGGAGCTGTACTAGTACACAAAGGGTTTTGATGTACAACTGAAGCTAATAGATAAGAAGGTGAAGGGCCTGGGACAGGACCGACTCTGCCTCGTCATCGGTTCACTTTTGCAACCGGAAAAACGAATCCACATAGAATACGCACGTTCCTACTCTTGTATTAGATTGTGCCGTCACGACGCAGCGCGACATATTTACTCTTTCGATAGCCATATAATAAAGTGTTTGTACGCAGAAAGCGAGGCGCCTCGTTATATTCTTGTAAAATGTTTTCGTTGTATTTCATAGGAAGATTTGATTAGAAGCTAGCGCTGCATTGTACTTTCTTTCTTTCCATGCCTGGGCATGGCATCAATTTTCCGAGGCCCGAAAATGTCCAATGTTCAGTTCTCACATCAATTCTGCATTGTACTTATTTCAAGAGGTCTATGGCAGAACATGTCGAACATTACGCCAATACCGCAAAAGAAACGCATATTGAATTTTAAGATATTCCAACAAGGTTCTTGGCGTGATCGTGAAGGACGCCCGAAATCGAAAGAAAAACAGGAACGGTTGACGACAATATTAACAGTGTTCACAAGCCTTGCTCGTTCCGTATCCGAGCGGACGATGAATTGCGAATTTGAGGCACAACTTGTTCCTCACGGCATGAACTGCCGTTCTTCGAACTGGATTGAACAAAGAACTGCAAATCGAAAATGTATAAAAACGTAGACGTTGATCTGGAACCAAGCAGGATGCCCGTGTCTGTGTCGAAAGCTCGTGCCCCCGATTTTCCCGATCACTTGTTCTGACTTTTCTTTTTGTTTTTGCTGCCTTCATCCCCTTTCCCACTCCTCGGCAACAAAACAAAACTACTATGATTTATTTATGACGAGATCCGAAGAGACCGAGACGGTTCTTTTTTTTTCCGCGGGCTTGCCTTTGACAAACAAGCAGCTCCTTGCCGTCCCATTCCTGTAGTTCCATCGTCTGCATGAAGATGATCAGGCCCGCAGCGATTTCAGTTCCTCCTCTCACTGCTAATTACCGATGCACCCCGGTGCATCATTTTCGAGTAAGTGACGGAAAGTTCTACGACTAGATAGAAAGGGCTAGCAGATCCCTGGTAAGCTAATGCACGGCGGCACGACTAGGACTGGACCCGCATCAAGGCGGGGGTCGTGCCATGGAATGTTATTTCGATCGGCTGGACCCAGTCGCGGTTGACTGGGGGCCGAGGTGGGCTCTCCTGATGGCACTAAGGCTGACATGCCTCGGTAGGTGCGACAACTGGACCCAGTCCCGGGAGGAGGTCGGACTGGGGGTTGGGATCGTTCATTTTGCTCTGGTTCGGATAGGGTAGGTAGGCACCTCCACTTTTCGGAGCACCACATTGAGAAATAAAGGGGCGTGGCTGTCTTTTAAAGAACAAGTATGGGGCCTCTCCGGGGCACACGACCGGCTGCGGCTTCAGGAAGGCAGAGGTAGCCCGGGCCGCCTCTCTAAAGTACCCACATTGTTTGGGTTTTGGCTTGGTTGGTACAGTCTTTAATCTCGGTGATTTGGGGCCACAAGGTCAAGGAATGGTAGTGGGTGGTGGAGCATGGTGGGAGAATCCGCCAAGGTTGTACAAATACTAGGCTAGGCCCCTTGGAGGAGGTTATGGTGCCGGAGTAGCATATTCAGGAAGCGGTCGCTTCAGGCGACGCGCATGGATTAGGTCTAGGACAGTGGACGACCTGTTGACTGCAGCTTGCAGGAGGCAAGGAAAGCGCTGCTGTTTGGGAAAACGGGAGGAAGCCTTGGAACTTATACTTTTTCTTGGCGCGTGGCCTTGTTGGCACATCCCCGGGCCGCTGGAAATTTCAGCTTTTGCAACTTCTCTCTGAGGTGATGGCGGTAGCGAGATCGTAGCGAGGGTCTGGTTGGGCAGGTTCCAGGCTAGGTTTGTGCAAATTATTGCCGCTGCGGCCTGGTAGGCGAGCTGCGGGACGGCAGGACTAGGGTATAGGCGGCGAAAGGGCAGGCGTTTCAGCCCGTTTGGCGTTTGCAATGCATACACTCGGTTGGAACGCGTCCTCCCTATTTGTCCTAAGCAAGTCACTTTATGTCACCGCGGTTAGGTTGTTGCGCGGGTGGATAGCATCGCGCGGATGGCCGCGAGTTGGGTGTGTAGCGAGGGCGCCCTACTGGGACGGACGTGGTCTTCACAGCATTTCGTTGGCTTGCAGGGAACTATTTCCAGCTAGTTGCTGGCTTATTTGGCGAGTTGGGGTTCGGAAGACATTGACTTTCTAGCACTTCTGCTAGCTGTTGTCGCGTTCTCTGCCATGGGTGACAGCCCGGCCGGCATTGGGGTTCCGGGAACCGGTCGCGTAGGTACCTGGTGGGCTCAGTGAATGCTCAAGAAGTTGGCTTTTTAGTGTCCTGCGGGGTTTCGGGTTGGGCATGACGCCATGTTGATGTAGACGGGATCAGGCCCGCAGCGATTTCAGCTCCCCCTCTCACTGCTAATTGTTTGTGTCTCTGATGTGATCCTCGTTGCCCAGGCGCTTGAATTGATCTGGTCATAGCCAACATAAGTTTAAGTAGGTTCCACCTTATCAGTTGATTCTTGGTCGTGTTTCATTTTCCGCAATCGGAGTTGTCCGCAGTCGATACAATGTTGTTCCACAGTCGTTTTTTCAAACAGGCTGCAGCCAACCCGCAAGTTTTTTTCGATGTCTCCATTGGTGGATCCAAGGCGGGGCGCATTTTGTTCGAACTGTTTGCGGACACAGTGCCAAAGACAGCGGAGAATTTCCGATCTCTCTGTATCGGCGACAAGGGCATGGGCAAGAGCGGGAAACCGCTACACTTCAAGGGGTCGAAATTTCATCGCATCATTCCTAATTTCATGTGTCAAGGCGGCGACTTCACTCGTGGAAATGGAACCGGTATGAACATATGTGCATGTAAGTAGCACGACTGATAATATATTGTTCTTTCGATTAATATCTGACTTTGTGGTGTAAAAAATCTGGTCTTATCTTCGTCATCTTCTGTCGTATGTCTATGTCATGATGGAACAAGCTACTTAGATTTGTTACCCTTGCGACGTCTACTTTATTTCGCCCTGTTGTGTTTGAATTTTAATTTCGAAAAGCTCGTAGTAGCGCCTTGTTTCTGACATTTCAGGCGGTGAGAGCATTTACGGGATGAAATTTCGGGATGAGAATTTCAAGTTGAAGCACACGAAGCCAGGCCTTCTGTCAATGGCGAACGCGTATCAAATGTAAAAATGTCTGGGTCTGGAAGATTGGAACTTGTGATGCTGCACTTGGATGTCTCAAAAATTTGTGTTGCATGAGCAGCAAAAGGATTCTAATTTTTGCTACGCGGAGAGGGCATTTGTCATGCGGAATAGGCATCAAGAATCCCTCAAAAAACCTGTGATGCTAGGGCATGCATCACAGACATCATGGATGGCGCATGCAAACCATGCATGACAAGTCTTAGAATCTTCCAGACCCAGACATTTTTGCATTTGATAACGCGGGCCCAAACACAAATGGATCCCAGTTTTTCATCACCACCGTCCCTACGCCGCACCTGGACGGGGCTCATTGTGTCTTCGGCGAGGTTGTCGATGGCTTCGACATCGTGAAGCAGATGGAAGCGTGCGGCGACAATGGTGGACGGCCCAGCAAGAAAGTTGTCATAGAAGACTGCGGGGAAGTGAAGCAGGATGCCTAACAAGAAAGTGTCAATCATTACAACCTCGCTGACTCTGCACCATGGGTTGCCGGTTTATTTTGCGAGACACGCAGAGTTCCAGTTCCTCGTTGATGGTAGCTTTTTTTTACCGTCTTCTCCCCCCCCTCGCCCTTGGAAAAACATATAGCGACTGATGAAGGATCAAGAAGAAGGCGATGCTAAAGCGCCACAGATATAAAGCAAACAGGAAGATAAATGAATATGATCACGTTGCGTGTGAGAACGGGTACCTCGTACAAGAAGAAACCTGCTCCAAAATGATTTCCTTAAATGTGCGTCTTCAACAACTCTACGCCAGTCGTGGCCGCGATACCCAACCTATGACATAGAAAGATACTAGGAAGCTGGGGAAGCAGCCTAAACGCATGGAATTCCTGAGGCGGACCTGTATTCGCGATTTGCGATTGTTGCGTTCGACGGAATATCTTCAACAGCAACAAGCTTCTGTGCCGCAATTGGATTGTGGTGTATGCAAAGACAAAGGCGTACGAAAAGGCAACTCACGGTCACGCTTATGTAGTACCTTTCTTTGCTCCCTTCTGTCCCGGTCTCTCGGATTGAACGACCCTGATCCAGACAGATCCTTGTTTAATACAACGAGATCTAACTAGCGGAGAACACTAAGAACAGCAGTGGGATCGCGTAATTTTTTCGTTGGTTCCCTGCAAGACGAGGGAGTTCCAGCTTCTGCCGGCGCTCTGTCTACTTGCCGATTTGATTTAGAAACTTCGATGCCGAATTTCGCCCACCTAGCTCCTTCTGAGCTTTGATGATTCTCTCTGTTAGAAACACTCCAGGCCCCTGTGTTTTAGTTTTTGGTGATTTGTGATTAAAAAAAAATAAATCATGTGAAGGATGTGTATTAAGTGAGATCGTAGATTCATTTCATGCTGAGTAACTGTATACACCACATGCAGATTCATCACATTCACATTATCGCTGTCTATTGAAGATTTTGTCTTTGGCCCCACATTTGGGTACTACGCCTACGTGATATATTCGGCGTGAGACGGACCGAAAAATGAAGTTGTTCGGGTTGTCAAAAAGCCGTGGCATTTTCGCGGATGGGGCGACGGAGGATCATGGACCACCTGAGCCGCACGATTGTGCCAACGGGAAGATGCGCGTTGACAGCGCTGCGCGGTGTGTAGTCTACGCTGAAAACTGCGGTCGCTACGCCATTCTCGGCAAGAAGGAGCGAAAATCTTCCGGGGACAGCACCAACGACGAGCCGCTCATGCGCATTTACGCAAAAACGACTTCAGAAGCCTTGCAGATGATCGAACTCAGACCACAAGTAAAAAACGAGAAACAGCGAGGGGTCGTCGAAGCATATTTTTCACCGTTGGGGAACTTCATCGCGACGTACGAGCACTACGTGAAAAGCGGTGGAAATAACGCGAACTTGTGGTATTTGGACTGGGCCAAGAGTGAAGCCGTTTGCGTTGACGGCTGCACCATCCAGACTCTAAAGCCCTCGTTGAATTGGCCCGCATGGAAACTCTCGGCCGGCGAGGAGTTCTGCTGTCGTGCCGTCGGGAACGGCCTCAATGTAGTGGACTTGCGATCCCTAACTCTCTGCAAGACGTTTTGGAAGAAACGCACTACAGGTACAAGTTCTCCTGGGGTTCTTCTCTTTTTCGCTCCCCCACGACCACGTAGCGTAGTTTTTTTATGATTTTTACACATCAAGCAACCTACTTCTAGTCAATCTCAATCATGCATGCAATCCACCAGATGGCTCACGCTCACCCATCCCCGTCGGTCTAGGTCTTCGTTAAACAGAAAACTGTTCGCGAATCCACTTTCATCGTAGGTGACGCTGGCGCAGCCTCCGGGCTTCCAACCGGGGAAGAGGTCAGCCAAGCCTTCCAGTCCGACCTGAATCGAAAAAAGCTGGCGCTTCCGAACATATCGCAATTCGAAATATCGAACGGCGTGCTCGGCTGCACCGCCTCGACCCAAAGCGACGCCTGTCCCTTCTACGTATCCAAAAACAACTTTTCCAGCCCCGGTTCCCATTTGCTTCCGGCCACAGCAGCGACAATCCGGTCCCTTCTAGAGGAAGAGGGTGGCGAAAGCCCAGCCGCGGACCAGCAGTCGCGTTTCTTTGTCGCGGCGTTCGTCCCTGAGGCGAAGGCCCAACCGGGTAAGGTAAGCTTGTTCGAGCTGACCGCAGACACAAATGCCGCGCTGCAGCGCCCCGTGAGCTCAAAATCCTTCTACAATGCCTCATCCGTATTGCTTCGCTGGAACATGAGCAAGCTCCCAGCAGCGGTGTTGGTATTCAGTGGGCAAGATTACACCAAGGGCGACTCACTGGATTGCGAGACAAGGTACTTATGATCTATGTAGTACGACTGGAAGTTTAAAGAAGTTACTTCCACCACGACTCAGATTTTCTACAGGTACACTGAAAGTGTAAGGATTGCTGGGAGCATCAACAATGTGCCACTGGTGCGTAAGCAAGTACGATATGACAAAGACTGAAAAGGAGCAGTAGCAATAGCAAGAACTTGCATAGTAAAATTAAAACAGCTACTACGGCGCCACGACGCTCTTTCACTTGTCTTGCTCCGAAACAAGTAGTGGGCCCGTGAATCTCGGGGAAATCCAAACCGCCGCGTGGAATCCGCGGCGAAACGAGTTTCTGGTGCTCGAGGGGCGTACCTTGCCTTGTTCGCTGTCGTTAATTTCCGGGGCCAACCCGTCGAAAACCCTGCAGCAGATCGTGCCTGACAAGTCCCTGCGCCGGAACCACATCGCGTGGTCGCCATCCGGGGATCACTTCGTCCTTGCTGGGCTGGGGAATCTCGCCGGGGACCTGGACTTTTACCACAACGCGAACCATGGCACGAAAAAGCCACCCCAGTTCTCGAAAATATCCTGTGCAAAAGTATAAATATCGTGCTGGTGGTGTCCTACTTTAACTCTTAGAAAGAATGGCAGTCGCGCATGGGATCAGAATCAGATGGATCTACTGCATCTGCTTTCTTACTTGAATTTGCATGACGTTGCCCCCGCCCCGCCTTGTTGGATGGTTTTTCTTCAAAACACTTGTTTATGCGATTGTTCCTGTTAGTGCTAGCCCGATTCCGGTAGCGATATTTTTCCTTTTGCAATGCATAGAGCATTCGCACGGCCAACTTCAACCGCTGCACAAACATCGAGTATGACCGTATGGCGTTCTCAAACGTTACATTCTCAATTGTTCCATGAATTTGTAATGCAAGACTGGCAAAAGTGAAGGGGGGAAGATGGCGCCTTTTGCATTACAAGTTTGGCGCAGATTTACATGCTGTCTAGCCCTCCCGAAATTTGTGATGCGAAGCAGCTCGATCATCTGCCGGCTTAAGGTGCTCTTGCATGACAAATTCATGTAAAAGTTGAGAATGTAACGTTTGAGAACGCCATACACCGTTTCGGACTCTCCGTTCTGTGCAGCACGCTGGCTCCACGCATTCGTATGCATTGCAAATATGTCTGGGTCTGGAAGGTTGGAACTTGTGATGCTGTCTTTGGAATCTAGAAAAATCTGTATTGCATGACCAGCAAAAGGAGTGTGATTTTTGCTACGCGGCGACGGCATTTGTCATGTGGAGTAGGCATCAAGAAGCCCTCAAAAAATCTGTGATGCTAGGGCATGCATCACCGACACGAGGACTCATGCAAAATATGCATGACAAACCCAGCAATGTTCCAGACCCAGACATTTTTACATTTGATAATTCGCTCCGAATGCTCATTTCGCTTGTACGACTTCGCGGGAGGGTTGACACTTGACAGTGGTAGCTCCACCGCTGCCACGGCTGATGTGTCTACGGGTGCCGTAAAGCCGCTCGAAGCCGACGACCAGCTGTATGGCATAACCTTCGCAGATTGTGTCACCGGAAGTGACTGGAAAAAAACGGACATGACCGATCTCACCAGCGTTGTTTTTCCAGAAGCTGTGATTATTGCCGCGAAGAAGCTGGGGGATGAAACGGCTGGCAAGGGTTTGTCTACTTCCAACGGCGTGCCGGAACACATGAAAAAAGCATATGTGCCGCCTCATTTGCGGAACGTAAAAATCGAGCCCGCCGGCGGAGGGCCTAGTGGTACTAAAGCTGCCGCAAAAAACAAACCAAAGGCCAAGAAGGAACCAAAGCAGACACAGCAGCCACCAGCGGAAGCTGAGTTCTCTCCATCTTCGCGAACAAACGAAAAACAGAAAGAACAGCAAGTGCCCGAGCAGGCTTCTGTTACTGCGGCCGAAGTCCTCCCGAATAAGAAACCGTTGCTTGAGGAGGTGATGGCGATCCATGATGACGAGCAGAAACAGAAGAAAGCCAAAGCTTTGAAGAAGAAGTTGACGCAAATCGAAAAGCTGAAGGAGAAAAGCGAACTGAGCGCAGAGGAGAAAGAGAAGGTGGCCACGGAAAAAGAACTCAACGAAGCACTTGCATATCTTGGGTGCTGAGGTCCTGAAATCGATTCGCTGCCGCGTCACGAGTGTTTATGATGGTCAACATTTAATGTTGAAAAAGTCTCTTCATGTTCGAGTACGAGTAGCTGTAGCCCTTCTGAAACGATGACGAATTGCACCGGCGCCGTCGTGCCCGTACTGTATTCCTACAGTGACGGTGGACTCTTCCTAAATTTTTTTACCGAAGAGGAAGACTGCTGCGGATTAGAATCTCTGTTCCAGATCGGATGTTTTGGGGACTATGTTGAGAGGACTCTGAAGATAACCACGACCACAGTAAGTCCAATTTAAGAAGATCTCAACCTATGTGCAAAAATAGTTCCGGCTGCACGACACAAAATGAATCAGTCACTGACACCTCGTGCAGAATCGATCACACAAATCCACACTTTGCACGAAGATGATCCTGAAATTACCAGAACAACATGATTCAAAAATGGAGGTTTAAGTGCTAGGAGGATCATCCCCGCATGCGACGATAACATTCCTCGATGCCCCTGCCTTTCCCTTTGTATGTTGTATGTCGATAGAGGAAAATGACAAAGTAGTACGCCATCAAGGAGATCTTCAAATAGGACACGGACAAAAAGACAAATCGAGTAAGTATCAAGCATCGCAAATTGAAATTGAAATTACTCGTTAGATTCAAGTCAATTCCCAACATAACGCTGCAGGACAAAGAGAGAACAAGGATTTATCAAATTTGTTGTTTCTATTCTTACTTCATGCGAAATTTCCAATCCAGTGGAGATTTTGCTGGCTATTTAACTAGTATGCCTGATAATATGATAAAGGGTAATGGTTTCCATTAACCCGAAGATTACAGCACGGAATTTCTACATATGCGATCGCGAAGCGACCCACAGGAGGAATTCTTTCAATTGACTCCATCATACATCTAGGGTTGCTCGTCCTGGTGGTTGTTAGTTGAATGTCCCATCAAGCGACTTGAGGTCGTGAAGAAAACAATCGAACTCGAAGTAGTGGCGTGGTTGTGTATTATTGGTATAGTAGTTAGCTTGAATATCTCCGTTTTCCACCCAACAAGAAGCGGAAAAGGAGTTGAATCACTCGCAGGAATTATCTGTGTGGCTGAGGACGAGGACCACGCAACCATCCACTTCTTCATCGATTTCAACATCTTCTACTACTTCGCTGGAGGTTGGTCTATCGATCAATACGACGGTGGTACTTATTCAGCATCCACGTCGGCTTCCTCGGCGTGCGTCCGTCGAGTAGATCATAATTTGAATTAACTGCGGAGTCCTTTATTCGATGGACAAGCCACTCTCCCGGCAAGGCACGTACGTGCCGAACGCGCGGTGCCAGAACTGCAACAAGGCGGGCCACTGGACGTGGGAGTGCACGGTCGTATCAAATGCAAAAATGTCTGGGTCTGGAAGGTTGTAACTTGTGATGCTGTCTTCGGATTCAAAAAAAATCTGTAATGCATGACCAGCAAGAGGAGTCCAGTTTTTGCCACGGCGAGAGGGTATTTCTCATGCGGAACAGGCATCAGGAAGCCCTCTTAAAATCTGTGATGCTAGACCATGCATTACAGACCTCATGGGCCATGGAAAACCTGCATGACAAATCTTCCACTCTTCCAGACCCAGACACTTTTGCACTTGATAGGTCGGGGTGCAGAACTATACCGCGCGACCCACCAAGGGCAAAAAGAAGCTGAACGAGGAACTTCCGCCGGAGGTGAAGGTCTCCCAGCTGTTGGTCGACGACTACCACCGCGGGAGTTTGAAAGAGCAAGAGGAGGACGAGAAGGATAGTGTGAACAACAAAACTAAGCAGGCCGACGAGGACGATCGCGATAAAAACTCGGGGACCACGACCCGGAAGGACCACAGCGACTCTGTGGTAGCGGAGGACATGAAGGACCACCAGCAGGACCATGATGAGCAAGCAGCCGCTGATACAACTATTCCGAACAAAAAGGACAAGGACCGCCGCGAGAGTGGGTCCACGCCCGCCGGCGGCACGAACTACCGTGCGCGGCAAGGGCAGAATTACGAGGGGGGCGCGGAAGACGACGGAAAGATGCGGGTCCGCGGTCGCGGCGCCAAGCGTGCGCCGCGTAAGAGCATGTACAACTCGTCGGACGATGATTCGGGCAGTGACTTTTTCACGAAGCGGCTGTCGCGGGACGAGCGGCAGGCAATGGAGGGCGGCCGAGGATCGGCCTACAACGCGACCAACGCCTAGTATGGAAGTGTCAGCGACTTGAGAAATCGACACGAAGTGGAAAAGAATTGTGATGCGCTGGCTCAAATACAATCGACAGTACCCATTGGATCTTCCGCAACTTCAATTTCTAGTACTATGCGGCACGTGACATTAAATTTTACAGAGGGCACCTGGGCATTCAATCTCGAGCAAAAGCCTATTCAGTCTTAGAATCTCCCATTGTGGTTGTTTTTGTTGCCTGCAACTATGCATAAACATATAAGTTTTTTTCCCATTCTGATGCCCATTTCCGACCTGACGCTTCCATACCTGCCGCGGCAAGGGCGGAAAGTTCGGCGAGGGGGGCAAGGGCGGAAAGTTCGGAAAGGGCGGCAGGGAATTACTGCACGAAAGCGGTGGTCGCGGAGACAAGAACGGGTCCTCGTTTTTCGACAAAGGCGGCAAGGGCGCCGCGTACGGGAAATACAACAAACACGGTGGTACCACGGGCAAGGGCAACGAGTTTTCCTACCAGGACATTGACGAAAATTGGCAACACGATCAGTACCACGACGAGAATGACCGCAACGCGGACCGCCGTTCGCGTCGTGCTGCGTCCTACGGCCGCGACAACGACCATCGGGGTGCGTCGGTGGTGCAAAAGCGTCGGTCCTCGAACGACCGCCGATCTCCGCGTGGCCGTGGTGGCCGCGATAACAACAAGAGCAGCAGGATCGTGGAGCTTTTGCCCCGCCAGGACCACGACAGCACGGGGGACCTCCGCGGTCACGAAAAGAGTGCCAAAAACGCACTGCGCGACCGGGGGAACACGCACAACAACGGGGCCAGTGCTACTTCGAAGCAGGGTCAACATCTACACTTGTCCACAACTTCCCGCAACCAGCAGGTGAGGGGAACAAATAATGCGACCAAGAAGCATCATGCGCGAGGAGGAGATCATCGCCCTCGTGGGACGGGCCGGCGGTCAGCGTCCTCAAGCTCCGGGTCGGATTCGCCATCGAGTTCAAGTGATATGAAAGTGCACAACCCCCCCTCCCCCTCATTTCTCATGCAAAGTGCCTTTATTTGGCACTGTTTGCATGACAAGTTCTGGCAGTCCAAATAGCACTACACTCCTGTCCAAATTTGACATGCAAAATCTGTATTCTTGCTGACGCTTGTATTGCTGTTCATGCAATACAAATGAGGGGGAGGGGGAGTTGTGCACTGTCATAAGTGACGATGAGTCCAACTCCTCCGGATCCGACGACACCCCCTCGGAGGAGGAGCAAAAGCCGCCGCGCGCTCGCGGCCGCTATCCTGAGTAAAAACGTACCCACAATAGAGTTGTAATGCAAATCTGCATGCTGAAAATGTCTCTCATGCGGAGCCCCATGAGAAGCATTTTCTAGTCGTGTTTTGCAATTTGTCATGCTCCAATCAGCATGGTATGCTACATCTGTGATGCTGCTGAGATAGCTCAAACAGCACTACACTACGAATCCAAATTTGTCATGCAAAACAGCCAAAGCTTGTGGATTTGTCTAGCCGATTCACCATCTTGACTATGGTGTGGGTACGTTTTTACTCAGGATAGCCGCGGTGCCAACTTTGCCGTCAACTTCCGGCGGAACGGCGCGTCGCCTCCGGACAACAACCTTCGGGGACGAGGTGGACATCAAAATGATTCGTCGCGGAACATCAACAAGTCGGGAGGTGGTACTACTGCGACCACCTCTGGGGGAGTGACCTTGAAGAGACCGGCGCCCCGACCTACGGTGGCACAACTATCCGCGCGGCCGCGAGCGGGTGAAGGAGCCGCCAAGGAGAGCAGCAGTCGAATAGCCACGAACAACAAGCGTGCAGACCAGCAGCAGGCAAAGAAAAAACGGGCTTCCAAGTCGGACAGCTCCAGTGAGGAAGATGACGATGACTCTTCGGACGACGACGACTCGAAGTCTAGTGATTCCAACGAAGATGCGCAGCCTCCGCCGCGGAAGACCAACCAGCCCCGGCGCGGCCGCGAGGAGAACAACCGATCTACAACTGCGAAGAAGGACGAGAACATCAAAGACCGGGCCGCTAACGCCAAGCGCGCCGCCGGCACGACCAGTGCCAAGCCTACTTCGAAGAACAGCTCTACTACTTCAAGTGGCGCGCCGGCCGGCACGAACAAGAATGCCGCAATCAATAAACGCTCCGGGAAGAACAATGTGGATCAAGCTGCAAGTCGTCGTGTCGAAAACAACAAGCAGAAGGACAGCAATAAACGTCAAAGTCCGTCGCGCAATGCAAATGCTGCCAAGGCATCAAAGCAGGCAGGTGGCGATAAACATAAACAGGCGGCGGTGAAGAAGAACAAGGGAAACGAGTCCTCGGAATCATCCGACGACGAATCCTCAAATTCTTCGTCCTCCTCAGACGATGACGAATCGCAATCGGAGGAAAACTCGCAGGAATCCGACTCCTCCGAGTCCTCCTCCGAGGAAGAGGACCGGCGTCCCGCGAAGCGGGCCCGGAAGCAGTGATGGCGATGCCGGACTATCTCATCTACATCTTCACCGATTGTTGTTCACGAAGACGAGTTCTACTAATTTATAAATGAGGACAAATAGCACAGTAGCTGCATTGGCACGACGATTGAACTCTCACAAGATCAGTAAATAAAAGCTGGAGACTACTCACCACGACTTGAAGGAACAACACCGCTACGTACGACAATGCACTTTGCAACAGCAATGTACGACGACACATTTCTCGAGCTGATGCGCATGCGGAAGCTGATCATGATGCGAAGATAATTACAACAAAGTCTTCCGAGAATGCCGTCAACATGCTAACTAGGTCGTACTTGCTGCAACTGCTTGCACCGAACCAAAACTTCTAGCAGCACGCTCCAGTCTCTCTAGCGCTGCGACGAGACAGGAACCACACTGATGTGCGAGTGCGACCACGTATCAAAACAAGGACGAAATAGATGATGACGTCGCCTTGGGGCGACGTCGAACTCGTTCGTAACAGAAACAAGTAAAAAACCATGAAGAAAATAAAAAAGTCCGACGCACAGAATCTGAATGGGCAGCGGAGCGGGCAATGGGCGCAACCTTGTCTCTGATTGAAGTTGAACCGTTCGGGTGGTCCCCGAAGCATTTATCCACTTCTTGGACCTTTTATAAGCATAGCGATAGTCATAGTCGTCGACCTTGCTACTTACCACCTAGAAGAAGATGAAGACAGAGTGCCTCTTTTGTCTGAAACAGAAGCAATGATACATGATTATGGCAATCAGGGAGTTACAACAAAATGTCGCCAAGTTTTTTTCAAAAAAAGCATCAAAACCTATACCAGTGCGGTACGCGCATGATTAAGTCAGGTCTTCTTGAGATAATTGTGCAATATGAATATGCGTGGTACGGCTGGGAGCCACCAGCACCAGTTTCGTGTTCGATGTCCCTCGTGCGATTAGCATCTTCCACCTTCTCACTCTGACGCCCTTCTGGTGGTAGCAGCCTCGTTTTCGTTCTTTGGACTCGACGAGTTTGACGACAAGCAAAAATCTGCAACGCTTCGACGGAGATTTTCGAAGCCTTGAGAGAATTTGGACTCGTAGCTACGTCAAAATGCAACAGCAAAACAGATTCCGCAAAATATCGTGCCCACACCGAAAATAAACTTTCTGTTTCTAATTCATCTCTGCTTTTGGTCTCGGTTACGATCTCGATTTTCTTCGGACGTGCTATCGTGGTGAAGTCGTATCGTTCGGCGCAAAGCTAAATTTCACTCGTCATTATCTTCTTGCAGAAGCCGCCTGCACCTGTTTCTATCTGTTTTCGATAAAACAATCCTCGGTCTTTCTCGTCCATCGTGAATGTACTTCAAAATCTTTCAGCCAAGCATCGTATTCGTTCCTACAAGAAGAAGCTCAAACAGGAGTAGCTGCGTGTTTGTTTCGTTCAATTCTAAGCAGGTAGCACTATTCAGCGAAACGATGAACACCAAGCCCTTACACGTATCTACACAGGCTTCCAAACACCCCCAGCCCCAACTCCTTCCAGATAATCACGCCCAGCACCAATCACTTTGTAATTGTGTTTAATAACAAGTGCAAGTCCTTGTCCTGGTCTTTATCATGGGGTCTCCGACCCCGGAGAACATGAACCACGGCCAGCGGCAGCGTAACTAAGTTTGCATTTACAACATTTAGAAATTCGCACAACATTTCAGACCTTTCAAAAATATCATAGTTTTTCAAAAACGATAGCAAATCAAAAATGCGACTGAAAAGAAGGGATAAAAATCTACCTGAAGCACCGTCGTGTGACAAGCGGTGTTTGGTGATAGTCAGTGGTTGAGGTAGCCGTCGAAGAACGCTTCTGCAGGTGTATAATCTCCACCAGAAGAGGCAGGATGTCTGCCGACGCGACTGCACCTGTACCCGTTGGGGAGCCGATTCCGGACGAATTCCACGACCAAGGGATGTCGTCCCCGGTGCGCAGCAGCTACGGGGCGGGTGAGATGACGGTGCGCTCAGACAACTTGTTGAGTGCGCGGACGCCCAGCGATAATAATAACCAACAAGCTGCATCACCCGCTTCGCCGCCCGGCAGCCCACCGGCTGCACACCCGCAGATTTTGGATTCTCTCGGCCGCCCGATTGACAGTCGACGGTTCCACCCGGAATTTCTGGCAGCAGCGAAAGACGAAGAACAGAAGCAGGTGATTGATGACAGTATCAGTCCGGCAGACAAACACGTGATGAGGCGGGCGAGCACCCTGCATTTCTCCTCCACCGACGTCTCGAAACGCCCGGAGGCGGGCTGGAAGAACATGCCCCACAAGTACGCCGCCCGCATTGCGCGCGACCCGAACGCGAGTAACCTCGTCCACACCGGCCCCTCAGTCGCGCTCTCCGCTCGCGGGAAGGGATCGACGAAGAAGGACGACATGCCGAAGGAAGAAGAGGATTCCTGTTTCCGAAACCCCCTCGCACCGCCGGGAATACACTTTCGGGCGCCGCCGAGAGTGCCAAGCTCTCTACAGGTACCGTAGACAAGACAAAAAAGATTATTGCACTTTTCAGGTTTTCTTGAGTGCGTCGGCATGACATTCGCATTCCATATGAATTTCGCCCAGTCCTCCACCCGACGTCGCTCGCGGGTGATCTGGTAACCAAATGCGCAAATAACTTCTAGCACCTCGCAAAAACCACTACGTCTGGTACTGGTTGTAGACGAGCTACTAGTACTTTCTATGACGAGGTGCATCTATATATTATATAGATGCACCTCGTCAAAGGTACAAATATATAGATGCACCTCGTCAAAGAGAACAAATACAAATATTTAAGATATTTGTATTTGTTCTTTTACGTTTATGTTTATCCTACGCCTCACGATTTCGATTTCATCCCACTTGTTGACAGGTTCGTAAATTGACGCTGGGATCGCATCCGGGCCTGGGTTTGAGGCTGGCGCCGCCCGAGGCGATTTCGCTCGCGGCGATCAGCAACGGCGAGTTTACCAACAGCACCAGCGGCATCCGGCGCGGTAGCAACATTGGCCGCGAGCGGTTTCTGGAAATGTGCCCGGCCGAGGACGCGCTGGAAGTCTACTACGACGGTCTCTTCATTCGCCTGGTCCAGGACCCCAACCTCGCCGTGGAGGTGCGCATGTTCCACACCTGGGAGGAGTACATTTTGCACGAAAACGCGTGTTACTCCGCGGGCCGGAGCTCGCGCCCCTTCTACCGCGACGCCGAGAAGTTCCAGGTCGGCACGGAGATCCAGGTGTTTTACCACCACCGGTATGCCAACCAAATGTTCGTCCTCAACTCCGACGGCTCGCTGTCCCCGAAATTCAAGCCGGACCTGTGCATTGGCGGGATCCGGCTCACGCCTGAGACCGAGAACGCGCTGCTGAACGCCCGCGGGGGCGGAGGTGGACAACAAGGAAATAACCGACCCGGAATGAAGCTGATCGGGAAAGGCATCAGCAGCGGCGCGCTCCTCGAGGAAGGAGAACACAGCGGCCCACCCCCGCAGAGGCAAAGTTCGAGGAACAAAAAAAGTTTCTTCTTCGAGGGCACGCACAGCCGCGGTCCCGCGGCGAACAAGGGCTCCACGGCGCTGAGCCGGCTGCGTGGCGACGGCAACGACTTGGTGCGGCAGGGCGGCCCCCAGATGCAGCGGGGCGGGCTGGCGGGACGGTCGATGACGTCGGCGTTCTCCCGGTCGAGCGCCAGCATTGACCCGGAGAAGGAGAGCGCCATGCAGCTGATCAAGCGGCAAGGGACGGTCGCCTCCCTGTCCTTGATGCAGGACGAAGAGATTCGGGCGATGGCCGTGAACGACTCGAAAAAGATGCAGCGCACGCAGATGGAGCGGGTCCGCGAGTTTCCGGACGCGAACAAGATCTTTTTGGTGAAGTGCCAGTCGCCCCTGGAGAAGCTGGAGGACCAGATGCTCATGCAGCGCTTTCACTTCGACGACGTCTCCGGCGTGCCCGTCACGGGGCTGCGCGACGTCCACCCCGAGACGGCGATCAAGGTGCAGCTGTTCACCTCCACGGGAGTGCCCCTGGTCATCATGCAAAAGGTGCTTGGCAACGTGGTCTACCTGGGAAAGCACGTCAAGGACATCCAAAACATCGAGATGATCGAGGCCCTGGACACCTTGCTGGTCTCGAACCCGAAAGATTTTACAGGAGAGAAAACGAAAAGCAAACCGGAGCTTCGCAGCCCCGCGGGCAGCTCATCTGCCAGCACAGAAAACCTCACAAGTGCTGCGGGCACTGCCGCTGGTGTTAATGGTCCTTCGACTGGCGCAGCTGCTTCGGCTTCCTCCAGTGCGACCGCGACTACAAATGGCGACGTCAGTTCCGGTATCAAATGTAAAAATGTCTGGGTCTGGAAGATTCTGAGACTTGTCATGCATGTTTTGCATTGGCCATGATGTCTGTGATGCATGCCCTAGCATCACAGATTTTTTGAGGGCCTCGCGATGCCTATTCCGCATGACAAATGCCCTCTCCGCGTAGCAAAAATTGCGTTCCCTTTGCTGCTCATGCAATACAGATTTTTTTAGAATCCAAAATCAGCATGACAAGTTGGATTCTTCCAGACCCAGACATTTTTACAGTTGATATCCGGCGACGAGCGAGAGATGACGGCGCGCGAATCCCAAGATCAGTACTCTACAGTGGATGGCATGGAGAAGCTGACAAAGAGACAGTACAACCCGCGCGTTGCGCTGGAAATGGAGTACAAATACTCCGATAAGGAGATGAAGGCCGCGTTGGCGCGGAAGGTAAGCCGCCACGTGACTCGGCAAAGCGGCCTGCTGCTTAACTCGCGGGGCGGGGTGCCGGAGCACCGAAGTATGGCCGAGTGGCACGCGGAGAAAAAGCAGACACACCGAGAAGGTCTTGGCGCGCTGCACGGCGCGCTGGGGGGGGAAGATCCCCACGCGGCGGGGGCCGCCATCATACACGAGCCGGTTCCAAATGCGGCCACTCCGCGAGAGTACTCGGCATCAACCCTGGCCGACCAGCACGACCCTAACATTGTTCTTGAAACAGGGCAGGATCCGCGCGCATCGACGTCCTCTGCTGCCGCGTCACCTACTGCGAACGACTCCGCAAACCCGAATGATATCGGGCTCATCATGAACGCCGAGCCAGACGCGGAGCCAGCTCTGGGCAACGATGGCGCGGCGTCGAAAACAACGGGCATAACGGTGGACCGGGAAGAAGACGACTCCCCCGCAGCGTCCCATACCAATAATCCGGGCGCGGCAGCAGTAGACGCGCAGCCGCCTACTTCGCCGTCTGTCCCTGCGGCGGACGTCGCGATAGCTGTCAACAATACCGAAGTTGTAGAGAAAAAGATAGTACCTGTAAAAATCATACCTCCGGCAAAAACCGCGTTGGGGCGGTTTTTCCAAAAGCTTTGCGGCGGAAAGGTAGCAACCGGGGTGCGCCAGATGACGATAGGCGCCCTGATGGACGTGGGCTCGGAATCCGGCTCCGCCGCCAGCATCGACGCTGCAAAGGGGTTCCACTTGGAACAACACGACCCCGTCATTCGGTACTTTGGAGAGCTGAACTACATCGCCCGCCTGACCGGCCGGGAACTGAAGCGGATGGCAAATTTTCGTGTGCACAAGCTCTGCGACCGCTACGGCATCCGCGTGGAGGAGTGTATCGCCCACCTGCTCGGCCCGTCGGGGCAAACCCCGCGGGTCCACTTTTCCGAGGATGTTGACGGCCTGCACGACCTGATGTTGACCAACCCGCAGACGCTGGCGCACGAGGCGTCCAAGGAGGCCGAGTGGTACCTCGCGTGCGACAGCTACCGGCCCGCAACGGCCCGAGGAGGCTCGAACGCGGTGAAGAGAAACAAATCGTGGAGGCCCTTGGAGGTGTACTTCAGCGCGAAGCGGCGCACCATGCGCCTGGCCGCGGCGCCGAGATTGGCCATCGACTGCTCCGACGCGGTGGAGACGGAAACGCCGCTGCTGTGCCACTACTGCACCGGAGCGGACACGCAGCGGTTCCTCGTGAATCCGGATGGCACGGTGTCCCCGATCTACCGCCGCGACCTGTGCTGGGGGCTGTCCAAGACGGGAAAGATCATCCTGGTGTCCGCCCTGGACACCATTTATGCATTGCAAATTTGTCTGGGTCTGGGAGGATGGAACTTGTGATGCGTCCGGTGGCTCACGCAAAAATCTGTCTTGCGTGATCACCAAAAGTTGCTTTTTTCTGACCAACATGACAGGAAGTCTCTCATGCAGAATAGGCATGATAGAGACCTCACAGAATCTGTCATGCTAGGTCCCGCATTCCAGACCTCACGGAGCATGGAAGTTCTGCAATACAAGTTTCTATTCGTGTTCCAGCCCCAGACATATTTGCAATGGATACCGTTCGCCGCCTGCATATTCGGGTGGACGACGCCATCCCCCTGGACGAAAGCGCCTGCCGCCTCGGCCCGGAGCGGGTGTTCCGCTTCGACCTGGCCTCGCACCGCGGCTGGGGAATCGCCATGAAGGTCGGCCCCACATGCGCCAACGGACCTGTTGGTATACACATACACATACTTACACTAGTGCTTTTTTTTGATGTTAAACGTAAACAGTACTACACGACATGAAAATGAACATGTTTGAACTAAATCTTCTTCCTGAAGAAACAAATAGAAACTGCACGTCGAGATGACCGGTCTTTCTGCACCCCTTTCTGATGCTGTGCTGAGTACGCGGCAGTGAGTAGAACTAAAAATAGAACTAGAAATCGTCACTACACTACAAAAATGAATCTTGACTTTCCAACGTTGAGCTTGATCCAACTTTGTTCAGGTTTGACGAAGCATCTGGGTCAGAAGCCCGTTCCGACGATGTCGCAGGACTCCGTGATCGAGTTTTTCTTTGACGGACCCTTTCTGCGCAGTGCGAAAAATCCGCACGCGGCGTTGTGCTACAAGGAGGAGGACCACGACGTGGAGTTCAGTGCGATTTCCAATTACGCAGACGACAACGAACTGCACCGGTACTGCTGGACGCTCCACCCCAATCGCGTGATCACGCCCCAGAGCGTGCCCGAGTTTTGCCTCGGCGTGTCCAGCAATATGCGTCGCGTGCTCCTCATGGACACCGAGATGCTCCACTTCAGCAACTACAGCAAGGGTAAGCACCCGATATTGCTGCACATCCCCGAGAAACCGGGGCCCGCGCCACAAGTAGAGTCTCCGAGCAACGTGGAACGACCGCAACGACAGGGGTCGAGCCCGACGTCTAGTACTGGCACCAACGCCGGGCGGCTCCCCACCCCGGCGGCCGCGCGGACGCTGCGTCGGCGCGCCACCGACCAAAATACGAAGGACGAGACCCCGGAGTCCGCGCTCGCGAACGCAGGGCCCCAAGAGCCGCAGGGGCACTTCGACTACGGGTGGTGGCAGGCGCAGAACCTGCTGCTGCACGTGCAGCGCAAGGTGGCCAACCGCAACTCGACGGCGCTGCTGACGGGCCTGAACGTGCGGGTGGCCATTTGGCCCAAGGACTGGGACAGCAAACTGGAGGCCAACGCGTTCGGCGAACTGACCGTGGTGGAGAAGGAGGAGGCCGAACCGCTGGAGCCCGCGGGCAAGGGGTTCTTCTTCCAGGACGACCGCGTCCACTGCGTGGACAACATGCAGAACGTGTGGACCATTGAGTCCCGCGACGGCAGCGAGCTGCGGCTGGGCGACCGCGTGCTGGTGGACCGCGAGGAGGGCATCGACGACTTCGCGGGGGGGAAGGTGTGGGACAGCGGGGAGTTCCGGGACCACCAGCACATGGCCTTCCAGCGCTGGGAACTGGCCATTCGCCCGGAGAACCAGTCCGCGAACACCACGAAGGTGCTGTGCACGATCTCCCCCCTCGGCTGCGCCGACGAGTTCGCGATCGGCACCGACCGCCACGGATTCGTCATTCTGGTCAGCCCGGAGAGCCCCAACGCCACCGTGTTCCGCGTCGAGCTGCTGGACGTGGGCCACATTCTGGAGGGCACCGAGGAGGACGGGGACCTGGGGGCGCTGGAGGTGCAGCTGAACAAGGTGGCGGGTGGTGCCGCCGAGGACGAGGCGGCGAAGGACCCCAACATCGTGCACGGCGCGAAGATTTTCAGTCCCAGAAAGAAGATACCCGACACCATATCAAATGGAAAAATCCCCCCTCCCCATATCGAAAACAAAATTTGTGATGCTGTATTTGAGTACACAAATCGACTTGTAATGCTAGAAGGCCAAGAGCCGCAGTTGTGGCCTCGTTTGCAGGCAATTTGTCATGCTGTTTCCCACTTCCAGTTGCTTCCTGTCATGCTGAAGATGCAAGGCTTCCCCACGCCACCCAGCACTACAGTCCGCATCTTTTTCCTTCTAGCATGACAAGCTCATTCGTGACTGCGAATCTGCATCACAGATTTCCGCTTCAATATGGGGAGGGGGGATTTGTCTTCTTGATACACCATGTTCCGCTCGCCCTTGCGGAGCAGCTTCGACCGCCAGGCGTACGCAGCCACCCTGAAGTTATGCATTGCAAATATGTCTGGGTCTGGAAACTTGTTGTAATGCTAAAAGTGATTGGTAGAGGCACTGCAATACGCAGCTATGCGTGACAATTTTTTTGGCTCCCATGTCTTACGTATTCCGCATGGCAAAGGCAAACTGCGTTTTTGCATGACAGGCAAGAGGGCCTTTATTTCGCGCCTATGCAACACAGATTCTTGAGTCATGCCAGACAAGCATGACAAACTTGCACTCTTCCAGATCCAGACATTTTTGCATTTGATAGAAGTACTTCGACTTCGAGTGCCACGGCACGGGCGACAGCGGCTACACGGACGTGCTGGACAAAATTGCGCCGCGGGTCCAAACCGCCTTGCTGCGAGCCGTGCAGCTCAACACAGAAGCCGAGGACGCACCGCTCGAAACGAGAGAGGACACAGATAACCTGAGTGGCGGCCAGGGCGGCGAGCTCCTCAGTGGAAATTCGCCACCACCGTCCGGCCGCCCGGCGTGAAATAAAAGATAGTATAGACGATATTACATAGCGGAGCTCATCGATTTTTGCGTCAGAGACAGAGGAGACGTGCAAACACAGAGTAGGACAGATCTGCTTGAGTTTATTGCATCTGATCTTGTACAAAAGTAGAACCACTACGTCTACGTCGACTCTTCGAGCTTACGACAACGTCTCAACCACTTGAAAATATCATGATGAATGACTTTCTCGTCATATTATGATTCATTTCTTTTTGCACTTGTTTGAACTTCGTGTACTCGAGTAGAAAAACATATGTTTTTGTTTCCCATGATTCTATATCTGTTCCGTTCCCTTCTCGGCCCACAATGACAACCACAAAGAAGCCGCATTCTGTCAGACAACACACAGAAAGAAGTAGAGAAAGGATATTACGACCTTCGAGCATGCCCGCCATGTCTTCTTGTGGATTCTCTACATTAGCCAGTACCACATAGTCCCAATTCCTTTGATGCAGATCGCATATAGTTTTAGTTCAGTAACTCTTCATCAGAGTTAGATTACCCGGCTGTGTCGAGTGTTTTTCCTCAGTCAGGGCATGGTGCACGGCGTTGGTTGTTCTACGAGTTCTTCTCCTCGCAGAGGTGAAATATGTTTTTGTAACCCTTCCTCGCCCGAGATCATGAGGGTCTGATCTCGTCGCGGGCACACAGATACAAAAGATTGCGGTCGAATTACGCAATCCATTTGGTTTTTTCAGGGTGACACCGGCACCGGTGCACTTCTTTCCCAGAATTCATTGTGCATTTGTTACCCCAAACCAAACAAGTGATTCCGGCAGATCCACCCCGAGCGACGAAAAGAGATCTTCTGCCGACGTCACGACCGAGGTCAATTGTTGCTGTCTACATGATAACTGGTCTATTGGTAGTACATTTGTTCTGAAGTTCACCATGATCCGCGCGCAACTAAGTATATCCATGGGACCTTGCAGTGATCCTCCGGCTCCCATGTTGAGTCCCCGAAAGTTCCCGCCCGTATTACTCATGGTCAATGCATTGTCGCAAATACAATTTGCCCGTCATGCTGACATTCCACTTCGTTGTAAATTATGTGTCCGTCTTTTTTCATTCCCGTAGAAGCCGGCTCAAATCTAGTTGGATGGTGCCATGATCATGAACGGCATTCATCTTACTTTACCACCTTCAAGCTTCAATTATTTCTATTTCTTAACTCTAACTCTAACTACTTCTTGTTCTTTCGCGAATACATCATGAACACCATACTCACATGAAACTACATATATAAGTAAAATCATTATATCTAAAGCTAAAAGACGAAAGCACATTGTCCAGATCTGGAAAACCAAGACGCGACGACCACGACACGAAATTGTTGAAGATAATCACGAACGACGAGAACGTGACAGGCAACGGTTTGTGGACGATAAACACTAAGACAACACCGTACCACGAGCTCGATAGACGACGAGGAAGTTATTCGCTCGACCCAAATAAAGCTGGATTCGGAAAACGAAGAACCTCCACGACTTTACTAAGCGGGTCGTGCGCGAATTTTGGATTACCCGGCACATCAGTCGCTTTTCTGCGGAATTCGAAGTATTAAGGCAACGCAGATTTTTCTTCCTCTTCATCCAGCACGGGTGCAGCCACGACCTGGTGCCACTATTCCGTCTGATTGCTGAAGAAGTACAAGAACTACTTCCGCAACGTACAAAAAAGTTTCAATTTTTCTTTAATATCACTCGCCAGCGTCACCCGCAGTGAGTCGCATCCATTCGCAACTCGCAAGTTTCCAGCATGAGCAAAACCTTTCACGAGGGCGGCCGTGGTGAAGGGCCGCGGACGCCGGGCGTCAGCTTCGAGATTGAGCCCGATGCTTTTGCGACTGAGAACCAACAAGCCGATGGGGCTACGGGGATCGTTCCCCGGCCAAGGAACTCCTTCAGTATGCAATCGAGCGCAAGAAGTGTCGTGCTACGTGTGGGCCTCGAGAACGATGGATACTAACAGAGGTGAAGAAAAAATAAGCGAATGCGCCAGCTGCAAAAGCAAACTCATTTTTAGTACATAACTTAATATCGTACTGGTGCTGCGTGATAATAATTGTGAGGGTGACGAAGCGTCGCCTTAATTTTTTTTTGTCATCGTAAGCATGACAGTGAAAGAAGTCGGGGAGGCAAAGGCAAAGGCATGGATCCATGTGCATAGATACTCTGTTTTTTTTTTCTCACATGTAGCAGGGCACCAATTCCTTTGCCGTCCACACCCTTCGCGACTCCGCAACATCAAGACGAGAATCAAACGGACCTCGCGCACCACGATGCGGAGTTGAGCATCAAGCTCTACGTGGACGATATGCAGTGCAAAAGTATCGTACTCCTACTCGTAGAAATGCATTACAAATTTCATCAGCATTAGAATTAAAATTTGCAATGCTAATTTGTCTTGAGAACAGTGCCTTAAGAACAGGATTTGTAATGCATGATTACAATACGAGTGCGATACTTTTGCACAGGATAGACGACAAGCGCAGGCAAGTGTGGCTGATGTCGCTGCTCTTCGGAGTGGCGCACGCCTGCGTAACTACCCCCCTTGGGTACGCCACGTCTGTGTTGGGCACGAAGGTGGGAAGTACCGGAAACGCATTTCTCTACGTGGCCTCCATGGTTTCCAGTCTCTGCGTCGCAACCGTCGCCCGGGCGAAGCTGGGCACGAAGGGCGCGTTGGTAGTGGGCTCCTGCAGCTTCGCCTTCTACGTCCTATTTTTCGGCATCGCAACCATGATCGTTGCGACGCAACGGTTGGCTTTGGCGGCGTCGAAGGGCGGAGGTTCGAGCGCGAGCGACGAATCTGGAAGCACTTCTTCGATGTTTCTTGTCGGTTGGTCTTCTGGAGAAGAACTGCCCCTTGTGTTGCACTCGGTCGGGTCCATCATCGGTGGTTTGGCGTCTGGGATTATTTGGGTTTCCCAGGGTTCTTTTATCGCGACTGCAACCGAAGTGACCGCACTGGCCCTCGCAGCGGCTCCGAAAGAAGGAGGAAAGACTCTTCCTGCGGGAGAAGTAGATGTTGTTGACCCCTTCGCCAAACTGTCTCAAGAGTTCGCCAGCCTCTTCAGCATGATCTACCTGGTCTGTGAAGTGTTCTTCAAGGTGGCTTCCACGGGACTGTTGTTCTTCGTGGGCGAAAGTCCGGCTCTGCGTGGCGGCGTGTTCGCAGCCTACGGTCTGATGGCTCTCGCCTGCATGGTCGGAATGCACTTTCTGCTTGATAAAAACATCGAGAGAAAGTTCAGCCCGACCGCTGCTCAAGAACAGGGGTTGCTGGAGGCAGGTCCCCTACTAGACGGAGCTCGTCGCCCGTCGCAGGTGCGTGAAGTCAAACTGACTGTTTTTCCGGACAGCAGCACGTCGACTGGGGGAAATAAAGACAGCTCAAGAAGTCGCGGTTCCCGCGCCGACCCTGGTGGAGCTAGTAGTAGCTCTAGGGCGAGCAAGCAGGATCAACTGGAGTTAGCGCAAAATCAAGACCGTGATTATGTCACCCAAGCTGGACAAAACGAGGACGACCCGTCATCGGTGGCCGCAGAGATCATGAACAACTACGACGACGGCAGTTCGCCGAGAGCCCGACGAGCAGCAGGCAAGATCAGCGAACAAGTCACACTGCAAGAACCCGACGCGGCAGTGCAAGAACGGGAAGAAAAGGAACGTGACGAGGTTCCGAAGCAGGAGCCGCGCTGGACAACGGCGGCCTTCTCCGCCATCCAGCTGATGTTCAGCGACCCCCGCGTGTGGTTCCTCATGTGGGTGAACGTCACCTTTGGGGTTTCCGTACCCTTTTTGAACGGCTGGGTCAACAACAAGATTACCACTCCGCTGATCGGATCCAATTGGATCGGGACCCTTTCCGCTCTCACACCGGTGACCGCCGCGATATGCAGTAGAATTTACGGATCGGCATTCAGCCAAAGCCCCTGGGTCCCGCTGTTGATTGCGGCAGTTTGCTTCGCGGCCCAGCCCGTCGTCATTTTTCTCAAACTCTACGAGGGAAATGCATGGATCGTCGTCGCACTGTACCTGTTGCAGGGAGCCGCCCGCGCGACGTACGAATCAACAAACAAGGGCGTGTGGACTACTTTGTACGGAAAAACGACGAAAAAAGACGCAGCGTTTGCGAACATTATGATCCAAACCTGCGCAACCACCGCGATATTTTTCTTCCTGGATGTATCAACCGCAAAAGTTGTATTGCTATTGCGACTAAGGTTTACTAGCTGGGTCTTTGAGCGAATGAAGCTGCAGCACCTCTTTTGCTTCTTTTGCATTCATCTGCCCCTTATAGATTGTCTTGCATAAATATGATCGTGCAGCTATACCTCTAGGAGCTGTTCTTGTTGGACCTACGTTTTGCGATAGACGTAGAGCAAGACAACGACCACTACGATGGCTGCAACTACACTTTTGCCCCGCATAAGAGGCCAGCGTGAGCGATGAGAGCCAGAAGGACGCAATGGGAATCACGGAGCTCTCTGCTGCTTTCTTGATTCTACCGTGCTACTTCATTGCCGTGCACTGCAAATGCTGGGGACGCCAGCGCGACGCCACTGACGGACCACATGAAGAGAGTACGACTCCGCGAGGAGGTACACCCTGGTGGATAAGCGCACAGATGTACGTGGATCGAACTCTATCAAGCAGAAAAGGTGTGTCTGTATCTCTATCGCTCTTGCAGAACGTGGACGCATTGGAGTTGAGGCTTCTAAACTCAACAGCAACAACAGTATGATACAGGCGGTCAGTCGCAGTCCTTCTGCAATTGTATATTTATTTCAGTTTTTGACTGTCTCAGGACCTATTGCGACTTGATTTGTAAAAATAAAAACGCCAATGCCGTGTCTGTTTTACCTGTATCTAAGCGCACCATCAGCATGGGAGATGCGGATAAGAATTTGCATTTGGATCATTTGCCGAAGAGAGTACGACCAACAGGACGCGACTCCTCTCGGGGCGGTACCAAGAACAAGACACGACTTCTCTCGTTTGATACTTCTATCACCTCCGCCAGAACCCCAACGGCCCTGGTTTTGTTCCGGAATTGCAGTTGTTACCACAGCCTGGCGATAGCGAGGCGTCGAGCAGCCGTGAGCAGGGAGCAATGCTTGACGAAGATTTCTCTCCAGCAAGCGCGATTCCACGCAAAACGCCAAAAAAGGACCGGAAGACGAAAACGCAAACTCACACCAAGTCCAAGGACCACAGGATGCTGCAGCGCGGACTGCTCAACCGAAATGAACGGACAAGAAAGGAACTGGAACCACGGGCGTCGTCCTCCTAAAGCAGGAGCGAGAACGAAGATTTTGGGAATAATACTGTGTCTTGTAAACGAATATCAGTACTATAACCAAACGCACAATGCATACCGATAGCACCATCATGTTGGCACCGCTCGAAACAAGTAATTGAGCATTGAGATTGACGTCAAAGACAAAGTCTGATGTCGAAAAAACTCGCAAGGTGTACATGTATTGTTTTTCGGATGTTGTGCTCGCTGTCTGGCGATTCATCTTCCTATCGCTAATGCTACCGTACCCGAAATCGTGCAGCAGCTGCTGCTGCACGATTATACCAAGTACAAACATTTATTGAGATGCTTTGCATCTCTTTTGTTTCATTTTCACTGCAACCTCCCGGAACAAGAGACAAAGAGTAGCCAAGGAGCGCACGACACACGAACCATCGGTTGTTTTTTTTTGTGTACAACCTGGCACTGCAAGGTCGATACCGATAGCATCCTCCAGTATAGGAGAACCACGCTGCGGCAATCGTAGTGATTCACCGTATGAATTTACATGATTTTCTGACAAAGCAAGCAACTACACCGAACATGGCGTATGACTTTTTGCCGTGTTTTCTCCCTCACACTGGCGAGGCGCAAAGAGTTGTCGAGAATTAGACCTACTACTGCTTAAAAAGATATTTTAGAAAGGACAAGGATTTTCTCATATGATTAGAGAGAGAGCACCGAGTTTCTTTGATTTTCGCTCTGCCATGGAACAGAGACAATCGAGAACCAACGCGTTCCGCATGTTTCTTTTGTTCAACAGGATCCAATAGCAGGAAGAGCAACCCTCTTTTTTCGTTTCAGTAAAAAAATCAATGAAAACCACTACTCGAAAAACGGTATTGCGTAAATTTTCATCGACCTTGACGTAAAAAGGCGACACTGAAAGTCATTGCATTTTTTTCAAAGGAGGAAGATAGAATCGCAGCAATCAAATAGCAACTCGTCTAGAAAAAAAAAATACTTTATATTTGAGACCTTATATTTTCATTTGGTCGCATTATCTCCACCACGCACTCGGAGCTGAAGACCACCACAGACTCCAAAAAATCATTGTTGCCTCTGTGCTGTCGCGGGAAGGCGAACAAAAACGCTGACTCCTGACAGATTACGTCTGAGTTGCAAGATGGGAGACGACGGCTATTCCGCATCGCAATTACGGTATGGAATTTTCTCTTCTAGTTCTCGCGCGTATTAATTCTTCTGTTCGAACAGGAAGGCAAGACAAGATGGGGATGGAAAATGTCCAAGATGAAACATGGCCTGCCGTGCGTGTGGAGAAGCATTTGCCCCTGTTTTAGTAAAAAAAAACTCAAACGTCTATGTGCATGTCACTCGGTGGAACAGTAAGTACAACAGTGCTTCACAAAACGTTATCAGGTCGCGATATGGGCCGGGAGGGAGTGAAGGCGATGCGAGTCTCTCGGCGTCGCAGTTGCGATCCAGACACGGGATCAATAACCGTATAATCGCAGAAGTAGACCTGCTCATGTTACTTTTGATCTTCAACTTTTTGCCAATCAGGAAGGCTGCTAATTTACGTACTGGCTAGATGAGAAAGATGGCAACATGACTTCGACTGCATTTTTACGATCATGGATGTGAAAGCAAAAGTTATTGCAGTAGCCACACGCACGCGAGGGCGAGCTATAAATTTCCAAAAATATCTTTCCAGGTGAGTTCAAGAACCAAGGCGGAGTAAATCCGGTTTTGCTAATCACCATTCTTCTGGGTGCCGCACTTGCCATCTACTTCTTCCTGGTGCGGGAAAAACTATAGTCTTGTACATGAAAATAAATAACTTCTAGTTTTGCTAAAAGGCTGGACGAAATATGATCGATATAGATAACCGGCATCGGTTCGGTAAGAAAATGAAAAGCTCCCGTAAACCTAAAAGATAAACCGACCAGGACCAGGGCGGCCGATTTGTATTTTTTTTTCTACCACCACAAGAGCGCGGATTTGTATTTTTTTTTCTTCGTCAATTTTCATTTTGAATGGAGATGGACTAGCAATTGATTGGTCATGCAACGGTGGTGCGCGCCTGCCTCTGTACGCGCGCAAGACTCGTGCAGTGTCGCGTGTGTCTACCGTGACCATACCAGGCCGGTTTTTTTTTTAATTGCGATCATTGGACGACGATGAAGATGATGAATAAACCACTTGTACTTTTTGGATAGTCTTTTCGCGCAAAGACTTCATACTTTTACGCCACGCAACGAAGAACAAAAACATAACATCACAACACACAAGCCACAAAAGGCTGCCGTTGTCGCGGTGCCCCCGACGCCAATGAGCATGTTTCTCAATAAAACGTGCATATATAGTCCTCCTGTGTGCAAATGGAATGCAATGTTCCTGGCGGTAGCCCTGTCGTATCTATGAAGCATCATCGCCAGCAGCAATTCACGAACGTACGCTCTGTATGACGGCACGTATTTTTGAACGATTTCTTAAAGGAACTCAAGCGTCGTGGTGAACGCTAGTACCTGAGGGAAAGTCGAGCGACTGAGAGGCCTTTCTTCTATCTGTCAATCTACTTCTGGATGTTGTTGCTTCTATGGTATCTTCTTTCGAACCTAGGTTGGCAACATGAACATTCACATGAAGATGAAGAAGGTCGAGGTGCAATAAATATACACCTTTCTACTCCGGTTTTACTGCTTGTAGGCCGAAGTTCCAGCATGGCTTTTGCGGATGAACAATAGCTGTCTGGTGAATCATGAAGTAGACCAAATTAGTCTGGTAGCTTGCGCATAGTGGGTGAATAACGTGGAGAATGAAGGAAAGAAGTATCCTTCCACCTCTTCGTGACATAAATTTGAGTGAGTACTAAATATTCTCCATGGTGCCGCAGGTCGTCTCTCCGGCAGGTGGTGCGGCTGCAGAAGCAGTTCTGATAAAAATGAAACAAAAATCCGCAAGGGCAAACACAGCACACCAGCGCCGGGCTCCGGGCGCAACACCTTCTCCCGGACGAGGGCGCGGAAGCAGCAGCAGCGAAGCGATGGAACAATTACCACGAAGGAGGAGGACCACCACTTTTCTCTACTCCGCCTGCACGGCGACCCTGGCCGCAACAACTGTTCTGTCCAGGACTGCCGTTGCCACGGATCATGCGAGTTTAACGAAAATGAAGTTTTCCTACGGGACCCTGAATCCGGCGTTTGATCCGGCCACTTTCGATTACACGTTGTCGGTTCCGCAGTGCAACGGCGAGCCACTGATGAATTTGGGCGCCGACCTGGAAGCCTCCGCCGGCGGAAAAATCATGGTGACCATGGGAGAGTTTGAGGACGACGGCAGCGCGGTGCTGTCGACCATCATACGGAGTAGTGAGGCCGGGATGGGAACCGGCGACTTCGCGGGTGGCGACATAAACGTCGCGCTCACGGAAGAGGCCCATTCCGGAGCCGAACCGCTCATGTACAAAGTCTACGTCACACCCACGCTCGACGACGAGAAACTGAAGAAAAAGGCCTGTGAAGCCACGGGGTAACAAGTGCTTAAGTAGAAATCTTCTAGGCGCTCTGCAAAACAATGAATTCTATTATTGTTGACCCCCTAGCAGTGCGGCACTAGGTCTTGATCATCAATAGACCAGGTGGACCGTGGCTTACGCGCTGGCGCACAAGAAATAAACCGGCTACAGAATCTACTACACTAGTATATGTGCTGATCACTTTCAAATTCAAACTTGCAAAAAACAAAATCATTGAAGAATTCAACGATAATAAATAAGGTCGACCACGACAACTAGTTCAACGATCCCTCCGATCACTTGTCCCATCTTGCACGCCACACTGAGTAAAGGCTTCTGCCGGTGTAACGACGGCTTCGTGGGTAGCTTGCAATTGCACGATCGCACATGGTTCGGGAAGTGTATCAAGAGACCACCGAGGTACTTAGTTGTACTATACGGAAAGTTTTGCTTCATCGGGGGACGAATCGAAATAAAGGTAGCATCGCTTCTAACAAAAATATGATGTTGGTCGTTTTTTGTATGCAAGAAGACTGAATGATAAATGTGCGTACACTTCATCAAATCCATATGCTGAATAAACAGTGGTGCGTGGCCGTGCCAGGGCACATTTCCCTTCAGTTGTGGCCGGTGTCCGACGTGCCAAGAAGCAGCAACACTACTGGAGGACGTGAGCAATTCGTGTAGCTTGGACCAGATTCACTTGAACGAAATGGTGTGGCACACGCAGAAGGGAAGCTTCGCCACGGTATGAAACTGTCATCAAAGTCAAATCTTTTTGTTGTATAGATACTTCATAATCAACCAATTGAATGATATGCATCAGGCGAACTACTACAACAGCAAGAAAAAAATTTTGAATTGGTACTTCAGTCGTGAGTTGTGCCACCCGAGACATACATGCTGTCTGGGATATGACGAATGGAATTTTTTGTAAGTGATTACCACCAGCAGCAGCAAGGTGATGCAGCTGAGCTTGATGTGCCTTATTCCGTTTGGTGATGGTGGCAACGTATGGCAAACGCCGACTAAAATAAACGCAACGTTTCGACTCGTCCTCCGCACGCGATCAGGTTCACCCCGACATCAAGGAGAAACTATGCGTGTCGCCAATTTTATCCAAGAAAAAAACATTGTAGGTGTAAATTTTTTGTGGAACAGCATTGCAAATTGGTCTGGCATGACAACAAAAACCTGTCATGCGCAGATAGTACGTGAAAACGCCGGTTGATGGACCCTACGATGCATGCGAAGCATGACAGACGCAATCATCTTGCATGTTGCGCATCACAAATTTACACTAACAACGTTTTTTTCTTGGATAAATTTGCCGCTGGCGCGTGGAGCTCGCGTGGAACTCCTTTACCACCTGCCAGTCCCTTATCAAATGCAAAAATGCCTGGGTCTGGAAGGTTAGAACTTGTGATGCTAATTTTGGACTCTAAAAAAATCTGTATTGCATGACCAGCAAGAGGAGTCCAGTTTGTACTACGCGGGGAGGGCGTTTGTCATGCGGAGTAGGCATCAGGAAGCGCTCTAGAAGTCTGTGATGCTAGGTCGTGCATTACAGACATCCTGGGTCATGCAAAACATGCATCACTAATAGACGTGCAAATGCGTCATGCAAAAAAAACTAACGCGTCATGCAAAACATCCTGGGTCATGCTTTAGCTAATAGGCGTCCCCCTCGCAGCTCACCTCCAGGACTTCGGGGACCCCACTTTTCCAAGGTTCTTGGCTGTGGATGGTTCCTCGAGGTTCGTCCGCGTAGTATCTTAAGCCTGTCGCACTATTCCACTTTCACCAGTTTCAACCCTACGGGGGGGAGGCCTGCATTCCTCCTTACTAGACACCCTTGCTCCCTACTTCTCGTTTCCGCCGGTCGCGCATGTGCGATGTTGCCCGCTCGGAGTTTTCTGTTTTCCATGCGACTCCGCAGCATCCAAGTTTTTTTTTGGTCATGTCTTCTTCAGGTTTTGCGCATGACTGGGCACACTCACATCCGAGATCGCTGAGGCGGGTGGGGGGTCCGAGCCAAAAAAAGGTCTTTGTGTCGCTTTGGTTTTCTAGGTGCAAAACATGCATGACAAGTCTCAGAATCTTCCAGACTCAGACACTTTTGCATTTGATATCCCTGGCCCGGGCGCGATTCGAAGAGGAGGTCCACTGGCGGGACCACACCTTGTCTCTGGTCACTTCCAAGCGGTTGATTGAGGCGTTGCATGCCTCCAAGGATACCTGCCACCTGGTAACCCCGCACCAGAACGCCGCGTCCTCGTGTATCAACGCTGAATTATATATGTGTCTACTGGGTCTGCAAGAAGGATAAGAAGAACATACTTAGTAACATTTGTGATTCTTACGTGACATGTTGCCTCTAAGCACGAACTTTGCTCCAGATGACCATGACCGCTCAGACACATATAATTTTGCAAGCCATATCGGTGATGATTTCGCAAAAGTTTCTGGTTACCGGCGTCGACCTGCGTTCGGACATCACGATTAAAGAGGCAGAGCTGGCGTTCCGGCAGGCCTTCAGCAAGATCCTGCACCACCCGCTGCGGCGGCTGGACGTGTCGGTGGAACCGGAGACCTGCTCCAAGGACCCGGTGTGTGATCACAACATGTGCGGGTACGGGGAGTGTGTGCCGTGGAAGAGTCGAGAACCGCTGGACCTGACCCTCCTGGACGGATCCTACAGTTCGCGGCACCCCAACCGCGTCGGCGACTACGGGTACCGGTGTTTGTGCAACGAGTGCTTCACGGAAACCATTTCGGCCGGGGGGCAGCGCACCTGCGTCCGCGACAAGCAGTGCAAACCCAAGAACTACTGCGACCCCAACCCCTGCAACTGCGGCGGGGAGTGCATCAGCAACCCGGAGGCCGCGGCGCGGGGGGAGCCGGGTTTCACCTGCAAGTGCACGGGCTTTTTCAGCGGGCCCACGTGCGACAAGCTCGAGTGCCCCACCGGGTTCGCGGCCGAGGAAACCTCCATTTCGCAGGACTTGTGCCAGGAAACCTGCTCCCCCGTCGCGCAGACGAACGCCTGCGACCCCAACCCGTGCCAGCACGTATGCATTGCAAATATGTCTGGGTCTGGAAACTTGTGATGCAAGAAAGGGAATAGTGAACTCACTATGATGCGCGGCTGCCAAGCATGACAAGTCTTTTTCATGGTTCTGAGTTGCGTACTCCGCATGATGAACTGCGTTTTTGCATGACAGGGGGGAGGAGCTCTTCGCGGCCATGCAACACAGAGTTCAGAGTCATGCCAGACTAGCATGATAAGTCTCGCAATCTCCCAGACCCAGACACTTGCATTTGATAGCACGGGGGCACCTGCGATCTCGATCACGATGCGCCCGACGGCTTCAAATGCGACTGCCCGGTCTCGTTTGGCGGGAAACGCTGCGAGCACCTGCACTGTCCCGACGGGTTTGAAATCGCAACCGGCGGTGACATCTGCGTGCCGAAGAGTACTAGACTAATTGACGGCTTTCTGGTGTTTTAGTTTTGCTTTTGGGTGATGGAAATAAAATATCATGTGGCGATGGTGACTTTGACCTCAAAGCAGCTGCTGTACCCGTCGTGGTCACAGATATTATCATGACTATGCCCATGATAATAATTCATTGATGGCCTTGTTCAAAATGAAAATCAAAATGATGTTTAGTGGCGAGCGAAGAAGCTCCTGCTGTAGCACTTGTACAAGAACGACGTGAAATAAACCACATTCTGACAGACACAAATCTTCCGCCGCCACCCAAGAACGACTGCACCGTATGCGAGGATAATCCATGCATGAACGACGGCTACTGCCAGGTCGTCGACGATGACTGCAACTACCAGTGCTCGTGTGTAGCCGGCTTATCCAAGGAAAAAAGCGTTACAGTTACACATTTGCAGTGAATTCAGCATTACAAAGTTGCATCGCATGACGAAGAAAACTTGTAATGCAGAGATCATAAAGCAAAACACGAAACGAGACTCGCAAGCATTTTGCGCATGGCAGAGGCCATCTGTCTTGCATGTTTTGCATCTTAGTTGCCGTGGTTCCTTCGGTGGGATGAGCGTCCGGTGTTGCTTCGGCACTTTTGTGTTGTTGCATTTGTGAATGCGAGGGCAGTGGTGGACTGAGGTTGCTGGAGTCCTCCGTAAGGACGGCTCCAAGTTAATTTCTGACTACTCCGCTTCCTTGTGCCTCTGCTTTAGTGCTAATTTTTAGTGCTTTAGCTAATAGGCGTCCCCCTCGCATCTCACCTCCAGGACTTCGGGGACTCCACTTTTCCAAGGTTCTTGGTTGTGGATGGTTCCTCGAGGTCTTTGTGTCGCTTTGGTTTACTAGGTGCATGTTTTGCATCACAATGTGTAACTCTAACACTTTTTTCTTTGCATACGGCTGGACCGGGGACTACTGCGAGACCCAGGAGGACGTGTGCGCTACCGCCACCTGCAGTTCGAGCGAGGTAAGTTTTTTCTAGTAAAGTGGCAAAGGAAAACAACGCGTCTGTCAAACTTTTGACTTGTTCTCTTTTTTTATTCAAAGAAGATCAACATGTACATGTAAGCAGCACGTGATAGAAGGGTGGCACTGCAAAAGTAAGTACAGTAATGCACAGATCATGATCCGATCCCGTCGAGCACGAGTGGTAGTTTCATGAAAAAATAAACGAACAGACCTGCACCCCGGACGACGAGGCGACGACGGGATACGTTGCTGTTTGCCGCCGGATTTGGGGGCGCGGCAAACCGGCGCACATTTTGCGCGGACTTTGCCTCGCGGACTTTCTGGCCCAATTTGGTCCGCCTCGGAGGACCTTCCCCCGACGGCACTACCTCGATTTCATTAGCAGCATGGTCAAAAATTAGGAGAGGACCCGTCAGAGGACCCGAGGGTCCTCTGTCGGGTCCTCTGGCCCAATTTGGACCGCCTCGGACGGCCTTTCCCCGATGGCACGGCCTCGATTTCACCAGAGGACTTTACAGAGGACCCGTCAGAGGGCCCGAGGGTCCTCTGTCGGGTCCTCTGGCCCAATTTGGGCCGCTTCGGAAGGGCCTCCCCCGGTGGTATGGTCCCGATTTGGCCAGAGGCCAGAGGGCTGTGCACATGGACCGTCGAAGGGCTCCGCAGCCCTCTGATGCGGCACCACGGACATTGCGGCAAACCGGCGCACATTTTGAAACGCACTCGGGTGCAGGCGCGCGACCTTCGGCGTGTCTGCAAGCGCGCTGCGTCAGTCTGTCTTAACTACACGGCCCGCATTGTCCTCGCTTGGTTATCAAGACCCCACTCGGTTGCAGGCCGCCACATTTGCCGCGCTTTGGTTGTCAAAGCGCCGCTTTGACAACCACACAAACCACACAAGTTGGCAACTTGTAAGAACCAAGCCGAAGCAAGAAATGTGCGTCGGTTTGCCGGTGCCCGTGCTCACCGCCAACGCGGCAAGGGCAGGGACCCCTAGCTAAGGCCGGAGCCTCTGGCGCAAGGGCGCACCCCGGACGACGAGGCGACGACGAGGCGAAGGGTCCCGGATGCACCTTAGCTGGCCTCTCGGCCCGAAACTTTCCGCGGCTCAGAGAGGCCTACAATTTTCCTGTGCGGGAGGCCCGGAACAACGTTTCCTGTCGGGGGACCCGAGCGCCAAATTTCTTCGGGGCTCGGGTGCCTTCGAGAAAAGTAGTGAGAAATCACTGATTTCTCACTTTTGAAAAATTCTCACTCTGGAGTCGGACTCCAAAAAGGTTTCCAGCCGTCAAGATTTCGCGAGAGTGAGAAGTCACTGATTTCTCACTTCTTTTCTCTAAGCCTTTCGGGATGTGTAGGCGACTTCTCACTCCGAGTGAAAAAACCAGTGAGCTTTCACTTGGTTTTTTGAATGTCTTCGGGAGGCAGCGCGAAAGCTCGCTGCGTGCGAAAAGTTAGTGGAGTTTCATTCTCCCACTTCTCCAGCCTATCCGTAAAATATAGCCAATAGGAGCGGACTTCTTAGTCCCTTCCTGAGGGGACCTCTGGGCGAGCCCGAAGTGCAAAGCCAGCGCGCTTTCGCTTTTGTTGTCAGCGCGCTCGCAAAGTCAGCCGGCTTTGATTGCCCCCCCAGGGGAATTTGTTTTGTGCCGTCGATCTTCGTGCTGCTGCAGAGGTTTGCGAAGCTTCAAAAGAACTACTAACTTACACTAGCGCGCCAAACTGATCGACTTCCTTGGCGCGAATTCTGTTTCTCGAAGGCGTCCGGAGAAATTTTCCGGCGAAAAGGGGGGGGCTTTTGCAAGTCATGCTTGATTCCAGTCAACTTGATTCCAGGATCCAACTTGATTCCATGTAACTTGATTCCAGTCACCAACGTGATTCCAAGAATTTGAGCAACTTGATTCCTTGGACGTCCAAAAATAAACGAACAGACCTGCACCCCGGACGACGAGGCGACGACGGGATACGTGTGCTTGACTCGGCGCGGCCATGCAGCCCCGGGCGCTCTGGCCGGGGATCGTGCTAGCAGGGTTCCAGCTACCACGGCACCGCGTGGCCGAGGCCTTCGGTTCGGTTGTCGGTGGGAAATAGAATTCGGATCGTGGCCGAATTCTATTTGGCCGGTGCCGAATTCTATTGGGCCGGCTGGCCATTTTCTCGCACGTGCGCGATTTCTGGCCGCCCGGCCAAATAGAATCTGGCCAGAGCCGCAATGCTGTTGGTTGTGGGAGCCGTCTGGGATGGGTTTGGGGTCCGGCTAATGGTGGAAGAGAAGGGCGCGCCCTCCTCGTTTGTGTGTTTTGCGTGTGGCGCGTGCCTCCCCCGGTGGGCCCGTTTCTTTGCATTGCGCCGCCGCAAAGCCCCGCGGCCAGCCACAGGGGCGAGCGACCATGCAGTGGCGCCCCGGTGTGTTGCAGTTCCTGCCGTTTCGTTTCTTTGGGGATGCAAAAGGCGGTGGGCGCGCGCCGGCAATTTGCTCTGGCAGCGCCCTGCCATTGGGGCGGCTGCGCTTCCCGCCGCAAATTGGAAGGCGGCTTTCGGGCTATTGGTATGTCCGTGGGCCCGTGATAATAATCAATGGCCTGTGGGAGCCGTGACAAGGGGCTGCGAATATCTTGGCCCCCCCATGTTGGCAATTTATTTGTCGGGCAACCTATGGCCCGGGTGGTGCATCTATCAGCTGGGCGACCGCGCGCCGGTTCAATTTGGTGCAACGTAGAATTGCCCGGACAATTGCAGGGGTGTGGCGACTCGCGCTCCAACAATTGCTCCGCGCATTGGGAGACTCCGGATCTTCATAGGTCCAAACGGTTCGCTGGGAGGGCCAAAACAGCCATACCAATCGGGTTTGTCGACCCTGCGTTTTTGCATTTTGTCCAATCATAAACAGACCTGCACCCCGGACGACGAGGCGACGACGGGATACGTGTGCGAGTCCCGCCGCGTCCGGCGCTTAAATTTTGAGCGGTTCATCAAGCGGCGTTCTTTGGCGGACGCCAGCGTGGGCAACTTGGAGGAGACCTGGGTGAAGGGGGGATCCGTGCCCACGGTTTTGCCGTTAATTCCCGGCGCCGTGGAGCCGCCCACGCCCTCGAAGTGCACCGTGTGGCAAAAATCCAGTGGGCTCCGCTCGGCGGTGACCCTCTCCGTGAAATGCCCGGAGGGCGACTCCGCCTGCCAGGACATGGTTTCGCTGCTGGACACAAAGCACCGCTACGGGGACTGGGCGGACCTGGAAAAGTGGACGCGCAGCAGCTGTGTCGCGGCGCACGTCAACTCCACTAGTGAGCCGACCGAGGAACGCTTGCTCAGCAACTGCCCCAGTCAAAGTACTACAAAGTTTCTTGCACAAAAAAAAAGTCAGTTTTTTGTCATTTTTTCCATCGTCGTGCTGTGCCTGTGCATGTTGGTTTTTCTTCCCAGGGCCAGGTTTTGCATTGATATCGTTCACGCACATCATGTGGTCGTGGACATACATGTTCCTCCCCAACTACAAATAGGCGAGATGAGGAAAGCGTGGAACAGTCTTCACGGGACCTGCCGCTTCGCGGAGCTTGGGTTGGCGGACTGGGACGGCAGCGGCAGCGAGGTGGACGTGGTGATCAGCGACGCGGGGGTGGAAACTGTGGACGACGTCTACCGCCCGCTGGTGTGCGGGTCGGGCGTCTGCCGGGCGATGATTCTCAAGTACTCGGAGCTGTTCAACACCTGCCGGAACTCCGCGCCCGGGGTGATGGGCAAGCTGGCCCGGCGCGCCAAGGCGCTGAAGAACTTCGCCTCCTCGTGCAGCAACCCGCAGGGCGAGGCCGTGTTGCGCCAACAGCTGGCCGTCAACGGCCTGCTCGACGAGCTCTCGCAGGTCGAGCTGCAGCAGGCCGAAACGTTTGTGCGCAACTCCCTACTGGACCGCATCGGCTCCACCATGTCGGACCCCGACCAGCTCCTGGTGCTGGCCCGGCCGTCCCTGGACACCCTGAACACCATCAACAGCCGGGTCACGGTCCCCACGCCGGCCTTCGCGCCGACCTTGCTTCCGGAGGACCGCAACGGCAAGCTGGCCACACCCTGTGCAGGGCTCTGTTTGGTGGCGACCCAGCCCGGGCCCGACCCGCACGCGAGCAGCGACTATGCATTGCAAAAGCATCGTACTAGTATAAATTGCATCACAAATTAGCCCAGCACTACAAATTGAATGTGCAATGCTGATCTCCCTTGCAAAAGAGACTAAATGCAATTACTATGAGTGCGATGCTTTTGCGATGCATAGCGACCCCAGTGCCCACATGTACGCCACCTTCAACCGACCCATCAAAGCCGGCCCGTGCTTCACCGGGGCCTATGAGTATACTCTCTACAACCTGATGTGCAACATGGTTTATCTTTAGCTTTAGCTTTTCGTGTTATTTGATGCCCGCGGCATAAGTACAACGACAAACCATGTTCATGTGGACTAGTAATAGTATTGCGCACCTCACAGAATGGCTTGGGCTTGTCCAAAGTAGAGCCATTTTCTGAGGCACCAGTAGAGCTGGACGCTGCGTGTAAAAATTTTCGTGAACAACAATGCGGGGTCGACTTCGGCAGTGAGGTTGTGGACGAGAATAAAATAATGCTTCGTCGGACAGTGTTACTAGTGAAAATCATTGCCGATGTATAATCACAAAGCCTCTTCGGCGTGGCGACGTGCGAGGTGAAGTTCGAACCGTCGACGATCGCGTCGGCCAAGAACACCCGCGTCTTGACGAAGTTGGACAGCGAGCTGGTGTTTTCCGGCGAAACCTTGGCGTTTCGGCCCGGATTGCAGCTGGCTCCGTTCACGAACTACACAGTGACCATCAGTGCGGTAGGGCGTTCTCAAATGTTACATTCTCACCTGTTACACGAATTTGTGATGCAAGAATCGCAACAGTGAAAGTGGCAAGATTGCTGATTGCAGCTTTCGCATCACAAATTTTCCACAGATTATCACGCTGTTTAGCCCTTCGAAAATTTGTCATGCTAAGCACCTTGACCAAGTGGAGGCTGATGCCAATTCTGCATCACAAATCCGTGTAACAGTTGAGAATGTAACAGTTGAGAATGCCATACGCGGGGCTGGTGGCGTCGATCCAAGACGAAACGATCGACGTGGACACGACCTACTGGTTTCTCACGGGCGCGCCGCGCGGGTCCTCGGTGTCCGTGTCCATCGCGATCGGGTGCTACGACGAGTCCGAGTGCTCCTCGATCGCCCCGGAACTCCAGGCGATTGCGGACGCCCCGGTATCGAGCCTGATCGACCCACTGACCAAGCACATCCAGGAGTTCCGGTCCACGGTGACGCCGCTGCAGCTGCTGGCCCTGGAGAAAGAGATTGAAGCGAAGACCGAGAACGCCCTGCTCGTCGCCCAGGGACTGCCCCCGGTGGACTTGAGCAAGACCACCACCCCGCCACCGGAGATGGGCGAAACCACGGGCGCGCCGCTGGTCGTGACCACGACCACGACCACCACGCCCTTCTCCCTCACGGGCACGCTCTTCGGGAGCGACGACGCAAGCTCGGTTCGCCGATCCCTGAAAAAATCTTCTATTGCATCCAGTACTACTACTTCCGACATGAACCGGATGTTGAAAGAACAAGCAAAGAAGACCACAAAGACCACCAGACGCGGGGAGTTGTCGGCGAGCGAGCGGGCCCTGCTGGAAACGGAGACCCACGTCGCGAAAATTCCGCGCGCGATGCAGGGATTGCAGCCGGGTTTGAACCACGCGCTGTTCGAAAAAGACGTGCGGAAGGCGACTCTGGCGCACAAGATTGCGCAGTTGGAGGATCTACGCATTGCAAAAGGAAAAGTACCGTACTAGTATAAATAGCATGACAAATTTTATCAGGAAGAAACTTGGAATTTGTAATGCAGATTTGGGTAGGAAGCAAGAAGATTTGTCAGGCATACCTGCAATTCATACGAGTACGATACTTTTGCACTTGATAGGACCAGAACGGGTTCGTGGACGCGGCGTGGCACCAGATTCGCCGCAGCCTGCAGGCGGTTGCGGGCGGGTCCGGCGGCGCCGCGACGCCCACCGCCAGCGGCGGCGAGCCCGTCGTGGAGGTGCGCGGAGAAATGGTGGCCGCGTGGCTGCCGCCGAACACGTGGATGTTCTTCGCACGCCTGGTGCCCTTCGTCTGTCTCCTCGCCGTCGTATCAGATGCAAATATGGTTGTGTCTGCTTTCCGGAAGAACCCTTTGGCTTTCATCTCAGCTTAGTAGGTACGCTGCCCGGATGAGAAGCTGCTGCATTTTTGTATGACAAAAGAGGTTCTACTTGCGACTATTGTTGGTCATTTAGTACAGCTTACGCGGGAAATAAGCGAAAGTAATGCCAGCATTAGGCGTTGAAGTTTTCCAGACCCAGAGGACAACATATTTGCAGGGCATACGGCGTGGCCATGGCGTACAACGGTAACGCGGTGCAATACTGGATTCACGACGCGTGCGTCGTGAACGGCGGCTACGTCCTGGCAAACCAGAACGTGCCGCCAAACTTGGCGAAGCAAGAGTACGTCTCCTTTCTCACCGTGGACGTGCACTCCATGAGTCGCTTGGTGCCCCCCCGGATTTTGTGGCCGATAGTCACCGCACTCGTCATCGCTCTCAGCGGTGTGCTAGGCTACGTCCTGTGCTCCATGACCGGTGGCATGGCATCAGGTACTTATTTAAGTTCTACTGCGCTTATTTGCTGGAGTTGTCGTGCTGTGGCAGCCCGACGTCTGCAGCTTTGGGCCTGCAGCTCCTGGGTCGCTTTGAAGTATAGAGGTGGCCACGTGACGGACTACAGCATTATGTTGTGATTTTTGAATCCGACGAGGTACTAGTGATATTTTATCAGGTATTATCGGTGGGTGCATGACTAGTTTAGCTTCCGCCGGTGTCTGGGCGAGCTTCTCCGTCGCGATTGCCACCTGGGTCTCCCCAACCTCAATACCTTTCTTTCTGTTCCACATGCGCCCGATAAAAGCCGGAAGCCGAGTAGTAGTACCCGCCTTTGGCGGGTTCGTGAGGCCACGAACCGGGAAGACCGTGTGGACGCCGAGCGGGCCGTTCAACACGAAGAAGGCCCTTCCATCTCCCGTGACTGCAGCAACGCCGACACACGGCTCACCACTGTATAGAAGTCGGAATAACAATAAACTAAAACTTGAATTCTAAATAATGTCTAAATCCAATTTTTGTGCCGCAGGAGATGTTCATTTTCGCATATACGAGTCTGCTTCTGCAAAGCATATTTATATACGCTCGCGTAGAAGCAACAAGAAATGGTCGATGCATGCACAGCTAGTATCCTATCCAATGTTGGTTTATCATTCTCGTTCGCAATTTATCAGAACGCCGACAGAGCCGCTGCTGACCGGCCTGCAAAAAGACAAGCAAGCAATAGAAGAAGCCAAATATCACGGGAGCAACCAGTACGACAGTGAAGACGGGATGGGATTTGCATGTAGGCAAGGACCACATAGCGTGCCTAGGCCGTGGTGAGCAACAGTGTTCGTTGAAGAACACTTGGTGCTCGCGCAAGATATTGCATGTGCTTGGTCGCCACAAAGGTATTTGCTCGCCTTAAAAGTGCCTCCTCATCCCCGTCTTTTCGCTCCCATAGACAACACGTAGGAGGGGAACACGAGATAGAACACTGGCACAAGCAGCAGGAAGTGTCGCTGTTCGAAGACGAGGAAGCCACGGTCGTGCGCATTCCGAAGGCGCCGGGCGCGGGGAAGATGCACCCCACGAGGATGCAGGAACCCTATCTGCCGGCGACAAACTCGGCGGAAAACGCGTGGCTGCTGTCAGTCCTGTGCGTCGTCTTCAGCATGGTGCTGATTCCTCTGAACGGAATACATCTGTATGAGGGGCAGTTCTTCTGGATCATGATCGCGACCAGCGGCAGCGTCGCCATCACCTTCTTCGCGAAAGGCTGTACTATTTTTTTTCGATAACTTCGTTTATGGTGATAAGTATTCTTGGATACTTTCGTGGCGCACCCGCAGCTAATCAATGGATCTTCGATTACTGTTTGTGAATATCATGCGGGCCATTTTTTGGTGCTGGCTCCACAACCAAAGGGAAGCATTTGTGGAGAAAACATCCGCCTTCATCTAACATCACAGTCCTCGACGCGCTGCTGAAAACGCATTGCAAGAAGGTGGTCGGCGGGCATAGTGCGGCCGAGCTGTCAACCCACCAGGGGAAGAAGTACCAAGTGCTTGCCACCGGGGCGCAGCACTCCCCCACGAAGACCGGTATAGCGATGTAAGTCTGCGAGCAAGGGAAGACCGAGACAGGCGTTAAAAACGCTTTCTTCTTGCTCACATTTTTTAGATTTTCCGCGTCAACATGATAATGCAAGACCAGTAAATGCACTTGTGTGGTTGATGATTGTGACCTTCGTGATGTTAAGTACTCAGAAATCCGTAGAACAGGAGAAATTTTTTCATAAATAGTTAAGCAAGGCTCCTCTGCCTTCTCATGGTGTGCGATGCAACAACAAGAACGGGCTAAAAGTTCAGTTAGCGATTATTCGTGGCACTTCGGAATAATTGATGAAGAGGAGCTTGCATGGCAGCAGACCAGCAAATTCCCAGTCGCTGGAAAAGGACGTACACTGTGGCATATTACCCTTCCAAACCTTTTGTATGTGAAGTACGCTATTCCCGGTAGGTACGAACAATTGTGTTGAAATTTACGTGATGCCGACTTTGAAGAGCTTCTTGTTCTCCTTACACATAAGCTCTAGCCTACAATCACGACCTAGGCACCCATAAGCTTTCGATCACGACCTAAGCACCCAGGAGATGCACTGGGACTAGGCGCCGACGATGCATGTACGTGAAATCACACGGCACCCTGTTCGCGAAGATCGAGGTTTCGCGTTTTCCGGTTCATCTTCATGGTTTCTTAAAAGTGAAATCTAGATCCTCATGTTCCCCGAATTTGACGTCGGCGGTCGTTGCCCCGTAGTTCCAAGAGATCTCGAATATATCTCATCGAAAGGCGTCTTTTGCGTCGAGATTTTCGGTTTTGCTTTTGCCACCTCGTTTCGAATGATAGAATAGCACGACGGTTTGGTAGGAAAGAGGGTCGGTATCGCAGCACCGTAGTCCTTGTTTTCGCGGTACAGAATAAGATGCGACGCGTGGCCCAGACGTCCCTGGTCGGGTTGGCTGTGGCCGAACAGGGCCCAAACCCAATCCGACGCGTCGTGACACTGCTGCAGGAGATGGCCACGGAAATCGAGACGGAGGTGGAAAAGGAAGCCAAGGCCTTTGAGAAATTCCAGTGTTACTGCAAGAAAAACGACGGAGCCCTCGACGCAAAAACCAAAGAAGCAGCAGCGCTGATAAAGAAGACCACAGCAGAGGTAGAGGGACTCACGGGGCAAAAAAAGCAGCTGGCGGAGGAGCTGAAGAAGCACAAGAAGGTTCGTATTTATTCGTGTTGTACGTTCCCATGAAGTGAGCACAAAGACGTTGTTCTGATGAAACTTTACTCCTGTATGCTAGATTTTTATTCACCCACCGCCCGATCGGCAAATTGAAATTCCTGATCTTGTGAAGTAAGCCTGAAAAAATCACACAACAGGATCGCGCAGACGCAAAGGCAAATCTCGAAGCCGCTACCAAGAAGCGCACAGAGGAAAAGACTAAGTTCGACGAGGCCACCAAGGAGCAGCGAAAGACCTTAGACGACTTGGACAAGGCAATTGCCGCCTTGGAAAAGGGTATGGGCAAGTCTTTCTTGCAAACCGGCGCCGCTGCCTACTTGCGCAAGGTACTGATATCGAACAGTCACGCTGTGTTTCATTTGCATTTCTACTGTCTAAAACACTTAAAAAAAATAACTCAAAGTGGACACCAAAGAAGAATTCCAGGTTCTGTCAAACCCGCCGTGCATAATAAATGCTGTGCATCAAAATTCACTATTTTCAAAACCAGGTGATTGACGGTAACAGCGCTGCGCTGTCCATGTTGGACGTTTCGGACCAGGAGATGGTTGCCTCCTACCTGCAGTCCGGCAAGGACTACGCCCCAGCCAGCGGCGAAATCGTCGGAATTCTGAAGATGATGAAGGACAACTTCGACGAGTCTCTGGGTGGCATCCTGAGTGAGGAGGAGAAGGCCGTGGCTAGCTTCGCCGAGCTGAAGGCCACGCTGACCGAGTTGATCAAGGCCTCCGGCGCCGCCATCGAGAAGAAGCAGGAACTCAAGGGCGAAGTCGCCGTGAAGATCGTCGAGGGAAAGAACCTGATCTCCACCACGGAGAAGCAGATGGGCGACGACATGAAAACCGCCGCCATGCTGAAGGAGGCGTGCGGCACGAAGGGCGACGAGTTCAAGGTGCGTCAGGAGGACGCCGCCGCGGAAGTGGCCGCCATCAACGAGGCCATCAGCGTGTTGAACAACGACGACGCCCTGGACCTGTTCAAGAAGACGGACACCAAGGCGTTGGCGCAGGTCTCCCTGCTCCAGACCGGTTTGCGCACCAACGGGCCCTCCGAGAAGGCGGTCGCCGAACTGCAGAAGGTCGCCGACAAGTCCCCCGCCGTCGCCATGCTGGCGCTCACCGCCAAGCAGGCGCTGAAGACCGGCGTGGACTTTTCCAAGGTGATGAAGATGATCGACGACATGGTGGTTTTGCTGAAAAAGGAGGCGGACGACGACATCAAGGCCCGCGACAGCTGCAACGCATCCTTCCTGGAGTCCGAGGCGGAGAAGAAGGACACTGAGCACGCCATCAAGGGGCTCGGCTCCAAGATCGACGAACTGGCCGGCGTGATCGAGGCCCAGGCGGCCATCATGGAGAAGGCCACCACCGACATTGCCACCGCCAAGGAGTCCATGGCGCAGGCCACCGAGCAGCGCAAGACGGACAACGCGGACTTCATCACCGCGGTGGACCTCAACAACCAGGCGGTCGCCCTCATCCAGAAGGCCAAGAACAAGCTGAACGGCTTCTACAACCCGCAGCTGGTTCCCAAGGAAAAGCCGGCTGAGTTGACCGCCGAGGAGGAACTGGAGCAAGGGTTCCATGAGGTACTGAGTTTGTGTTTGCCACGTGTTCTTGCGCATAATCCAATGCCTATGTCTGATTGTCGACTAGTGCATTTACTTATGCCCGCAATCGCATTTTTCCGTAATTTGTCATGAAGCAATGATCAGAGCGATGTGCATGTGTCGTTAAATTAAAATTGTCATAAGTAAGTACAATTTCCTGCGTAATACTGACACAACCAGGCCCTGATCCAGAAGCACGTGCAGAAGCCGGAGTTGGTGCAGCAGCTGCCGGAGGGTATGCCGGAGACCTGGGGCGCAGGTGAGCGCAAGACCAAGGGCGGCAAGGGCGCCTCCGTCATGGCATTGATGGATATGTTGGCCGGAGACATCAACAAGGATACCGATGCTTTGGAGCACGACGAGACCGTCGCACAGAAGGATTACGAGGCCCTGTCCGCCGACTTGGCCCAGCAAGTGGTATTGATGATACACGTAGTCGTTTGTTTATCTTGAGAATTTGAGCACATTATCATTCATGCTTCCTTTGCTCGGACAAATGGAGAACCGTCAAGTTCTGTGGTGCGCAATTGTATCGCGTTTAGACAGTGAAAAACTCCTGATTGTGAATTGAAATTCATACTATATCAGGCCGAGAGCGAGAAGGCACTAAACGACGCTACCGCGTCCAAGGCCGCTGCCGAGGAGGAGAAGCAAACGTCGGAGTCCACTCTGGACATGAAGGAGGAGGAGCTCGCCGACATTAACCAAACCATCGCGGACCTGCACGCGAAGTGCGACTTCATTCTGAAGGCCTTCGAGGAGCGTAAGGCTGCTCGCGAGAACGAGATCGCGGGATTGACCAAGGCAAAGGCTGTGCTCGCCGGTGCAAAGTTCGACTAAGTGTAGTTAGTACGATTTTCTGTATGGCATCTCTCGCGATTTTACTTTGTATAAATGATTAAAACCTAGCCATACGGATTGCTTCAATACAGATGTGATCCTGTTTCACAAGAGATTCGTTTCGTCCAAAAAGCATCGCTACAGAGGCACATGGTTTTCCGCAGAACGGCAAAGAGGCCTGGCGTCATGTCAAGAATTGGTCTCTACGAAAAAAAACCATTTATATTTACGTATTGACATCAGCAGCCATTATTTCTTTCGTGCAAAATCAAACGTACTTTGTTTTTCTACTTTAGTTCAAGTGCTTATAGTGACAATCCATTACGGTATTATCTCTTTGACTTTAATCGTTTTTTGTACAAGTGCGTTTTTGGAGAACAGTTCTTGACGCAATTTTGGTTCCGAATCGAAAAGTGCCGATGCTGGATGGACAAGACAACCGTGAACGATGACACACAAGTTGAGCGATTCGGCAAACCAAAGCAACACCAGAGATGGCACACGTTATTCTCACAAGCGTGCCGGTGCACTGGACCGTCGTGCTCCTGTAGTTGTTTCCATTGGAGCAAATCTCTTCAACGTGCTGATCATCCCAAATCTTTTCAGCTTACTTTACGAATGTTGATGAAGACACTTTTTTTGGCAGACAAGCTCAAAAGCAGTCGTTTCCAAACGCAAAGGAAGACCGAACCAGCACCGATCACCGTATCAGCGACATCTCGCTTTCAGACAGCACTTGAGATCCACATCAGACATGCAGTTTTGCTCAGTTAACCTACGGGACGTGTTTTGCATATGCGTTGCAGCTCAGTCTTTCAGCGCCGATCTGGAAACGAAAGTCGCGATCATCAAGCGTAGTTTCCACTATACGAGAGTTTGACGCTCACTCTTCGTCTTCTGTATCCATGATCAATGATCTTGTAAGTAAGTTTTTTTTGCTTTTTGGCTGTAGCAACCTGCAATACAAAAAAAATTGAGCCCGAGCCCATGTCACGTCAGCGATAAAGATCTACCAATTGAAACCGAGTGCGGCGTAGTTGTTTTTGATTGAGCGGATTTTGGACACTCGGACTCGCTTGGCTTTTTCCCGTCTCTTGGCAGAGCCACTGACTACTTCCGTGAATATGTCGAGTTCTTCCTCTGTTGCGGTTGTGAACGGGCTTTCCGTAGTGATTCCGACGTACAACGAGGTGGAGAACGTGGTGCCATTGTGCGAAAGATTGTTCGCGACGTTGCGCAAGGAGCTCCCCGAGCTTCCGGCAGAGCTGCTGCTTGTGGACGACGAGTCGGCTGGCTCAGAGGAGACGGAGAAACTGGTCACGGATCTGGCGGCCAAAAAGTATCCCATACGAATTCACAGGCGTTACCGATCAGAGGGACGGGGTTTGTCTTCCGCAGTCATGCTGGGTTTCCAGAAAGCGAAATATGACGTGATGCTATGTACTAACTGTAACTACAACTGGTGCCGCGTCACGGCTTGCTTTCTACGACCTCACTGTTGTGACTACATATCCTGCTCGTGATCTAATGCACTTTTTTTGTTTTTGTTTGACTTTGGTATCGCGTTACAAGGTAGTATCTGTTTCGGGCACATGCCGCGTGCACCGCATGTAGTAAAAAACAACACCGAATGATGGTGGAAACCCAAGATCAATCCTCGACATCCAACTCATACATACAGCCATGGACGCCGATCTGCAACACGAGCCAGAGTCAGTCCCAGCAGTAGCGGCCCCGGTTCTGGACCGCAAAGTTGATTTCACAGTTGGCTGCCGCTATATGAAGCAGGGTGGCATCGCATTCAATTGGAGCGTCAAGCGGCAAGTTTTGAGTAATGCGCTTGTCGCTCACTGCTACGTACTTGGAACAATTGCAATATACAGATGCAGGAAAGCCTTCTTTGCAGTATACTTCCGCTTCGCTTCTGGTCCCCATGTAATATGACAACTGCATTCAAAAACAGGTTTGGGGGCAACAGCGCTCGCGTGGGGGTTGTGTAGCTCGAGAGATCCCATGAGCGGGTTCTTCTGCGTGCGGAAAGGCACGCTGCAGCGTGGCATCGACCAAATTAATCCGATCGGGTTCAAGATTGGGCTGGAAATCATGGCACGCTGTCGGTGTTCGGTCCAGGACGTGCCAATCATGTTCCAGGAGCGGCTGCACGGGGAATCCAAACTTTCCGCGAAACAGAACATAGAGTACATCCATATGGCGTTCTCCAATGTTACATTCTCAACTGTAGCGCTAATTTGTAATGCAAGAGCGGCGAAAGTGAAAAGAAAGGGGGAAGATTGCGCCTTCTGCGTAACACATCTGGATTTCGATGCTGTTTAGATATTTGTCACGCGAAGGCGAAGCAGCGTAATCGTGGCGCTCTTGGTGGTAAATTTGCATGGCAAATCATGCAACAGTTGAGAGTTTAACAGTTGAGAACGCCATAATCGAGCAGCTTCTGGGGCTCTACTGGGCTGCTCACGGATTCAAAATCACCGCGGTGGTGTTTTTCGTCCTCTTCGTAATTGTTAAATGTATGACCGGGCAGTAGAAGTCTAGCGAGCCTGTGAGTCTAGGCTGAGGCTGGTCGGTCGGTATTTTATACAGACCCCAGCCCTTCGGCCATTGGTAGCCAGGACCTGAGAACATTCCCCCAATTAAGAGACGGCAAGCCATTTCGCTTGTGAGATTCTATTTCCGTCTGTATTTCTATTATTCTCAGGTCCCAGGGAGTCACGCCCCTGCCATGGTAGTGAGGAGTATTATTGTCTGGCGAGACGGGGTTGAAATTAAACCCCGGCCAGACTTTATTTTCCGCCCCGGTGACCCGTTTCGGTCACTGATTAGGGGCTTTATTCTATCTGGTGAGACAGGGTTGAGATTAGACCCTGGCCAGATGGTTTATCGATTTTGTCCGGTGAGACGGGGTTGAAATTATACCCCGGCTGGACGTATTATTGCGAGCCCTGACCCGTTTCGGTCAGCGATTCTGGCTTCGCTTTGTCTGGTGAGACGGGGTTGGAATTATACCCCGGCCAGACTTGTTATTTTCCGCCCCGGTGACCCGTTTCGGTCACTGATTCCGGGCTTTGTTTTATCTGGTGAGACAGGGTTGAGATTAAACCCTGGCCAGATGTTTTATTGAGATTGTTCGGCGACACAGGGTTAAGATGAAACCCTGGCCGGATGGTTTGTCTGCAAGCCCTGACCCATTTCGGCCACAGTTTCTGGCTTTGCTTCAGTCAGCCAGCCCCGGGCAAATTCGGGCCAATAAAATCAGCGTAAAACAGCATTAATGTAAAAGCGGGGCCGGGTTTCGTCTCGTTGGTTTTGGGCATTGGCTGGCCAGGGGTTGGCTTTGCCGGAATTCCCGAAGAGCGTCGCGCGGAGTCCGCGGGGGGGGAAACTTTGCCCGGAAGCCCTGCTCTTTTGGTGTGTGGCCCGCGGGTGCCGTGTTTGGGTTCCGTGCCCATTGCGAGGGTGTAGCCCTGCCCTGCGCCGTGCCGAAGTTCCCCGGCTTCTCGCCGGGGGCGGGCCTTGTCGGGTTGTTTCTCGGGCGGTGTTTTCGTGGTCGTGTTGCTCGGCCCGGGGGCTTGATTTTGCCGCGGCTCTTCCCCCGGGGCTTCAGGGGGTAGGACGTCGCCCGCCGAGACATTGGGAGCCGGCCCCGGCCAAGCGCGTGGCCCTTTGCTGGAAGCGGCGCTCTTGTGAGCCAACGGGGGTCGAGGGTTTTTGCAGAGGGGGCGGCAGGACTTGCGACTTTTTTCGCATGGTCCCGCGGCCTGACCTCTGCAATAACTTTTGCAATAATCTATGCAATAAAAATTGCAATAAAATTTGCATTAATTTCAAAACAAGGCGAAACATGAGGGAAATCGCGCCTCCCATAAATTAATGCAAATTTTAATGCAAAATTAAACCACAAATTAAAAAAAATTTAAAACGCAAATTAACACAATAATCCCAGCGGAAACCCAATTTGGGGAAAGCGCAAAAGTCGCAGTGTTTTGGGTGTGGGTTGCCAAGAAACCGGGGGGGCCCAGGGTTTTGTTTTTGGGCGGAATTTTTAGGGTGTAGGCCTTTTTGGCGCAGCCTGCGGGCCACTTGCAGTGGTTTCTTTTGATCTTCGGCAAGGTTTGTGCTTGGTTTCCGGTTTGTGTTATGCCAACGCCGCCCAATGTGTTGCACACGGTAGACAGGGCCCCGTGGGGGGCTTGGTTTTTCCCATTCCTTTGCCGGGTCCTGTTTCCGCTTCGTGATCTGGTGCAGAAGCCGGGGGCGCGATGGGCCCACAGGCGTGTGGCCTTGGCTGTCCTCGTGGGCCCACGGCCAATGCCTGCGCTCGCCCCCTGTCTGTTTGGACCACGCGCCGCGCCTTCCCCCTGGCCATTCGCGCCGGCACTTTGGCGCGCTTCTTTTGCCCCCTTCCCGCTTTTAGATTAGTGCTTTTTTACACCAATTTCAAACCGGGTAGCTTGCCCGGGGCCGGCAGCCTGATTTGCTTTTTCTGGTGCTGTGGGTTTGAAATTAAACCCGGGCTGGTCTTATTATTTTCCGCGCCGGTGACCCGTTCGGTCGCTGATTTTGGGCTTTTGCTCTTTTTATATTTGGTTTCATCTCGCGGCCAGTCTCAATGACCTTGGTTGTTTTTATCCTGACCTTTCTCGGCTGTTTGGCACTGGCGGTAAACGGGCTCCGAGCCCAATCCGTTACCCTTGCAGAGGGGGAGACTGGGATAAGAAAAGCCGGGGGCTTGTTGTATTCCGTTGAGGTTTTTGAGCTCCCATAGGGCTTTGCGTGTCTGGCCTTTGCCAGTTTTACGTTGCGAGAAAGGTCACGGATAAAACGACCAAGGTCGGCGCTATTTCGCGTCTTTGGCGCCATTGATTGCGCGTTGTTTTGGGGGTGCTACGGGTTTCGGCTATATCGCCTGCCTTGCAGGCTGAGGAAAACTTCCGATCCCGCTTTACGGTGCTCACTGTGTTTTTTTGGCTTGGACTTATGTTTCTTTCCCGCCTTCCAGGGCTCCGCGGCCTTTTCGATGGGGCGTGTTGTCCCCCAAATTCATCGCTGGGTCGCTTCGCTTCCTGCGGGTTCTTTGGGGTTGCTTCGGCGCGTGGCTCCTTCGGCGGTGGCGGGGTGCCCCATCGCGGGCGCTCATGCCCTTCCGGTGAAGACGGCTTCCCGGCGGGGTGCCCCATCGCGGGCGCTCATGCCCTTCCGGTGAAGACGGCTTCCCACTGGAAGCCTACGATCATCCAAAGGATGATCTATCTCTGGCTGATTCTGTATAAAATGCATACAGGCCCTCCTCGCTTTGTAGCTGTGGAGCTGGCGGCTCTACATGATCGCAGTAAACCTCTCATTTTTCTTTCACTTCATCAGGCAGGAAGAGGAACGAGAAAACGAAGTCTGCAATATTTGGTTGATACGCAAAACCAATCGGCTGCCGCAAATTTTATGTTGTGTAATATAAGAACATGCTGATAATCTCGTCGTTGTCGTCGTCTAAAGTCGTGATACGCACATAGCGTTTTAGCGAAGACCCAAGTAGCTCAGCAAGACAGGTAGAGTAGTGGCTGTGTCCACGCCCCGCATGTTTCCTGCTATCGTCGTGCTTGATTCACTCTTCAGAACGTACACGGTGCGTTTTGCTGCGCGCCTCTAGTATTACTTAAGCATGGACTTTGTTTGCGTCTGATGATCTCCGACACTGTAGAAGTGACCAGAATTACATTGCAGTTGCATAGTGAAAGATACCGAACATCGCACCATCATTCAACAATCGCACAGACCGATCTATCAGCGCTTTCCTCCACTTCAATTTGATTTACTCCTGTCTCCGCCGGTATATTGAAATCGAAGATTGAATATAAGTATAACCCATGACGCGAAGAAAAAACCCAAAAAGACATGATGACCCCATTGTGTCTGCGACTCCGGATGCAGTGTCTGCTGTGTGTGGGCGCTTTTGTTCGTGGTCCGGCGGGGCATGACCCGGTGGAAAAGCATCGACGAACGGTCCGGTGGCTGCTGGTCGGGGTCCTGGTGTATGCTTTCTCCGGCGTGCTGCTTGGGCTGCTCCTCCGCGCCGACTACTTTCTGTTCAACGTTCATTTCGACCTGTTCTTCTTCGTGTGCGGGATTTTCTTCATGCAGCAGGATCCGTTTTTTAGGCCCTGCCACCGGTCTTTGAGCTGTCCGCGGAGGACTCCGCGGGAGTTGAATCACTTCCTCTGCCCCTTCACCGCGTGGTTCGGCTACTTTTTCGCTCTCGTCATCTGCGGCTGCTGGTTCATGTTTAACCTACAACTGGTGGTGAGCACCATGCAGCCAGCCTACACGAACGTGTCCGAAGGGTTGACCTTCATCAGGCTTTCTATCGCAGAGGAGCACCAGAAGCACAAAGAACTTGATGACGCAGAGCCCGTCATGCAGCTTCTTCATTACGTTGTGGTGGCGGACAACGGGGAAGATTATGGAACGGCTCCTGAGCAGGATGAAAGTGATGTTAGAACAGAGAAAAAACCGGAAGATTCGGGGGAAGTGCGCGGTGCTGAGACCGCGGAACGACTTTCATCTGCGAGCGCAGCAACTCTCGTGCGACAAGAAATGCAGCACACACCAGTGAGTCAGAGTCACGATGTTGATGAAGTGGGGGAAATAGTCCCCCAGACGGCCGCCGCCGATAAATTTCTTGGGCCAATAGAAAGCGACCCAGCTCAGGTTGCTGAAGAAAACAGAAATAGAAAAGATGCAGATGGAGTTCGCGATGATAATACCGTGGGCCGTACCCCTGGAGAGCACAGCAGCGCAGAACAAGGTCAAGCTGCACATCAAAACGCCGCAAAAACAAAAACGGCAACGCGGTGGCAAGCTGTCTATGGCTACGATCCCCGACTGCGATTCGCGCACTCGGCGCAGTGGCTGGAGCGGCATAGAAAGTCACCGGGATGGCTGGAGGCACAGCTGCGCACAATGAATTTAGCCCAAAGGGAAAAGCTTGAGCAGCATTTTGAAGACCAACAAACCGCGCTGTTCTGCTTCATAATTTACTTCGTCATTCGTGGACTCTTGCAGCTTTTGACGGGCAAGTACAGCTGGACCCTCACCTTATCAAATGTAAAAATGTCTGGGTCTGGAAGAATCATGCTGTTTTTGCATGACACAGAAGGTCTGGCATGGAAGCTCTAGCATCACAGGTTTCTAGAACCTTCCGCAATGCCGAATCCGCATGACAAGCCCCCTATTTTGCTGACAAAAGGTGGGAGCTTTTGCTACGTATGCATGAGAGATTTTTCTGTGTTCTGAAATACGCATTACAAGTTGCATTCTTCCAGACCCAGACATTTTTACATTTGATACACCTCCACTGAGTTACAGTTTGGCCTGCGCGACTTCTGGCTACCTCCCACAGACCGCCGCGGAGGTGGTCCTATGAATGTAGAATTGGAAAGAGGCCGCGAGGGCAACAGGTTTTTCACGAACGCTCGGCTCCTGCACGATTCTACTACCAACTCTCCAATCGCTCGAATGGTGAGCAACGCGGTGGGAACAGGAGGCGGCCTGCAACACCCTCGTCTTCCGCAAACAAACCGAATTCTGCATTTTCAAGGACCAGCATTTACACTTGAGCAAGATCATGAGGATAGCGCGGACGACGACGACGACGACGGTGGTAGCGAAGCGACGTTCAAAGGGGTGGGGGCACACCGCGCGGTAGAAGTTGCGTCTCCTAGTACATATCTTGTACAGCAGCACACATCTCCTTCGATGGTGTCACGACCCTCTTATCCGCCGGGGCAGCAGACGATGCGCGAACAAGTAGATGCAAGAAGCGGTGCGGAAATTATGAATGCGGAAGACAAAAATGCAATCATGTCCGGTACTACTGGAGAAGCTGCCACAGTGAGTAGTTCTTGTGCCGGTCCACAGAAAGAGTGTGAATCTGATCCGGCTCTGCAAGCGCAACGACCGTCGTCTCCGCGCAGGTCGTGTTCGGAGAAAGGAGCGCAGATGATGTTTCTGCCCATTGTGGACGCGCAAAAGAAGTATGCTTTCACATTCGCGCAGAAGCCAATCGCAGAACCAGAAGCAGGGTCCATTATTAACCCAGATGGTCCTCCTCGTCCGGCCTTCGTGCCCACGACAGATTTGGACCTTCCCCCCGCTGAAGATCCCGGACTACCGGTTCCGCAAGGCGGTACGAAACAGGACACGCAGCTGTCCCATGGAACGAAAATGGAGCCTGACCTACGTGACGCATGGCAGCTGGAAAAGATGGAGGGCGACGGGCCGGCTGAGGAGGTGATTTCGACGAGAGCTACAGAATTGGACCAGGCCAACGGAAGATTCGGTACAACACGCTCACCAGATATTGATGATGAAGAAGTGCAAGGTACTAATGAACTGCACGCACCTACCGCAAAAGAAGTAGTGGCTGACGTTACGGATGGTGGCAACGCGGCTGTTCCTGTCGCCGCTCCTCCTGAAGATGCGATGGAAAATGCACAAATGAAAGCGAACAGGGATGACGCACCTGTTGTGGATGCAGGCGATGATATCAACAGCGGCGAGCAGCAATACCAATGCGAACGACCCAGCAGTGCCTTAGGAGCGGGCGGGGAGCGTTTCAGAATCCTCTCAAGGTTTCTGCAGACTCCGGCGTCAATAGCAAGCTCACCGGCGACGCAACAATCGCCGCACTGATGTTGCGTAAGCACGTTTATCGTCATTCTCTGAAAGTGACATTCTGCGTCGTGGCCTCTGAGTAGGCCTTTGCATCACAGACATCAACGTTATCATTCATCATCAGGTGGCTCAGTGACTTAGAAGCATTATCGCTTTACAAGACTGATCAATTTTCTCGAGTAGCACGCGAAAAACAAGTACCGTACGCATTTACGTGGTTGAGCTTGAAGCAAAAACTCTCTTGGACCCGCGGATGAGAACAAGAAGATTTACCCAAAATGAAAATCAATAAAATTGACATTGACGAAGATCCCAAAAATCGGTGTTGACCGCAAAAGAAAATTATTGTGCAAAGAAATGTTGCTGGTGTGTTTTCTTCGAAACGCAACTCACTACGCGAACGCGGCTCATGACGAGCATGAGCATGAGATGCAGCCAAATCTAGTACTACCAAAAATCAAGTTTTTCTTTTTCCTTGTACAGCACTATGTCTCATTTAGCGACATATTATTGATGACATTCTTTGTCTTTCAACGAACAAATTATCGTACGCACATACATCTTGATCTGAAGTAGCACGCATAAACCTTGTATACCATCTCATTGTCGACATACATACCCGCCAAGAACTACACATTAGACAAGCTTCTATTTACGCGTTTGGTCTTTCGAGTCCTCAAGAGTCTTCTCTGATTGTATAGTACAGCAGCACAACTTACGTACAGCAATGGATTCTCCGGTTACACCGCGATCTCTGTCGGCGTCCTCGCTTTCGCGCACGGATATGGTGACAACTATCGCCCCCGACAGCGACACTGGCGCTCCGCCGTTGCCGCTTTCCGAGATCACCGCCTCTGACGGGCTGGTCGCGGCCGTCGGTACCGCGGCGTCAACATCTCCAACTACGGGAGTAGAACCCCCCGATGAACCCGAAAACTCCCTTCTCGAGGCGGTGTCGGAAGTTGTTGTAAACCAGGTTGGCACAACTACTACCGATGACGTTGGCACAACGAGGACCGGGACCCAGCAGATGAATACACCTGAATCTTCGTCGTCAGCAGCAAGTGCCCAAAGAACGACCCAATCACCGCGAGGAAACAATCCGAACAAGAATATTCTTGACGCGAAGCGTGCTGCAGCCGCGGCCCCAGACGAGTTCACGCTGAAAATGCGGGAGAAGTTCGGGCTCGAGGTGCGGTTCGCCAAATCGTCCAACACCTACACCACCAGCTTGGCCAGCTTACGCAAGTGCACCACGGCGCGAAGCGCGTTGGAGGAGTACCTGGAACAAGAAAAAAAGCTCGGGAAGAACTCCGCAGAAGGTCGTGGAATTATATCAAACAGCGAGCAGCAAGGTCAGGGTCTTACGGTGGATGATGGATCTTCCGCCAGCAGCAGCGACCTCCGAGTCTCCACGGTTCTGGGGCGCGTCGTGGTTGGCGACACAGTGAATCTGGACGCGAGCCCGGAAGAACGCCGTGCGTTTCTGGCCCAGTTGCGTTCGGAGTACACGAGCTCGGGACAAGTTGGCGGCGCGAGTAGTTCCCTGATGGGTGCGGCCACGACCGGTGGGAAAATGTTGAAAGCAGCTGGTGGCAACGCGATACTAGGCCGCGCCACGAATGACAACAGGGAGGACGAGTTGTCCTCGGGTAGCTCTAGTGGCGACGACGAGGACGAAAATGTTGAGCCGTTGAGCTCCTCCGACGATGAATACGTGGCGATGAGGATAGCCGAATCCTCGGCGACTGGAACTACAACCGTGCTGGCCAGTGGTGTGGTCACGACCTCGGGCACAGGGGCGGTTGTTTGTTCTCGAGCATTGAAGCAGAATATTAAGCCAAGCATGAACCGACTTCCCCAGGTGGCCGAGGACGAGGAGCTACTCACTGCGACGAGTGGGCAGCAGAGGAACAAACAAACACGGCACCGGGAGGAAATGGAAACCCAAAATTCCTACGACGAGGACCAATTCCTTGTGGTCAGCAAGTGGCGAAAGATTCAGATACACCAGGTTCCCTTCCTCGTTCGGCTGGATACGTGTTTCGAAAACGCCGGTCTGGCCCTGTGCGCCGCGTTTTTCGAGAGTAAGCGTCCGACGGATGCGGAGGCAGACGAGGAGCTCGCGTCCCGCTTGTCGCAGGCCGATGCAACGCGCAACTTCGCCATCCTGATTCTGCGCAGCGGCCGGTTCTCGGGGGCCATCTTCTCGGCGGCGGACGGCCGCTGCCTGCTGCACAAGACCTTCCGCCGGTACACGGTCCGCGCGAAGGCCGGGGGCTCGCAATCCGCGAAAGACAACACGGGAAAAAGCATCAAGTCCGCGGGAAGCACCCTGCGGCGGTACGGCGAGCAGCAGCTGGAGAACAGCATGCGCACTCTCTTTCGCGACTGGGAGGGCGACCTCCGCCAGTGCAAGGGAGACCTGTTTCTGTCCGGTGGCCACGACCAGATCGCCACACTGGTAAAGTGCTTCCCCACCGGGCTCTGTGGCGGCGCCGCGGACGAACAGAATAAAGTGTCCTCCCCCCGCGGGGCCAAGCCAAAACCACTGTCTCCCCGCAGCGCCGCTGCGGGCGGTACGAAGCAGGCGAAGGGGTACCGAAAACTGCCCCTGCAGGTGAAGAAATCCACGCTCGCGGAGGTGGAAGCGCTCGCGTTGCAGCTCCGCACCGTGCACCTGTTTCCCTCCACGGGTTTTCTGCGGAAATCTGCTTCGGCCGCTGCTGGAGTTGGTGGGTCGGCGGGTTGTACAACTAGCAGTGGCTCAACCACCAGCACAAGGAACCGCACCGGCTCCGCGGACGAGCGTTTGTATGGGCATCTGCGGGCCGGAGTCGGAGACCAGTCTGCGACGACAAACCACGACACAGGAGGCACCAGGGGAAAAAACGCCACCAAGGATTTCAACGAGGACCCGCCAGAAGATGAGCGGGGCTATGTCTCCGAAGAAGACCCGCTTTGGACGCCGCTGCACGCGGCGGCAAAAGCGGGCCTGGTCGCGGATGTGGAGCGGCTACTCACCGAAATGTGTCTCCGCAGCAACATCGAGGAGGCAAGGGAAGCTAGCCTGTTAGGCGAAATTAGCAGCACGCCAAAATCCACACTTCCCGGAACGGCTACCACGACCCGCGGGCCGCTGCTTCCCGGAGCAAACTTGTCCACGTTGGCGACGCTGGGTATTAACAAGCTGCACACGGAGACCGGCGCACCCGCGTCATCGTCCGCCTCGTCTTCGGCCACGGGCACGCTTGGTGGACTGAGCCAGGGCGGAACGGGAAATAATAACTGTACCACTTCTGGAGGTGCCCACGGTTTGATAGTAGAGCCGCATCAAAATGTCACCACCATGTCCTCGGTTTCCGAGCAGAAGACACCGCGGAGTGTCAGTTGGGAAGTTGAAAGCAACTGGTCCGCGCACGCAGCTGCGGGCGGATCAGACACTACTGACTTCGATCCGCAACACTATCAGACCGCCGGGGCCATCATGAATCCCCAGCAGCCTAATATCATGCCAAATACTACAACAACCTCCCAGTCAGTGGGAAGCCTACTACAGAACCCCAACGCGGCTACGCCCTCCCGCCTGCCCTTCGGGCTGACTGCGGCCGCGTCGTCTCTGGTGCGGCAGCTCGTGTACCCTTCGGAGCAAACAAGCAAGAAAACGAACGAGACTGCGGAGCATGTCGATCAAGAGATGCAGCAAAGCAACAATGGCGTACTACCGAGAGGACCTGCTGCGGTTGAGAACGACATCAGGGTGGAAGAGATCACAAGCAGAAGTCCATCTGCAGATGATAATCTTCATGTTGGCGATAACGACATCAAGTGCGACGGAAATAAAGTGAAAAGTGAAAGTTTTTCTCCCGCCGCAGTACCAATCGTGGGTTCCTCTCACCCAGACGAGTTGGACCCGGCACAGCAGACGGATGGCCTTCGACTCGTGCAGATCAAGAAAACCATTCAAAATCTGCGGAACCGTAGCGCCGGACCCGCGTCCCGAGATTCGAAGGGCCGCGTTCCCTTCTACTTGGCCAAAAACCAGACGGTGCGCGACGCGTTTCGCCGAATTCGGGGCCTGTATCCGGAAGCGCTCGATTGGGATGAAGGCTTGGTCCCTCCAGCCATCACAGAGGAGTCCGAAAACGCAAAGAAGCAAAAACTGAAGGAGAAGAAAAAGCGGCAGAAGGAGAACGCGAAGGCCAACAAGCAGGATCAGAAGGAAAAGCAGGAGCACGAGCGAAAAGAAGCCGAAGAGCGACAGCGGCGGGAAGAGGAGGCCCTGAAGGGGCCCCCGTGTGCCTACTGCGGAAAGGGGTGCGGGCCAAATTCGAATAAGTGGTTTCGCCGACTCGAGTACATTTACGACACTGCCGATTGTGTCAAAGCACACCAGCGCCAACTGGCAGCTGATGCGGCTGCGCGCCGGTTCCAGTCTTGATTTTTGCAAGCTGACCTCCCGATAATGCCGACTTTCACTTGGAACATAAGTAAAGAAGTACACAACGAACCACAAGATACGAATCCTGTCGTGGCAGGGGTTTGTGATGATGGCGGCTAGAAGTACCATGCTGGATCAACAAATGGTCGTCTCACATCGTGTCTCATGTCGCAAGCACTATAAGCTGACATCGACTTCTTTCCAGACCAGAAAACCTATGTGTGTTCACTGAAGATGCCGAAGGATTGCGGTTGAGAGTAACAAGAGTAGAGCCTCATCAAGTGCGTGGATAGGAGGTCTAAATTAATTTATGATGCGGGTTGCAATGTTATCGAGAGAAGTAGCCGAAGCTCTTGCCTGTCTTTGTTTGATTGGTACGAAACAGGAACAGCAATGACGTCATTTACAACGCTGCGATTTCTACTGCAGAGCGATTGAGAAGAATCAGGAGCGGAGAGAGGAGCTGCGGGAAGAATACCTTGACAAGCTAGCAATTAAGTACTTTGGCTCAAGCAGCGGAGAAAAAAGAACAAGGGCGCAGATCAAGCGGGACGCGGTAGCAAGCGGACTGGATCCAGCGGTGGACACCATAGCCGCACTAGACGACTACAAGCGGCCACCGACCGAGCTGATGCCTGAAGTATTTACACAGAAACGATGTCTGTGGTGCCCTGCAAACGCCCCGTGCTTTGAGGAGCCCAGTGAGTTCGCAGTAGACTTGGAGAGCCTTCGCCTTCCCGAAGCACTCGCGGCCCACTGTAAAAACAGCCACACGATGCCACCGCCCGACCTTCAGCACAAAGCAGCGCTGATGGAGAGAAACGAAGAGGACGACGAGGAGCGAGCCAAAACTATGCGGACAGAGATCATCGCGCGCCACCCTGGCATTCTCAAGGAGAAAGCAAGAAAAGGCCGGCCCCCGGCTGGGCGGAGGCGTGCAGGGCCGGTGCCGCAAATAACCTGTGAAATTTGTCGCGAGCACTTTACGTCGAGCGCCGGCGCGATGGAGCTGCATGCCATGGCACATGCTCGGGGGGACTATGTCAAGTATGGTCAAATTTGGCGATATGATCAAAATGGGGAACGTATCAAAACGAACGAGTTCGTACCGAGCGAGCACATATGGGACAGCAACCAGGGGCGATACTTCATGGGCTCCAACGCCTACGTAACGCGGTGCCACGTTCCTGCAGATGCATGCTACACGACGCGGGGCGGCAAGTTCGGAATCAAATGCCGGAAATGCGGCGTGTTCAAGAAGCAGCTACAAGAGGACGACCAGGACGCTATGACCGAACTCACCCGCTTGATGATGAAGCAAGTGGACGACATGCAGAAGCACGAGGCGAGCTGCAAAGGGAAAAAAGCCGCAATGCCACCGGAGCAGGCAGATGCGGATGATCTGGCTGAATAGTCAGAGCGCAGTCTATAAAACAAAAAATTAGCTCTATAGACTATTATAACTCCGTAGTTGAGTAAACCTACCTACCTACCTACGAGCGCTGCGTACTTTGAAATAGGTCCAAGAACGCGCGTCGTTTCGTCTTTTCCTTCAAAGGATGGCCCTGAAGTTGGAACGCGCATCAACACGCTAAAAACCGGCGAAGAGCTACAGTCCTCGGCCAGTGCCAGTGCTTACGACTTGGTTTCGGTGCCTCTCTCCGATACGACCAGATGCTTTTGCCCACAGTGACGATGTCTCCAAGAATCTTCGTCGCAGCTTGCGTGTTCTTCCTGTTCGGATCACCACCATCAAGCAACACATTCGTGAGGGCGGTGAGCCTGCCATGGTGGTTCATAAACCGAAGCCCTCGGGAATTTGTGTTGCGATGGCTTCCACGAGATCGCGCGTCAGACGCAGTGGACGGTGTGGAGGTCGGGCGCGTCCCACCTGCGATTTCTGGTCATCAAGCGGTTTTCTACTCCATGAATACGTACGAGAACGACGCCTTCCGGCTCGTGTGGGCGGAAAATGGAGCGGTCACCTCCGACGTTTTTGTCCGAGATGCTGGTAAGTTCGGGGTGCTTGTCATTGCGCCCGACCTGGACGAGCAGCAAAAGGTCGTGACCGAGGTCTTCCGTTTCTCCGCACTGAAGCGGGATATTCTCAGCCGCGGGGCACTAACATCCTCGTCGTCGGCCACGTCCGCAAAGTGCAGCGCAGATGCTCAGAACGAGGATCATGGAGCGACTGCTGGGGCAAGTTCTTCTTCTTGCCTCAGCGAGCAACAAATCGCGCAACTGGAAAGCGAGATTCCCGGACAGCAGTGGGGGGAGCTGGTTGCTGCGGTTTCGGAGGGACTCCCGGTTTTGATGAAGTCTTCTAGCGATTTTGCCAAGATGAAACCCGCTGAGGGCAGCCACGCGCCAGACGAGATGGTGGTGTTCAACTTGGCTAGCCAGCCCGCGGAGCTGGTGGCGGAGGTGGGATCGGTCCGCTTCGCTATCCCGCCAGCGCCGACAGCAGCTGCACCCGCATCCGAAGGACTACCACAGCAAGCGCCACTGAGTATGGTTCGCGTAAAGGCCGACGCGAACACGGCTTTTGTCTTGTCCACAGGAATCGAAAAATCCTCTTCAAATGACGACTCCTCGTCCGGTTGGTTTGGCGGCGTGGCTGCACCTTCTCCTTTGCTGGAGCACAAGTTTTCCTATCCGGGGGAGCTTTTTCTCCTCGTCATTGCGCCCGATGGAAAGAGTGTGGGAACTTTCATGGAGGACGAAATGAAAGTGTTCTTCGCCAACACGGGCGTTGCAAACGAGTGCGCCCCGGAAGGCACGAGCTCTAGCAGCGACGAGGACGACCTGGCGAACTTTCACAAATGCTTGGGGGACAACATGTACTTGCCGATGAAAGTACAAGCGGTACCTCAGGACGTCGAGGCCGATGTGGCCAATAAAACCGTCGGTAGTAGTACTAGTGCAAAAGAAGGCAGCAGGGTACCGACCACTCTCGATGACACCGAAACTACCGATCTCGTTCCCGACACGCGGTTTCGAATGCCGCCCGGGTTCGTGCGAACCTGGTTCCCCCAGCTGTGGGAATCGGTGTCGCATTTCCGTCTTTGCAATGTGCAGCCGGACACCACCCCGCTTCGCGAAGCGGACCCCTTGACGCTGCCGGACGGACGCACGGCGCGGGTGCACGTGTTGCGGGAAAACCCGTCCGTGTTTGTCGTCGAGGATGTGGGCATATGCATGGAAAATATGTACGTCTCGGTCTGGATCTGTGAAGATGCGTTGTGTGGATACGTCGGCAAGGATCTGTGAACTGCAGTAAAAGGATTTGTGAGTTTCATTTTTGTCGTGCAGCTAGTGGACGATGGAAACACAAACAACTTCAGGAATAGTGTGCAAAATAGATATGGTAAGACTAAGTAGCGTCGCATCGCGAACTATATATTACCAGCCGAAAAACCACTTGCGATGCGTTGTTCACGCTGCACAGAAGGCCGGCGCGCTGTGATGCGCATGCGCGACTCGGCATGAAGATGAAGATGACCTCAATGCGCGTACTTTATATGCAGACCACGACCTAGAGGGCATGTGATTTTTTCCAGTGAATAGGGTACCGGCGCCGAGTGCGCGCCCCTGATCGCGCGCGGCGGGCCGGGCCAGCTGACCCGCGCCAGCGTGACCAGCAAGGGCGGATACAGTAAGGCGCGGCGGACGCTATCAAATGCAAAAATATCTGGGTCTGGAAGAATGCAAGGCTTGTCATGCTTGTCTGGCATGACCCATGATGCTTGATGTAATGCATGACCCAGCATCACAGATTTTTGGAAGGCTTCCTGATGCCATTTCCGCAAGACAAATGCCCTCCTCGCGTAGCACAAACGTGGCCCCTCTTGCTGGTCATGCAATACAGATTTTTTTAGAGTCCAGAGTTAGCATCACAAGTTCCAACTTTCCAGACCCAGACGCTTTTGCATTTGATAGACGCTGAGCCGCAACATGTTCCCCCAGTACGTGGAGGACGAGACGGCGCTGTCGGACGACTTCGAGAATATCAAAGTGAAAAAAGCCCCCACCCCATATCGGAAACGGAAGATGCGCGAATTTGTGATGCTGTATTTTAGTACACAAGTCGACTTGTATTGCTCGAAGGCCAAGAGACGAAGCTGCGGCCTAAACTGCAGGTAATCTGTCATGCTGTTTCCCACTTCCAGTTGCCTCCTGTCATCCTGGAGCTGCAAGGCTTTTCCACCTTAGGCAGCACTACAGTCCGCATCTTTTGCCTTCTACCATCACAAAGCTGATTTGTGGCCACAAATCTGCATCACAGAGTTTCGTTTTGATATGGGGAGGGGGATTTTTCATTCCGATAGAGAAGCTGCTGCGGACACTGGGGCTGCGCTTCTTCAACGTCACTCGGCAGCTCACCAAGTACCCCGTGCACACGCCCGGACAGGAACCCATCAACTGGCTCTACTACAAGGCGGGCTACGAGTACCGCCCGCACTGCGACGGCAACTGCGGCCTGCCGAAGCTGGAGAAGGGCATGCGGGTCTGCACCACGCTGTTGTACTGCAACGAGCCGGAGCGCGGGGGCGCCACCGTGTTCCCAAAAGACCGAATCAAGTACACCCCAAAAGAGGGCAGCCTCCTCCTGTTCACCTACAATCCGGACCCCGCGTCCCTCTCCTTCCACAGTGCCTGTCCGGTGTTAAAGGGTTTCAAGACCACGGCGACGCAGTGGTACCGCCTTGGGGTGTACCAACTGCAAAAATGTCTGGGTCTGGAAGATTGCCAGGTTTGTCATGCATATTTTACATGCCCCACGATGCCTGTAGTGCATGGCTTAGCATCACGGATTTTTGGAAGGCTTCCTGATCCTGATGCCTATTGCGCATGACAAATGCCGTTTCCGCGTAGCACAATCGGGGCTCCTGCTCTTGCTGGTCATGCTATGCAGATTTTTTTAGAGTAGAAAAACAGCATGACAAGTTTGGATCCTTCCAGACCCAGACATATTTGCATTTGATAGGGCGTCCGCAAAAGACGACTGGAACAACTACCTCAAGCGGCAATGAGGCTGCTGGAAGGACCCAGGTTTTTCGAGTGGAGGATGTCGTGTCTGGTATGAACAATCGGGAAGCTCAGCTCCACTTGTCCAAAGGAACATCATTTGTTCAGCTGGTCTGTCTTGTGAGATTGAACCACGAAGTTTTCGCCTTGTCGAAGGTGAAGTTTTCGTCTCGTCGAAAAAGAACTACGAAGTAGGCAAGGAAAAAAAGGGGAACACTTACCTACGGTATCAAAAATCAGAAAAAAAAAGTTGTCCTGATGTACAATGCAAAATCTGATATCAACCGAGAATTAGTCACTTCGTGAGCTGTTTATGGGTTCATTCTTGAAGCGATATTAATTTGAAAATCTTTCTGGCCTTCTTCGGGGAATCTTTTTTTGCGCGCAGTTCTTCTTGGGACGAAATTTTTCCGCATCTGAAGCGCAATGTGAAAAAGAAAGCTACGCTCTATGTACTGTACGCTCACGCTAGTTTGAGAATATAAGAGCCATGTACGATGCAGTCGTCGTCTTCTGCGTTTCTCTTGTTTTTGCAACGACGCGTAACCCTTCTCGCGGCATGCTTGGGAGTGGCAGTAGCGTACGGTGTGTTTCAGATCTTTTACGTGTACCACCGCTATCTTGCTGCATTCGATGAAGGGCAGAAGTATGTGAATCCAGTACGAGGACGACAATCAATGTGCCACTGCTCTAAAAGCGCTGTAAAAACAAGGTGTTTAGGGTTTTTTTATGCCGACGAGGTGGTGAACTACTCGCAGGTAGAAGAAACGGGGAATGAAATAATTAGGTGTATGAATGATAGAAGTAGAACAGGTTCAGAATCAGAAGGTTAAAAAGGTGGATAATAACCTATAAACGAATGTGGATCATGCCCAAGAACATAAACGATCACTCATGTCACTGCTTGCTTCACTTTTTACATGTAGCCCTTGGAGCATCAAGGTAGACGTGCTAGGTCATACGTTTTTCACCACTTCTAGTGCAGCAGTGGTAATTTTTTGATCGCATATTGAGACCACGAAAGCTACGAAGAGCGCCTCCCTCCGTCTGTGGAAAAGGGATACTTGGTCGCCGGCGTTGGCGAGGCTCTAGATCTACTTCAGGACGATGACGATCTTCCAGCTCGCAGCTCCCGAGCTGCATACAACGACTCGTCGGCCTCGAACAAGCGCTTTTTTGGCTCGGGAAAGTGGGGCCGCAGCAACGTGGTTGATAGCGCGGAAAATTTGTTCGAAGCGCTTGCAGAGGACTTTCTCATTCAGCATCCGGACCCCAATCGCCTCCCACCAACCGCAGATGCACTTCCACGAGGGGTGCTCTTGTCAGTTGTGGGATGCGGTGGAACAAGCGCTCCCTCGTCTACTGGGCCTCTCCAGAAGTCTTCAACAAGTAACAGCGGAGCAGCCACCTCACTTGAACAAGATGTCCATGTGCGGCCGCCCGTAGCAGCTGCACCCACCACCACCAGCCTACTCACCACACTGCGGGCGCGGGACTTTTTTCCTCCCTCGCAGGTTTGCAGCGATTGTGGTGGGGGAAGCGAAGATGCCATGTGGCTGCAGCTGGCCAGTCGAAGGTCGTTGACGGTCGCCGTCGCAGGTCCGGCGGTCGCATGCCCGCCACGACAGGGAGCTGCTCGGGACACGACTGCCACGACTCCGTCGCTGGATTATTACGTGACGCTGACGCGACAGCGTATCGCCGCACGGTACCTGCAACAGCAGAACCAGATAATCGCTGAAAGCGACATTCCCCTCTTTCTGGTTCTGCATCAATGGCCCCGGGACGACTTCCTGAACTTTGCTCCACACGTCGACCAGCAAAGCAGTCACCCGCCGCCGGGTTCCCGAGCAGGACCACCTGTCGTGCTGCGCGGAGAGGACCGCGCCGGACGTGAAGTTGTAACAAAGAACGCTGAGCAGGGCGTGTTGGATTCCTTGGCACAAACGAACTTCAGATTTTCCTGTGTGGCTTTCGACCTGCAACAAGGCGAAAGCATATCCGCAGACAAGTTCGAGAAGTTATTTGTGCGGTCCGCCCTGGCGAATCACGTTCCCACTACTAAACGAAACGTCACGGTCCTGTGGCGGTACGATAGTAGAACAACTTCAGCTCCGACTGTTGTACTCCCTACTGAGTCTGGAAATAATAATGCCCACGACGTGGTCGACCAGGAGAGCAACCTGTTGTTTCAGCATGTATCAAATGTAAAAATGTCTGGGTCTAGAAGAATGCGCGATTTGTCATGCTGCTTTTCCATGACCCATGAGGTCTGGAATGCCGGACCTAGCATGACAGATTCTGTGCGATCTTTCTCATGCCTATCCTGCATGAGAAACTACCTCCCGACTTGGTCAAAATTGGGCGACTTTTGGTAATCATGCAACATAGATTTTTGCATGCTGCAGATTTAGCACGACAAGTTGCAATCTTCCAGACCCAGACATTTTTACATTGGATAGCATTTGAATCTGAACAATCGAACGCTGACCGCAGCCCTACTCTCTTTACAGGCTGCTAACAAGGGCGGCGGCGCAAGAACATCTCTTTTTTCAGGGGGCTCCTCCGAGGAGGTGTCCTCTACCGCGCACGACCTGACGGTGAAAAAGTCTAAGTTGTCCTCGACGGAAAAAATTATACGCCCGACTACATCTTCACGGCCACCAAGTTCGGGTGAAATAGACATGCCTGCTATCAGTATTTTGTCCCGGCAAGTTTTTGTCGATGGTAGACTCGTGGAAGATGACGCCGAAGCGGAACGAAGCTCACAAGAAGGAACAAACAGCACAACCGTCAACACTGCGATGGCAATAAACGCCCTAACATCAACTACGGCAGGTGGAAATAAGGAGACCAGCACGACGAGCAGCTCTGCCACAACTTCGCCGCAGGAGCCTCGTTACTTTGGTGGAAGTAGATCACGCTCGGAAACTTGGAACCTGTACTTTCCGGACGAAGCCGGGATGGTGGTCTTTACGGGCGCACCAACGCTGCAGAGCGGGTTGCTCCATCCGTGGCAGGCCAAGCACGTGCACCTGGGTGGCCAAAATGCTGTGCACCTCCAGAAGAGCCCCGAACTCATCGCCGAACGGCTGCCGGCGCTGGGTGTGGACTCCGAGCGCCTGGCACAACAGATTATCGATGTGCTCGTCGCGCACGAAGCTGGCTTGACTTCGATTGACCGCCGCGACTACGCCCTGGCGGCGCTACTGCAGCACGAGCCAGCGTACGTGAAAAAGTCGCTCGTAGTACAGTGAAAAATGCCCCCCACTCCTGAATAAATTGCAAAAATTTGTGATGCGAAGTTTCCAAATGAAAACTTTTTGCCATGCATGAAAGGAGTATGAATCTTTCTGATGCAGATTCTAGGCGTGTATCGCATTGCTTGCATGACAAGCGCCGTTCCTGCTGGGGTCTTTTGCAATACAAATTTTTGCTATCCACGATTGGAAACCTGTGATGCTGATAGATGCAAGAGGGCGAATGCTTCATTTGGAAAGGTTTGCAACACAAATGCTCCCAAGTTCGGGGGTGGGGGCATTTTTCATTGTAATAGCTCGCGCAAATCCTTCATGGCCGCGATGCGGAGTCGGTTTTTGTCGTGCTGGACCGTATGGGATTCTCAAATGTTACATTCTCAACTGTGACATGATTTAGATTTGTCATGCAGAATTACAATCAGCATTGACACGGTCAAGCTGCTTTGCATGACAAATTCTCGAAGAGCCAAACAGGCTGAGAATCTGCGCCGAATCTGTCATGCAAGACGCGCAAGGTCACCCCTTTGACTTTTGCCATTCTTGCATCACAAATTCATGCAACAGTTGAGAATGTAACACTTGAGAAGGCCATAGACCGGGAGTGTGAGTTATGCTCTGCAAAAGTATCGCACTCGTATGATTAAATTGCACTTGCAGTCATGCGTGATCATGAATAAAACCGTCCTTTTCTTTTCTAAGCTGTTTGAAGTTGAATCAGCATAATGCATGAAGTACGTACTACTTTTGTTCTTGCCAAAATAAAAATTTGTGATGTTGTTTCTAAAGGTACACTGTAGTGCGATACTTTTGCAACGCATATGAGTCAGGTCGCAGCATTTTTAGCCGATAGAAAGAAAAACTAACAGAATTTCAACGTAGATTTTTTTTTTGTATCTTCGAGCAGTGGCCGAGATACTCACCCTACCCGGATGAAACAAGAACGGTCGTGAAAGCGTTAGACGCCGCCTGAAGCTGAAAGTTCGCAAAAGGAAAAGCGTGTGTTTGTGTACTATTCTATGAATTACTTACATTGATTCTTGTAAAGGCACATTCATGCGCGCCTCTGTCAGGGTTGGTGACGATCAAAACTTGGTGCGCGACGAGGTGCAAATCCTGATCTAGTGCCCTTCCGCACATCTCCTGCCGCCCTGCTGCGCTGCCGCGAGTATGGAGAATATTTCATCGCATAGTCTGCCAGCATGCAGCAATGTGATGTCACCGCCGATAATATTTCCGAAGTGTTCGTCGAGTATAGTTGCGATTACACGTTTCGATTTCTTATTCTTACTTCACATACAATTACAAAACAGCATAGATACTAGATTGATAGCCATTGTCATGGCGTGAGAACCCTTCAAATAAAACTTCCTGTCGTGGTGCTGCCTCAACTTCTGAGCGGAATCTCTGAGTCACTCCCTCGAGCGTCCTGTCAGGAAGAGAAAATCATTCACAATGTACTAAATCATCTTGTTCTTCTCCTGTCTTATGGCTCCGTGTGGTGTGCGTTTCTACTCCCAATCGCGTGTAGTTGATGTTTCGCTTCTAATCTTGTAGCTCTGCTTGCAGCCTACAACACATGCGTGTGCGGTTACCCTTAAAAATATTGACCTTCCCCATATTGATATGCTTAGTGATGAAAGACGCGGTCGCATTTTCGTTTTTCGCGGCTCTATCCCGTTCTTTTTGAATGACAATCGCAAATGCTCTTCATTTTCATCCTCAAGTAGCCAGCATTTTTTTCTGGAAGCGTCCGGGCATTGCAAAAATGCTATGTTGTATCTGCGATCAAAAAGAAACGACTTGAGTGACATACAAGAAGCTCTCGAATAGGTATAAAATTCAACAACGACGTTTGCAAAAAACGAGCGAAGATTGCGTTGCTTCTGAATCATAGTAGTGGAATTTGCACTAGAAAGAGAAACACAAAGTGGGACTGCTTGTTGTAATTGTAAGTGCCAGACGACGACGAGCAGGAGAAAGGGTTTGCATTCGGCGCCGGCACGGTGGGCAACGCGTTAGCGCCTCGACGTCGCGCGTTACATCAATGTTTACCGACAAGTTGATACATCTGAATACTTTTTTGACTACCCTACGACAACTTTCTTGTTCTAGTACCTCATGTAAAAAATAAGGAGCAGTGTATGAGTGTGCCTAGGATCTCTACTAGCTATTTTGCTTCTCTCCCGACACATCAAGCCGGTCAGTGAGTCTAGGTTTACGTATGCTGCTCACAAGAATAAGGGGTAAGGGCTTTGCTATATGCTGCAGCTGCGGCATACGCATAACCTGTTGCCGTCTCTACTACATACAGTCGGCATGCTAAACTGGAAACTCGACTATTTAGAAAAAGAAGATACAGCAGGTTGCGTTGCACCACTCTTCCTAGTTCTTCTATAGACATGGGACGCTAGGTTTATCTCTGTCTACCCAGATAGCTTCAAGGACACGAGGAAGTCGTTGTTGCAAATTGCATGACAGTATGAAACACCATGATATTAAATTGGAGTTGGAGAAGCTGACTACACCTTCTTTGACTGCCATCAAGCGTGCACACGCACAAGCACAAATTAATAGGCTACATATTGTGCAAATTTTTATTCGAGCTGCGACTGCCAATCGTTAGATAGAAGAGGTTGTTTCAGCAGGATGAACCCTGGACGCACGTCTTCGTCGCATCTCTACATGATACAAGTCTTGTGACACCTCTCCTCCCTTTAGAATTTTTCGAGCTCGTTATTTCTTCTCCCTTGAGGGGAGCAAGAACGAACAACAGTTTACCACCTGCAATGTAATTTTGGACAAAGACAAACAACAAATACAAAACTTACTTTGTTTTGCAAGAAGTGCTCGTAGCGGTGGCCGTGGCTTGCGGCTGAGCTACAACTTCTTGCGTCTGTTTCTTTCTCGTAAAAATAACTACAAGTAGTAAAACACTTTTTCTATTTGGGCAACGCAGTAGTATATTTCAGTTGTAGTCTTCATTTTTTGAAAATTTTCTTTTTTCAAGCAAAGCTGCCAACGGGCGTGTGCTGGTCGATTCCTATTTTTTATTCTGCCTGTTCCCTTAATATTTTCGTAAAATTGTGACTCGCTCCTTGTTCTTCTTCTTCTTCCTGTACGCTGATTGATTCGTTCCTTGATACGCGAGTGCACGACCGGGTGGTCTTCACTGTCAGCTTTGACGCTCCTGGGTTTGTTTTTCTGTAGCTCGCGCGTCGATGGTGGAGCCTAATACGAGCACCGCCGAAATGGAGGACTTTCTGCAGGCGCTCGCAGGTAGTGGCTCGACGGGGGATGATCCTTTGAGCGAGGTGGCTCCTGGTGGAGCCGCAGCCCCTGGAGGCGGAGCTGCCGGCGGCTCGTCGTCCTCCATTGACCCGGCCGCAGCCCCGGGCGCGGAGGGGGGCGGCGCTAAGGCCGGCCCCAGTCGAGACTTCTTTTCCCACTACGAGTCGCTCCTGGAAGTGGCGCCAGAGAAGATATCACTGGAATTGCGCACCGCACTTACCGAGTTTGATAAGCTCCCCGAACACCAGCAGAAAGCCCAATTGAGAGAGCTGATAATCAACCGGAGAAAAGGTACTCATAAGTACATTTTTTGGAAAACCACGCCACTTGCACAATTTTGATTGCCACGCGATGCCTGTGGTCGTGTCTAACAAACATTAACAGGAGGAAAAGAGGAATTGACATTGTTCTTGCTTGTAGAACTTGAACCGTACGCGAGTTGTATGTATGTAGAAAATTAAATTACAAAAGTTTGAACAGGTGACGTCCTACGCATGGCTCTGCAACCGATAATCATGCATGCGACCAAGACGAATGCAGGCGTTGTGGGAATCAATAACGAGGCTACGAGCTTCACAGATTCCAAGGGCCAGCTAAGATACATCGGAAGGATAAAAAGCTACGCAAAGGATCGAGGGTAAGTAGAAGCTACTTGCACAGAAACTTTTTTCACTGCCACTGACAATGGTGATATTACTTATTCGTCTCAACAACAATTCATCCTACTCCTACAGAGTCGGTAAGATGAATTGCTGAACTTCATCACACAAATCAGGAACAACAGTTACGGTTTCGTGGATACGCAAATCCAAACCTGTAGAACTACATTCTGTTCCTTTTGACCCCCACGTGCTCGTAAACGCAAAGCTGAATGATGCATGGATGGAATAGTACACCTGCATCGGCAAAGCGCACACGACTAACAAAACGAACGGGTCAAAACGCACAGAAGTAGAATAGTTACAGTTTGTCCCCACCATACCCGAGTGCCCAGAAATACACAAAAAATACGGTGGAGACGCGTTTCTGCGCAAGGACCAATACCTCGAATGTTTCGAAGTTGGCGATAAGGTACAACTTAAACATCTACTTCTTGATGGTGGTCTTGTTGTTGTCGGTAAAAATTCCAAATTTACTATTTCTTCAGTGCGAAAATCAAAATTTGTAATCGCACCCTGCCGCACTGTATATCCAAATTATCAAAAATCCAGGTGAGTTTCCTTCTAGACCTGTCCAAGGAGGGTAAACCACAGGCCATCGACCTCATGCCTCCGGACGGCCAGGAGACGGAGGATTACAAGGTGGCACTGTATCAAATGTAAAAATGTCTGGGTCTGGAAGATTGCCAGGTTTGTCATGCACATTTTGCATGACTCCTGATGTCTGTGATGCATGCCCTAGCATCACAGATTTTGTGAGGGCTTCCTGATGCCTATACCGCATGACAAATGCTCTTTCCGTGTAGCAAAACTTGGACTCGCTTTGCTGCTCATGCAATACAGATTTTTTTAGAATCCAAAATCAGCATGACAAGTTGGATTCTTCCAGACCCAGACATTTTTACAGTTGATACACTGCGCCGCATGGCCAGTATGGAGCAGCGCCGGGACCGGGAAACCAACTTTGTATCCTGTGCAAAAGTCTCGTACTCGTACTAATCGCATTCATGCATTACAAGTTTCTTTCTCAGGTTAAATCCGCATTACAAATTTTCTTTCTCATGCTGAGGAAATTTGTCATGCGATTTATACTAGTGCGATACTTTTGCACAGGATCCTTTGGTCCGCGCAGCAAAACGGAAGGGAACGGTGGCAGCGGGCGGGACATGCTCCCCGTCCCAGATCCGCTCTACGAGCAAAAGCGGCGCCGGATCGAAAATAGTGGCGGGTCTTTTTTTCGCGATCATCACCATGGGGGCGGTCTGTACAACGGCTCCGGTGGAGGTGGGTCCTCCGCCTCCTCGAGCAGTCGATGGCGTGGTTCTGATATCAAGTGTAAAAATGTCTGGGTCTGGAAGATTGCCAGGTTTGTCATGCATATTTTGCATAACCCATGATGTCTGTAATGCCTGGCCGACCATCACAGATTTTTAAGGGGCCTTCTGATGCGTATTCCGCATGAGAAACGCGCGCTCCAAGTAGCACAAACTAAACTCCTCTTGCTGGTCATGCAATACAGATTTTTTTTACCTTCCAAAGACAGCATGACAAGTTGCATTCTTCCAGACCCAGACATTTTTACATTTGATATCTGAGCATCAGACCAGTGGTGCAGACCAGTGGCGCGACCACCACGTAGTGGACAATTACTGGCGGGGCAGCGGGGGGAATATTAAAGGCGGCTCCTCCAGTTCATCCTCTTCGCGACTTCCGCCGCCCGGTATGCCGAACCCCTTCGGGCCTCCGCCCCCGATCGGGTTCCCCGCGAACGAGCACCACCAGATGGTCCACGCGGCCGCCCTGCTGGCGAGCAACCCCACTATGCTGCAGACCGCCGCGCTGATACAAGCGGCCTCCGCATTAAATGGAAACAGCGGAACGCCGTCCGCCGGCAGCCACGGCGGAGGTGGTCCCACCCCTGGAGGCGGTGGGGGGACACCGGCGATAGGTATTTGTTCTACGAGGAATTGTTTTGCGAATGCAAAAATGTTGCGGGAAAACGAAAAGGAATCATCCGTTAGAAATAAACGAAAAATCCTGGCTCGTTGTTGATACTGGCAAAAGAGTTTTGCTTTTGATATCCATTTTAATACCTCGTGTCAATTAAGGTTGGCCCGCCCGGCCTCGCGATCGGAGCCGGACCGACGAAGAAGGCGATTTCGGCGAAGCACTGCGGCAACTGCTGGCCGCTGGCACCACGCCCACAAGCCAAACAGGCCCGTCCGGATTTTTCACGTCGGACAGTGAGACCACGGCAGCCACCACTACGGGTCGGGGCGGAGGCCTTCTTGGCGGTGCGACGTCCTCGACTTCCGTCTTCGGCTCCCTGCTCGGTGGTGGCAACGGAAACAAAGCAGGAGGGGCAAACTCGTCAAACTCGCTGGCCAGTATTTTCGACTCCATGGTTGCAGGACCTAACAGCTCCTTTAACAGCTATTGAAAGGAAAAATCCCCCCTCCCCATATTGAAAAGGTATGACTTCGAAAGTTTGTGTTGCTGATTTGAGGTCACAAATCATATTTGTCTTGCAAGAAGACAAGGGCAGGAGATTTCGCCCCATTATGGAAGCGATTTGTCATTCTCTTGGGCCTAAAGGGGAGCCGTTTGCCATGCTGAACAACTAGACACGTGCGCCCCTATCTAGCCTAGAGATCTGCCCGCAGTGCCTCTCTACAATACAAAGCTGATTTGTGTACGCAAATCAGCATCAGAAATTTCCATTTTGATATGGGGAGGGGGGATTTTTCATAGTGATAACAGCAACGAGGAATTTTCGCAGGAGGATATTGAGAGGAAAAATCCCCCCTCCCCATATTGCAACCGCATTCGTCTGAAAATTTGTGATGCAGATTTGAGGTCACAAATCCTGTCTGTCTTGCAAGAAGACAAAGCCAGAGAGTCCGCCGCGTTATGCCGGCGGTTTGTGATGCTGCTGGGCTTACAGAGCCGACATCTGTCATGCTAGTCCCCTACGTCAAAACCTCACGACCCAGGCTCTGCATATGCCTGCAGTCCTCTCCAGCAGGACAGACGTGATTTGTTTACGCACGTCCAGCATCAGAAACTTCGTTTCGATATGGGGAGGGGGGATTTTTCCCTTTGATAGAGGACTGGACGCAGTTTTTGCAGTACCTCTCGACCGATCCTGCAACCAATGGCACCTGAGCACGGAATGATGAAGCGGAAGAGAGAGCCACATCTTCCTGCTCTTCTTGTCGCCGGGGAAATAACGCGAGGACCGTGTGCTAGCTTGTCCGCCTTCTAGGTAGTTGACGGTAATCGTAAAAATCCTCGCGGAGGAAAATATCAGCCGCTCGTTACTCTTTCTTTTCATCAAGTAAGTAGCAGTACTTACTTCCCGAGGCTGACAAAATAACTCCAGAACCACACAAAAGGCAGTTTATGAAAGTTTTATACCTAGCGCAATCTTTTATTTTGACACAAGTTGAGTAGCTATGGCTTAGTAAGAACTGAACTCTACCTGAATCAGTGTCAAGTCGGAGCAACTTGATGACCACGAAATCGAAAGCTTGCGATGGTGGGATCATGGGACGACCCCGGCAAATAAAGCGTCATATTTAGTACTAAACGTAAACCGGTTTTAGTTTTGAAAGTAAAAGTCTGGAAGTGAAGGTTCCGTGGTGGGCAGTCTTGAAGCAACAAAGAATTTTTCTCAAATTCTTGATGAACAACTGTTGTTCTCAAATGTGACTCATCAGTCTTTTCAGTACGCGATATAATTTCTTTTTCGCACGACGGACATCGCAGTGGGAGCGTGCAGACATGGAGGCTGCAGAGCCAAATACCGCGAGCTGGTGGGGTTCCGTAAACATCTTCTTGCAGCAAGAGCAAAGTTTTTCATCGTGATATGGATATTTGTCGCAGTGCGAGATCGCTGGCTCGATTCGAGGTCGAACGTGAACAAAAGATTGTCAAGGTTGTACGTACACTTTTTATGAACTGCATATTGGCCAAAAGATGGTGGCCAGCAGACATCTGTACGAGGTGGTCTGAAAAGGAAAACTAGACGTGTGCATAGGACAACTCTATCGGCAGTCCTGCTCCAATGGCAATGGTTCATGAATCGATGTGACGTGGTAATGCAGCTTTCATCATGTTCAAGTTCATCTTCATCGATGTGGTCAGGTCGGTGCGTGTGTTGAAAGATGTTTTGAGTTGGAGCTTGGAGTTGTTCTTGTTTCCCTTCGATCGCATAACGCTAATCCATTTTTGTCGTTTATCTACACGTCGATGTCGAGCTGCAGTCATGATAGTGGCATGGTGTTCCTGAGATGAGAGTAGAGACCAAGAAGTCCCTAGTAGTACTTATTCACTCTGTTTTGACGTCCAAGAACTCTTCTTGAGACAGGGCTGCGAAAGCATCCACCCTATTGGGTTCGATGCCTTTGCCTACCTTCCTGGCCGAGTCGCGTTCCTGGCTCTGCCCTGGTCATGCAGGCATACCACGGGTACACGTACTAAAACTTGGCATAATTTATTAATGTCAGTTATTAGATTCGCATCATCATCAATCGATCGGTTTCGGTAGACAACTAGAGTAATAGTATAGAAATACCGGTCTTTGAATTGTGTAGCACCACACGACCGATTGCAGCAACAAAATGGTACGTGAAGAGCACTCTCTGAAGTATGTTAATTGCGCTGTTTGTGACGACAGCGACACGAGTACTTACGCTCATGGTGCGGCGATGTTGCTCGACCCGATGGATTGAAGAAGTCTGCAGGACGCTGACAGCCGCCGTCATGTCTTCGTCTTGTATTCGCCACGAAATCTTCAATTACGCAGCATTTTCATTTTGAAGAATCGACTCTTCACATCGGCGCTTTTTTGCTCCTCCGTTGACTTCTATTGTGCTGGGGACGAACATGGGCCAAGGAGGGTCCTCAGATGCTGGACCGGACGAACTGGTAAGTGAGATCGCGACCTCATCGAAGCGTAAAAATAGCGCAGGAGAGACACTATATTTTCGGTTCCTGCTGGATAGCGATAATTTGCAAAAAAGCAGGCCTTCGCAAGAATGAAATGAAACTCACATGACGTGTTTTACATGATGATATTACTGTCATAGGTCCTTAGCGAAGCCGACTTTGATTTCGGTGCCCCGCTTGGCGCGAACACTGCTTGGCGAGCTGCGCGGCTTCGCAAGACAGGGGAGGCTTTTGCTGTGCGCTCAGTCGATATTGCCAAGACGAGGCAGCAGTTGCAAGCTTCTTGCACCAGCAGTAGTTGCTCATCACCGGGGTCTTCGAACAAAGTTTCTCTTGAAACGTTGCTTGGAAATGCGTACCGCCAGCACTACCAAGCACGAGAACCCTCGTTGGTGCGCCAAGCTTGTTGCTTTCTGAGTGATGACGAAAAAACATTGCTGTGTGTTGCGGAACTGGCTGCGGTGGGGGCAGTGCGCTGCACAACAGACGAAAAAGCGATCGGGTACTTGTATAGCTCTGGCTGTACTACGTATGTAACTTGTTTCTGGAACCACCTACTTCTCAAATGAAGTGTAACAGTCAAATTTATGACAAAGTGTTGATTGGGATTATGTCCGAGTGCGATATATTTTCGAAGTTGAATATGTAGCACTACACACGCACACGCCCCTTCAGGTGCTTTTTCGACATTGCAACGGGGCTGCATTCCTTGCGCAGCCGGAAAGCAAGCGTTCGTACAGACCTGGATCCCGCGCAGCATGTGCTTCTGGATCGAAGTTCGAAGAACGGGCGGGAACGAGCCAAGTTGCTCGCTTTTTCAGCGTCGTGTGAAAAAATGACGAGCGAAGAAGCAGTGGCGCCATCTTTGGGTGTATCTTCCAGAGGCGATGGAGAGGATAAAGAGACCGCATCTTCGCATCAAATATCAATCATTGACACTCGCGACAAGGAGTTTCTCGTTCGGCTGTTTGATTTTCTCCGGCCATTGGAGGGGGCTCCTGCAGCGGAGGCAGCTGCGCGACGACACGACGCAGGCGCAGACGAACTGCGATCCTTTCTCCACGGAGACAGCAGCGAAACATGGGGCGCCCTCCTGGGACACCCGAAAAACAGCCTCTTTGCTGACGCCGCACAAGAACTCCAGGAAGACGATGTTGAGAGCCAGACGAGCAGGTCAACATTTGACGATCTTCTGGCGCGCGCACCGCGTGCTGAGATCATAATTTCTCGCGTTTTGACAACGACCAAGCTCATCTCGGAGGACCTCGTCCACTCTCCGCACAGCAAACCGTCGTCCTTAGAATTGTCTCCGATGCGGCGGCCGAAGAACGAGTCGATGAGTCTTAAAACGGCGCTCCGACTGAGCCCGAGCCCCAATCGACGGCATCAGACATCAAGCCGGCGGCACGTCGCCAGGCGGGACACTGCAGACGACGATTTCCAGTCTGTCGCCTCCGAGGAAGCGCAGACGCCAGCGAGTGGTGCTTGTGCTTCCGGAGATATTGAACAAAAGCGCAGAACATCAACAACCGGCGGGGAACATCCACCACCAGCAGGCGACCTGAACCGGGCGGCGGAGGTAGATCTTGTCAACTACAACAGTCCGGAGTTGATTGACATCACCTTTTCTAGCCAGGACGTTTTTGCGTCCGCTCGACAGAGCTTGGAGATCTGCCCCCCGTCGTCCGCGTCCGCGCAAAACAGGGAAACGCGCTCCGACAAGAACAACTGTGCGCGGCAAAGCGATTCCGACCTCGTCCGGCAGGCTGTCACAAAAATCGATGCAGCATCGTCCTCGTCCAGTGTGGCCTGCTCTGCAACAGCAACTTTGTTAACCGGCGATCAGCCGGCAGCAGAGCACCAACAAGATGACCCCTTTGGTCTTGATCAACCCCTGTTGGCCGACGACAAGGCGGCAGTGCAGGCACAGCCCAGTACTTCTATGGAGGACGGGGACGCCGCGAGGATGCATGGTAGTCGTAGTCCGGCACCAGGACCTCCCCAGGCGCAGCACCAGGTAGTTCCTAAATTGGCAGTGCAGCTCAGGGCCTGCTCGGGTGGATCTTCATTGGCCGTTCCGATACGACAAGGACAAGAAGCGGAACAGGACAAAAATCTAGAACTTTCACAGCAAGAGGAGGAGCCGAAGACAGCCCGGTTTGGGCGTAGTAACGAAGATGACTTTTGCATGAACATGCGCAACCTGACGGAGATGAAAGAGCGGCGAGAATCTCCGTCATCCTCGGATGACACCCCCGGTTTCTCCACGTCGCACGATGACGACAGCGGCAGGTCCTCGCCTCCTATTCGCCCCACGTCCTTGATTTCACCCGTCGAACCCATCGGCGCCGCTTTGCGATCTCCCTTCGAAGAAGTAGAAGTTGGCACCCACCAAGGTGTTGGTGGAACACGATCATCAGTGGTGCAAGATGAATCGCAGCCATTGATTGCGCAAGAAGCAGAAATTCGACCGAGTTCAAGAACAACCTCGTCCCTTCTTGGCAGTAAAACGGCACCTCCACCCGAGGGCCTCCACGAGGGCATCAAAGAAGTAGACCTCGCAGCTGCCGGTGAACAAACCGCAACCACCGCAGGTCCGCAGGACAGTAGAACTTCGGCTTCTTCGAACAGCTCGCGTGTGCGATCCCTGGTGGCCATGTTCTCCTCTCAACTACAGGCCGGAGGAAGCAGCTCTTCGGGTGGTGGAGCTCATGCAGTTGCAGCTGTTGCTCGCAGTCCCAACGCGAAGATGAAGCGCATGAGCCCCCTGAAGAGCAAAGCGGCGATGAGGCAGAAGCAGCAAGCTAACAAAAGAACACAACTGGCAGACGATTTTGGGCTCGATGACGTTGACTACGACGACGACGCGACTCTTCATCATGCCGACGTGGCTTCTGCTCGCGCTGAAGGCGCCGATGACGCGGTACAATTACACGGCCGGCCACATCCCGCCGGAGTGCCAGATGCTGAGCCGCAAAGGCCGAGTTGTAGAGTCGTGAGGGACAACATCATCAAAAGGGGAATAAACGAAGAAGCAACTAGTGGTCTTGCGAGTCGAAAGCATTCCGCGCGCATGGAGGCTCTGGCGCGAATGTCAGTGGAGGATGCAGCGGCTTCGATTTTGTACGACGGCAGTCCCGCAAGTCCCGCACTGGACGACCTTGAAGGAGTGCAGCAGGAGGTAGAAGACCAAGCGCATATCAACTCCTCTTCGCTCCTCGAGACCAGCACACACAGTCCCAGAAGTGCAACTCAGGATTCCTTGCGCATTCGCTCGACGAAGCCAAAAATAAATACCAGTGCCCCTAGTACTGCGGGAGCAGCAGGCATTATCATGGTCCATCCACCAGGCGAAGGAGTGGAGACCACACGAACGCCAAGAACTTTGTATGGGGGAGAACAACCAGAAACCTTGCGCGAAGTCGAAGAGAAGAGTAACATCAGACCTGGTAGCAAGAGCGTGAACGCAAGCATCATCCGCAGTGCTCTTGGTGCCATCTCGGATCTGCGGGAGAAGTTTCGAGCGTCCCCACCTGGGACCAGACACGATGTCGCAGCCGGATCTGCGACGCGGACGCAACGCGCTTGGACGACGAACGCAATCGAGGACGACGCTACTACCTCCGCTCAAGAGCAGGAGAACGAGAACCTCCGGAGTTATTCCGTGAAAATGCCTCCACGGGAATTCGCTGCCGCGGCGAGTCGAATAAAGTCAGGAAAAATCTCAGAAAAGAACAACGTAACAGCAGCGGTCTTGTTCTGCTCTCCAGACGAGCCAATAGCTGAGCAGGGGGACCAGCACGCTCGCGGAAACACGAACAGGCTCGAGGGCAGCTCGGGTTGTTATACTGTGGATCAATCTGTTAGCTACAAACCTGTTCTTGCCGAACGCAGGGCCGAGACAGAAGCAACCCGTGATGTGAATCCGTCTTCCGCGACGAAGAAGCGTTTGATGCAAAAAAGCGGTTTGCAAAGATTCTCGCCGAAGAAGCGGACGCCAACCAAGCCGCGCAGCCCGGCAAAGAGCGGGCGCACGACCCCTGCAATAAACACCCGCGGCGGAGGAAATCCTGCGCCGTCACGGAGTCGAAAGAATCCTTTCCTGTCATTTTCTATGAATGGACGCGGCGGGGTATCTGCTTCAATGATGTCCATGAGAGCGAGGGCTGAAGCTGCGAGCGTCCCAAGACCAAAAAATGTCGTGTCACCACTGCAGAAGGCAGCAGGAGTAGAAGTGACTTCTTCGCAAAGTAGAAAGAACCACAGTTGTACCAGCACTTCCTTGACAAGCGGCTCCGTGGTCACTTCTAAGGAAAGAAAAGCAGTTGCTGCATCGGCAGCACCCGGCGCCTCTCCTGCGGGAGGTGGCACGCCAAGCAAAACGAATAAGCGCTCGCAGACCAGTGCGCCGCGCGTACAGGAGCGATCGGGAACTTCGGCGGTGAAGAAGTCGCCGCCAAAGAAGAAACACATCTACCGACCAGCGTCTCGGATTTCGCAGAACAACGAGACAGCAGACTCTCCCGATCAGCTGCCGCAAAGCTCGGAGAAAAAACGCAACTTTGTGAACCAGAACAGACGTGGCGCGGGCGCGCCAAGCGGGTCAAGCAATCTTCTGGGAACGCCCCGGGAGTTTAAGCCAGTCTTGACGAACCGAAGAATTTCCGAGAGCTCCAGAACATCAGACGACAAGAAGGCTTCTGATATGCCCGTGGCTGAAAAAGAAAAATCCTCGGACCAGCAGGACGACGCGTTGCCGGTGTCCGCCCTTACCGCCTGCGCCACCACTACCAGCACACGCTCGGCAAAAAATGCAACAGGTGGCTCAAAAGGACGTGACCGCACTCCAGTGCGAGCTTTGCAAGACTTCTGATATCCTGAGTAAAAACGTACCCACACCAGAGTCAGGATGGGGATTTTGCAACACAAACCTAGGAGTTTTGTGAGTCACGCATGACAAGTTGCACTCTGCAGTGTGGTGCACGTTAGCAAGTGCAGCCGCATCACAGATTCTTTCATCTGCTCATCCTGTTCACAGGGGGACGTTTTTACACAGGATATCTGGAACCAAAAGGTCAGCGAAATACACGACAAGAAAGAGGCGGTGCGTTCGAGGCAGCAGGAGCTGGTGCAGCGCGGCAAAGAGCGTGCCCACTCGGTTCGGGAGCAAATGCAGCGCTCGGTGTCCCCACGAGCGACAACTGGTGGTGCTGCTGATAGTACAACAACAACGGTTCGGAAGGCAGCAGGAGCCAGCTCTATCACCGTTCCATCAAGTAGCACGGTCGCGGCGCCGAGATCATTCTCCATCAATCAAAATGCACAGCAGCGTCCCGTTTCAGCAACCGAAAGTGCGATTGTCCGCCCTCGCAATTCACGAGAGCAGGATCAGCATGGAACAAAGAACCTCCAACCGCTAGTGGGGAAGATCACGCCCTTACGCCAGTCCGCGGCCGACAAAAACGTATATCGCAAGCGAGCCCCTGGTGGAACTACGAGTAGCGCACCAGGTGCATCTATTTCAAGCGCGGAAGATAGAAGTAAAAAAGCAACTCCCACCTCGCGGAGCGGGCATGTCACTCCGCAGATGATGCAGCGGCCTGTAGGTGACGGCGCGGCCACGTCCAGCACATCGCCGAGGACGATCGTTGCTAGCACGCCCAAGACGAGCAAAGCAACAGAAGTTGCGGACACAAACCCCAGATCGACCCCCGAATTTGCAGCGCCCCGACTTTTCCCAGTCGAAGATGGGTCGTCCGTAAGACAGCAGGGCAGCAAGAGCAAATCCGTTTGTTCCGTTGAGGAAAGCAAAAGCATCATGAGTGACGGCTGTCTTTCCTTTGGCGTTGCAGTTGATGTTCCAGGCACTACTTCTTCTGGTAGTGGTGAAAGAAGCACAAAGACACGCAGCAAACCAAACGCGAATGCCGAGGATGTCGTGGTGACAGCAAAGCCACTTGTGACCACGGCGACAGCACCTTCTGCAGCAGCGCCGCACCCGTCCACCTCGTCATCGTCGAAGCCAAAAACGGTGTTCGGCAGTCCGGTGCTAGCAAGCTCCTCTCCGGTTACGGCATCGGGTACATCAACTCTGGTCGCCAGTCCCGGAGGTGTGGCCCCCACTGGTGGTCCTCCCGTAGGTGGCACCCTCAGCCGGTTCCCGTTTCCTCACAAGATCGCGAGTCCAGTTCTCGGTGCTGATCATCCGTATTCCATAATGTCCTCCAGTATTGACCGGGGAGGCAAGAACACTGAGTCATCCGGGGTAGGGGAGACCAGCACTTGTGCGAATCCAGTCACAGGGAGAGCTGTAGTTTCGTCGTCCCCGGTGCTTCAGGCCGCGGCGCCTGGTGTCCATCCCTCGACGAGCAGTTCTAGTACGGCGAGGTCGATGAGCGCCGCAGGGTACATCCGCGCCATCACCCCGGCGACCGCGATTTTGGCGACACGCACGGCCCATTCCGGTGTGAACACACCAACGACTAGCGTGAACGCGCACAATTCGGCAGCATCCTCATCCCGCCGGCTGGTTGGGGTCGGACAAACAGTGCCTGCGCCCACGGCGTTATCTTACTTCCCACCGCCCTCTACCACCTCCACCCGAACGGAATCAAAAACTGGCGGGATTGTCCGCGACGGCTCTGCAAGCACGCCAACGTACTACAAAACCTTTCCGGCCAACGGGTCGTCCTCGATTGGCGGGACCACAACAACTTCACAGGCGCCGCCAGCGTCTTCGCCCCTCAGCATGCACGGCAACAAGGGTGCAGCAGCGGCTCTCGGCGGTAGCGCCTCTGTGATGGTGCAACGACCGGTAACGACGCCCGTCGCCACTTCCACCGCAAACACCCCGTCCGTGGCAACGCCTATTCTGGCGTCCGTACCGCGGATTGCCAGTCCGCTGGAAGTGGGCCATCTGGTGAGCCACCAACAGGGCCGCGGGCAACATCTTGCGGCCTCTAGCAGTGCGCAAGCTTGTTCGCAGCACCTGCAGCCCCGCACGCCGGGGAAGACGCAGACCTGGAGTAACAACTTCCAGCTGAATATCAAACAAAAAAAGTTCGTCACGATCACTCATGCGCATTTTCGCAATGCAGCACTTTCTGTCATGTGTAAAAATGCATCACAGGGAAACTTCATAAGGGATTCCCCTATGTTTCTGCAATACAAGAAAACGCTGTGATGCTAGAAAAATTTGTAATGCAAAGCCTGCAAGTTGAAGTGTCGTTGGTGATGTAGTGACTGTGGCAAACTTTTTTCTCTCCATACTGAAGTGTCCGACCAGTTCGCCGAAGAAGCCGCTCGCGGTACCTAAAAGTTTCCACCATCAAATGGTGCCCCAGCCGGCCGCACAGGTGGTGCCGTCCACCGCCATGACCGGCCCTGCTGGCGTTGGACCGTCGAGTCGTTCTTGCTCTTCTTCCTCGGTCGTCGTGTCTACAACTTCCACAAATCCTTTTCAAGCCAAGTTAAAAAACCATGTGGCCAAAACGCAGCATCTGATCAAAGTGGTTCCCCCGGGTGGAATTGGAGGCGGAGCGGCGACGACGTCCTCGTCGAGTAGTAGCAAAATGAAGTCGCCTGCTACGGCGACTCACCAACAGCAATCGGTGTTCCCCAGTCCCGACCAACTCCAACCGCAGCCTGGCGATCGCTTGGTCGTCGAAGTAGCGCAAAAGTCCCTGTCCGAAGAGAACTCCCACTCCGTGTCCACTGCGCTGAGTCAGCAGCAGCCTTCGCCCGGCGATTTCACCAACTCGCTACTGAACCGCTTAAACTTTTACCAGAGCCCGAACACGCTGAAGGACTTCGACGTGCTCGAAACAATCGGCCAGGGTACCTCGGTATGCAGTGCAAAAGTATCGTATACCTGTATAAAGCGGAGAAATGCATATGCAAATCAATGGAGTTTGTATGAATAATGATAATTCAGTTTAAGCGATTCGTCATGCAGTCCTGCCATTGGTACGAGTGCGGTATAATTACGTTTGCAACTGATACTCGGGGCACTTGTACAAAGTGCGGCCACGTCCTAGCTTCACCCCTTCACCCGCCTTCTTCTCTGCCGGCAAGGGAAATCCTGATCTGTACGCCCTGAAAATCATCCGGAAGTCGAAGGTTTCTTTTTGACCTCCTTCGTTTTCCTTGCGTGGATCTGGATGTAGTTTTTGTCTCGTAGGGGTAGGTCGTTGCGTGCCTGATATTATTTCCGTCTAAAAAACTGTCGAAGAGACTTGCGTCCTCTTTGTTTTTCTTTGTGATAGATAGAATCTCACCGACGCCGACGTATTTCTTCTATCGGTCGTAACGTGCATCTGCATGATGATGATGTTCCACATGACAACATGAAAACTCCAGGTGAAGCAGTTGCGTATGCAGGATTTTCTGCTGCGCGAGATCGAGGTGCACAGTGTGCTCGACCACCCCCACGTGCTGAAGTTCTACGACTACTTTACAGACGACCGGAAAATATACCTACTTCTGGAACTGTGCGACGTAGATCTGTACGCCAAGCTGCAGGAGCGCTTGACGGGGACCAACGGCGCCAGCGCGTTCTCCGAGCGGGAGTATCCTGCGTAAAAGTATCGTACTCGTAGTAATTGGAATTGCATTTCTGCATTTACAGCTCTCTCTCTCAAGGGAAGCCAGCATTACAAATTCAATTTGTAATGTTGGGCTAATTTGTAATGCAATTTATACTAGTGCGATACTTTTGCAGTTCATAGGGAGGCCGCGGAGTTTATGTACCAGATCTGCGACGGCTTCACCTACCTGCACGAGAACAGCGTCCTGCACGGGGACATAAAGCTGGAAAACATCTTGGTTGGGCGGGACGGCCTGGTCAAGATTGCGGACTTCGGGACGGTGTGCAAGTCCGTCAGCTTGAAGCGCAGCACCTTCTGCGGCACTCTGGACTACCTGGCCCCGGAAATCGTGCAGCACCGCCGGGAGTACGAGGGAAACTTGACCGACGTGTGGGCGCTGGGCATCATGCTGTACGAATTGCTCCTCGGGAAACCGCCGTTCGAGGACGAGAGCACGGAGAAAACGTGCAAACGCATCCTTCGCAAGGAGCCGAAGTTCCCGATCGACAAGCGGATCATGTCCGACGCGTGTGTATTACAATGAAAAATGCCCCCACCCCCGAACTACTTGAAAGCATTTGTATTGCAAACCTTTCCAAATGAAACATTCGCCCTCTTGCATGGATCAGCATCACAGATTTCCGATCGTGAATGGCAAAAATTTGTATCGCAAAAGATCCCAGCAAGAGCGGTGTTTGTCATGCAAGCGATGCGAAACACGACTGGACTCTGCATCAGAAAGATTCGTACTACTTTCTTGCATGACAAAAAGTTTTCATTTGGAAACGTCGCATCACAAATTTTTGCAACTTTGGGGGTGGGGGGCACTTTTCACTGTAATAGTGTGCATCCTTGATTTCTCAGATGCTTGTAAAGGACCCCGCGCGTCGGATCCAGCTCAGGGACGTCCGCACCTCGCCCTTCTTCCAGATGCATTTGGGGCGGGGGTAGTTTAGTGGAGTCAAGATCGGGTACATAGGCCAGGATGAAGGGCCTTGCCGTGATTAATATGACGCTATTCACAACCTTCGCGGCAAGATGAAGCCTCGGGGAGTTATAGTAGTTGTAGTTCCCTGTTCACTTTTAGCTTTTCTATCTTGCTGCTGCAAGAACTACTCCATCGCCGCAGTTCCCGGTTTTTTTATGCTTGTTTCGATACAACTCAGTGTTAGCGTTAATAGAGTTAATCTCCACAATTAGGGTCGAAATGGAATGCGGAGAAAGAAAACCGACCTCAGAAAAAGACCGCTTTGGATTCGTTCGATTATGCATGCAGAATACACGTAGAAAGAGAAAGAGTTATTCATTGAATATTGTGATTTGTTTGTTGTTATCCACTTATACTTGAAATAGAAGAAGATTTTCGCTTCATTGCACGAAGTTCTACTTTATTGATAGCCCGCCGTCAATAGCTACCTTGCAAGCCAGTCGATGTACTGACGTAGTATCATTTCGGATGTGATTCATGAGCCTACGTGTACGTATGCACGACCTTCTTACCTGTAGTCCGTGCGTCTATTTTTAACCCAACTACCTCTTACTTTTGCTTGGGGGAAGCAAACAGGAAGTCAGACACCGCCAACTTTATGAAGTAAAGTTCTTCATGGCTTGTGCTTGTTGTGGCACGACACCGCCGCAGCAGCTGTCTAGCTTGTTTTTGTTGTAAGAATTTTAGTGACGGCCACCCTGGCGAAGCCGAAGGAATAATCAAATCGTGGCGATTGTACAACCTAAGGCTAAGTCGTGGTGATTGTACAACCTAAGTCCTTGACCTTGTAGCGCTTTTGAGTCACCCTTTTCTCGGAACAAATAGTTGTGATCCTGAACAAGAATGCGATTTGCATTTGTAACTAATTGTCTCGTCGAGGTCGACGAAACATGCTGAGTTCTGGTGTCCTATTACCGGATGCGCATGCAAGATGAAATGGAAATTCAAAAGCGACCTATTGTGATAGATGTGTACTAACGAGGTCAGCTGCCAGCACTGTGCAGTGAATGAGGTGCTAGGTCTGCTACGCTCTTCCTCTTGCGTCAATCGTTTTCCAAGTTATTTCTGCAGGCCGCAGGTGTCGTGTATGTGCGTAGACTAGAGAGCAGGTGGACATACACGGAAGGAATGGGAGCGGGGCCATCGGGAACTGTGACCGCGGAAGAGAGTGTGGAGTTGGCGACGAAGAGATTTGGCGTTCCTTCTAGAGTTCATACCTGAGAAGTCGACCCAAAGTGAAAGTGCTGACAGATGGCAGGTGGTTTCTTGTGTGTTATCAGATCGCTTCTGCATTGAACAACACACTTGGGGCTTTGTACATCTTCATACCTCACTGCCGAAGACTTCTAGTACTTCTGTGAGAGCAAGAAGAGGCCACGGAGTTCCTTCTCGTTCGCGCAACCTTGTTGGAACGCATCTCACTCGTGGACGTCTCTAGATGAACATTGCCACTGATATACTTCCAGTAGCATTAAAGATTGCTCCTGGCAGCCGTGGAAGTAGCTAAGTAACAAAGCGCATAGTAATAGGTAGCCAGAAAACTCTTGCCGTCATTCTCATTCGAAAATGAACGCGGAACAAATACACGGCCTGATGGGCCTGCTCGGTGTGGGCAACGAGGAAGAACAAGAGACCAGCACTCTACCACCCAACGCCGTCGCTGCGGAACGTACAGCCATGGGATATAAGCCTCGGAGCCAGGCACGACCAAACATGAAGGTAATATTTGTGGTCATTGTTTTGCTTTTTCCCTGCACTACTTCCTAACTGGCATCGCCATCGACATGCCTACGCGCATGAGCTTGAGCAAAAGTACAGTCTCAGCGCAAAGAACAAGAAGAAACACTTTCATCTGCGACATTTCGACAACGAACACATAGGTGAGTGTCCGACAAAAGCCAAAGGTCGTGGAGAAGAAAGCAGAGCCCATTTGGGCGGACACAGACTTCAAGGAGAACGCAGGTGTCGTAATAAAGGACGACGGCGACGACCGGAAAGTTCCCGACTACGACATATTGTTTAAGCAGGATGTTGGAAGCGAAGACGTCTTTCTGAACCTTGGTATAAAAGTTATTACTACAGCTTTTTTCTTGCTCACATACTTCGTTGAGTAGTTCCGTACTATGTTCAACACAGCAGTAGTTCTTCGTTTTGATTGTCGTTCTTCATAACCATATCACCATATCAGAATCTTCTACGTTCGCCACTTAAAAAACTCTCAGGCCAGAAGGACGGGAGCTCCGACCATTGCCACGAGATAGTGGTGAAGATAAAGTTGCCAAACACGGAGCTGAAGGACATAACCCTGGACGTACTCGAACAGCGGGTGCTCTGCATATCAAACAAAAAAAGTTCGTCACGATCACTCATGCGCATTTTTGCAATACAAAATTGGCTGTCATGCGTAAAAATGCATCACAGCCAAATTTCATAAGGGATTTCCCTAGTGTTTCTGCAATACAAGAAAAACCTGTGATGCTGGAAAAATTTCTCATGCAAAACCTGCACGTTAGTGATTGTGACGAACTTTTTTCTTTCCATACTGCAGCTCCAAACTGTACAAACTTAATGTGGCGCTGCCACATCCCGTGTATAAAGACGAGGGAAACGCCAAGTGGGACAAACTCAAGGGCGTTCTGTCGGTCACGCTTCCCATCAAGACTGATATCAAATACTTTTCGGACGTGTCCGATTTGGTGCGCGAAAAAGAGAATTGATCACCTCGAGTGTTGTTGCCTCGGGGTCGAAAAAGAAAGCAGTAAAGCCTCTGCCTCGCATGACAAATTGCGTCCGAAGCTGCTTGCGGCGACGGTGCAAAGGTTTTTGATGAGGTGCAGTCGGGTATGCATGACAAATTGCGTGAAAAAAAACAAAATTTCTGAAGCAAGCTTTTTGCTGAAGGAACAGAGCAGACGTGTTACCCGTGTACGTGTTCACAATTATTGCTCTGTAATCAAAATCAGAATCTGCGGTGGCAGCAGAAAACCGACAAGATTTCCTTTTCAACACAGAAGGACGAAAGCGCTTCTTTCTCAAGGAAAAGACGACTTCTCTCGCTCGAAGTGGCTTCCAGCGCCTTTTCAAAAGTAGAAGACACAGTTACGCATTTTTTGCCCTCTGCCTCTGTAAGTAGGTCGTGAAGCCTGAGACGACGAGGCGATGTCGGATCCTTTTTGAAAAATGCAAGAATTGTCATCATGTGTAGCCTCATCCACTCTACTGACGACGCGTAGCCTCCTGACCGGAGGCGTCCTTGCTTGTCTTGATCGGGGAACTACCTGCGTTCTTTTCCGCGGCCGTGGTAGTGGTTCAGCTGTCTGTGTTTCTTGGTACCCCAACGGCATTGCAGCTCGGGCCAACGTCAAATCTACTGCATTTGTCTCCTCTTGTTTCAATTATCCCGCATCTCGTCGCTCAGTTTCGGTACGCGGCTTCTCGGGATCACGGGGTGAGCATGAACTACAAGCGGACTCACTCAAGGCTGAAGACGGGGGCCCAACGAGCGGTGAAAAAAACAGCCGCAGCTCCCCCTCGTCGTCAACAGTAGCCGACAACAGCTTCCAGGAAAGGATTCGCCGAATCCTGCGCGAGCATGGCGGTTATAAGGCTGATTTGAAACAAGTACCGCCAAGCGACGATGTGTTTTCGACGAGCTACCCTGTCGAACAAGAACAAGATCATGCCCTTCACGCGGACATTGCGGAAGGAAGAAATGGTTTCACCGAAGATAAAATCACAAGTCTGACCCTAGCGCGCCGCATCGAGGAGGCCGCCGAAGAAAAGAGGGCGGTCAAGAGACAGAAGTTCGTCGAAAGGGAACAACTGCGGTCCACGACGTCGGTCGTTGGGAAAAATGCGAACTCGACAGTGAACTATCTGGAGGGCACGACCAACGTTGTAGCTTCTACAAGAAGTACTACTGTGCCGCACGAAGACGAAAAATTTGTTGGAAAAGACTTCGCCCAGGAAGATGTTGGTGGCGCGTCGGAAGTGGCGGAATCTGAAAGCGTCGACGCCTGCGACAGAAACGCCAGCACGGAAAATAGTCGGGTGATGGAACGACTCACCGACACATCGGTGGAGTCCTTTCCGCGCTTCCAAGACACCTTTGTGGATAAGCTGTGGATCACGGTTCGCAGCGGGGACGGCGGTAATCCGGAACCCGGAACCTACCGAAAATTCTCGAACCACGGAGGCCCCGCGTACGGCGGCCACGGCGCCGACGTGTGGATCAAGTGCACGCGCGTATGAGAGTGCACAACCCCCCCTCCCCCTCATTACATTTGCATGGCATGAGCAGCAATACAAACATCAGCAAGAATGCCGGTTTTGCATGACAAAGTTGCACTGGAGTGTAGTGCTGTTTGGGCTTCCAGGATTTGTCATGCAGACGGTGCTACAAGGCAGCAGCTGGATTTATTGGCATCTTTGCATTACAAATGAGGGGGAGGGGGAGTTGTGCACTCTCATAGTGCGCAGTGTTGAACCTGAACGCGCTGCCCCGGGTCAAGAAAGCCCGCAATGGGGGCGACGGCGGGGGCGGCGGCCACCACACGGAGCGCGGGCGGAACCAGAAGGCGGAAACCCTGCACGTACCGGTTATGGAAGTGTCAGGATTGAAACCGACAAAGTTGAAATAATTTCTCATGCATACATTGCAAGGCATGAAGTGTCTCTCTTGCAGGGGTGGCAAGTGAGGCCGACTGTCAGCCTGTTTGGGGTCTGCGATATAGCTGCTAAAGTAGCATGACAGGGCTCTATGAGCTATTTTGGGTGTCTATTGTCTATTGCTAAAGTAGCATGACAAAAGACGCCTTCTGTCCCTAAAGAGCATGACAAACTGGATTTAGCCGGTGCCGAAATTTCTCATGCGCCGCTTAGGAATTGGGCTGCAACTGGTATTGATTTTGGGCATTGCAAGTTATTTCAACTTTATCGATTTCAATCCTGACACCCCCATACCGGTGGGAACCATCGTGCGCGAGCGCAAGTTGTACCGCGCGCCGGAGAGCAACGAACCCTTTCGCACCGAGGAGGGCAAGCGCCGCGTCTACCTGCCAGAGTTCGTGTACCAGTTTTTGCAGCACGGCGACCAGATTCGCATCTGCAAGGGCGGCAAGGGGGGCATTGGACCCAGCCACTTCCGCCTGCACGACGGGCGCAAGGGCGCGAAGGGGGAAAAGCGGATGCTCGAGCTGGAGTACCGCGTGCCCTGCGACGTCTGCCTCCTGGGCTTTCCGAACAGCGGCAAGACGGCTCTGGCCGCCGCGCTCACGCGTGCGCACACCCGCATCGGCCCGGAAGCTTTTTCCACCACACGGCCCCACACCGGTGTGCTCAAGTTCAAAGACGGCGTCAGCTTGCGAGTTCTCGACCTCCCGGGCCTCCTGCACGGTGCGGCGGACCATCCCAAGCAGGGTCGTCGGGTGCTGCGTCACACCTACCGTGCACGGGTCCTGGTGTTTGTCGTCGACATGTCCCGGAAGCCCAATATTGATACTAAACCGACAGCCATAAGTAATTCTTCAAGTACTACAACCCACCTGCCAGCAGTATTCGGTGCCACGAAGAGCGCGCAGCTGTTGGGTGTTGAACAAGAAAACCATAGCTGCGGGGATCTGTGGTCGACCGAAGATGATGAATCTGTTCACCCAGTCCCTGCTCACGCAAGAATAGCAGACTATCTGCGCCGCGGGGAAGTCGTTGTGCAAGAAAAGCTATCCTGTGCAAAAGAATCGTACTCGTAGTAATTGCATTGATGCATTACAAATCTCTTTGTCAAGGTAAATCAGCATTACAAATTTGATTTGTAATGCTGGGGGGCTAATTTGTAATGCAATTTATACTAGAAGTGCGATGCTTTTGCATTGCATAAAAGCGGATCCGCGAAGAGCTTGAAAGGAACCGAAGGCTGCGGCAACCGCTTCTGCCAGCCGTACCTGCATCAGATTTTTGTAGCGGTGAAAGCGTGTCAGAGGACACTGTCGTAACAAAAGCCCTTCCAGTAACAGTAAGCGAAGATGACAACACAGCTGACTGTAGTGGTCTGAAAATGCTCACAGATGAAAGTGGAGAGCCACTGGATGTTGACCGTGCTGCAAATAACATCCTGAGTGAACAGAAGAAGTGCCGAGACCCGCATTATCACCGCGAAAAAGAGGAAACACGCCACACCTTTTCTCACTATGGTGCAGAGGTTCATCTGCGTGAAGGAGAAAAGCCGCGCATGGTAACTGGAGACGAGAACCTGAGCGTAGAAGATCGCAACAGTATATTGGATTCGTTGCAGCGCCAGGTCGAGGCGCAGTCTCCACAATCGCAATCCGATACCAGTAGTCGCCCCGTCGACAGCACAAAGACAGCAAGAACAGTGGATTGCGCAAAGATAGAAAAAGGAGATGAATCTGAAACAGACACAGACTCAGACTCAGATGAAACTACCGAGACTCATCGTGACGCAGGAGACCGCGATGATGAAAGTGGGGTAACGACTGAAGATGGCTTTGTTGACGGCGCGGCGGTAGCTGCACAAGGCGTCACCGAAGTTGCCGCCTCTGCGCCGACGACAAATGAACAATTCTCAAGAAGTACGGCAGAACCCGCGCACTACTCGCACGAGGCCCTGGATGCGTTCCAGCAGTTTCTCACGCTCCGCCGGGAAGCGATTCGGTATGACCCCTTGAATGCAGAGAAGCCCTTCCTGATTGTGGGCACCAAGTGTGACCGCCTGCACGAGGACGCGCTCTACAACTTGGATTCCGTTTTTTTCCGATGGCGCGCGCGCTTCGGAGGGGCAAGACTGGGCGGGAACGTCGATGGTGAAGATGTTGCTGCTCAACAACATACTACAGATGCAACTACTGCAACCGGCGAGGACAAAACCTCTCGTGGTCGTTCTCCTGCTGCCACACACCGCGAGAGTTGTAGGTCCGACGTCATGGGAGTGTCCGCCCGGTTCGGGCTGGGGATCGCGCCGCTGGCCCGGGTTATCGCAAGAAAAAACTGTTTCACTGTGAACTTGTGATGCAGAAAATGGAACACGGAACTATTTGTCTTGCTACACCTGCAACACATTGGATTTTCAAGCGTGTTTTCCCTTGGAAAGCGCGCATCACAGACTTCCAGTGTCATGTGTAACAAACTTGTGATGCAGATCTAGCAAAATCATCACAGTGAAACAGTTTTTCCGTGGGAAGCGGGTGTTGCGGAGCCTACTGGAGAACGATGCACTGGAAGTTCGCCACCGGGACAAAATCTTTGGTCCAATGTTCCCGAAAGCGAAACTCATCGAGGCGCACGAGCCAGCCGAAAACTTGCCGATGATTGCCGCGGGAACGGAGCTCTTTCCAATACGCATCGCAAAAATATCGTCCTAGTGGTCGTAAGTATGACAAATTTTCTCCAAAGAAAAAATAGAACGCGTGCTGCTGATTTAAGTACCTAAGATCGAAGATGTGTCATGCATGATTAGATTGCAAATGCAATGAGGATCACGAGTACGATACTTTTGCAATGCATACCCGAAAGCATCGACCAACTCCCCGCCTGGATTTGCACCGCGCTTTGTCCGTGGGAAGGGGAATCGCATCTGGACAAATTATTAAGGTCTACGTCTATTGGTATTGCGAGCGCTGCATTGATTAATATTTATCAATATCCGCTTACATCTAACGAAAATGCACCACTCCATCTTCATATAACCTATTCATTGAGTGCCCGTCACTTTTTCTTTTTGTACGTTTGCATTTCCTGTCTCTAGCGCAGGAGGGCAAGAGGCTATGAAAACCTCGACAGCTTCTTGTCACTTCGTAACTGCACCAGACCAGAAACTGTGACTCTGAAGACGCGGTGTCTTGACAACATAAGTAGTCGTTGTTCATCTCTCGCGCTCGCACCACAGTTCGTTATAGCGTTTGAGAGAATGATTTTGCGGAAAATGCGAGATGGACGAGTTGCATCTCTGCGCCTGCGTCTTAAATTGCGTTCAGAAATCATGTTGACCAAACAGTATGCCAAGTGAAGTCGAGAAATATTCGTAATATTCGAGAAGATAGTATTAGCCCTCGTTTTCGTATCGAAGCAGATACGACCGAAAAAAGCTACATGATGAAAACCACGACTCTGCAACGGTTTGTCGAATCCGCAACTGGAAAGAGACATCTGGCGTTAGCGCTAGCTGAATCACGAGGGGTTTTCCTAGTTGCCTCAAGAATGCCGTAACAAGTCAGCCGTACCGTTTCTTCCCTGTTTCTGCTGTCCTGTTCGTTGGTACCTACTTCGGGCAGACGTGCAAGCTTGGCAGAACCTTCGAGTAAGTATGTCCTGGACCCGCTTCCGGTACCATGAGGGGCATGCAATGCCCACCGCGTCGCGCGATACCAACTCTTGGCTCTACGGTGCAAACAAGATTGATAAAGCCCCCACGGCCCAGACCAACTTCATAGTGCAAAAATCAACTCTGAGTACGGCACAGCCCGCAAGCATACCAAAGGCGAACGTCGGAAGCAGATGTATTGCATAATTTTCGTTTATTTTCTTCGGGCTTACAAATGCGTACTATGCCGACATGGACATCTCACTGTGATGAGCGAACAAACTTACGCTCTGCGACTTCTATCGGATCTAGCTGTCATCTTTCTCTGTGATCTTGATCTCGTTTTGTGGAGCTACTTTTTGATAGATAGGCGAATCAAACACAAAAAACCAGCAAAGTTGCTTTCTGGTGCACCCGAAGAGACCCCGGGTCCAGGAGCCTACAACGTATCAAATGTAAAAATGTCTGGGTCTGGAAGATTGCGAGACTTGTCATGCAAATCTGGCATGACTCTGAACTCTGTATTGCGTGGCCGCAAAGAGCTCCTCCTCCCTGTGTTGCAAAAACGCGGTTTCTCATGCGGAATACGCAACTCAGAACCATACAAAAAACTTGTCATGCTTGGCGGCGCATTTCAGTGAGCTCACTGTTCTCTTCCTTGCATCACAAGTTTCCAGACCCAGACATTTTTACAATCCATACAACGTCGTCAAGAGCAGTTTTCGGCCCGCCACCTCGAGTGGTGTCAGTATCAAGGGTGGTCCGAAACGCGCTCCCGTTCGCGACACCACAACACACTGGCCGCAAAAGCTGAAGGATGGTATATAAATAACGATCTTAAGCAAGTACTATGTGTATGTAGATGTACGATTACAAAGAGAGCATTCTTTAGCGAATACGCCGAATCGGGTCGTAGGCTAATCAACATGCACGAACGAGAACGACTCGATTGCGTTGCTCACCCAATAAAATTCAGCGTTCTTTTGTCACCTTGCGCAAAAAAAAACTCTAACTTGGCGAATTTGCACTTCGGCGATGAAGAGAGACAGACCAGCGCAGCTGAGTTGCCCACTCATCCTGGATGAAATCTTCAACGCACGCATCTCAAGAGATGATGTATAAACAGATGCCGGAAACGGTGCCGGATTCTACGAAAAACTCACAACATTCGGAGACAAACGCAATCGGACCGGTGGAGGCGTGATTGGGAAGGCTAACCGCACCATAGCATGGATGAACAAGCGAGAGCACGCATCTACCACTGCGCAATTCTACACACCGCGTAAGTGTATGCAAACTGTTTGAGTACTAGTTCTACTTGTGAGTTGTCGGATTTCTTCTGCTCAGGAGCAGGAGCGCACGTACTTATTATGGAATTGGAAATTCAAAGAAAACAAAAATAAAATGACAAGAAAGCGACTTGAGTGACAGCGATATCACAACATAGACGAACTACGGTCTCATGTTGATATTTTTTACAATTTCTATTCACCATGATGCATACAACACACCCAGAATCGACCTTGAAAGTAAACTCGACGGCTTTTCTGGGGTCCCGAAGTCCACGGTTTGTGGGCGCGGCGAACGAGGCCACGCCCGGTCCAGCCGCGTATTCTCCCCGCGTGCCACAGGATCCGCTCCTCAAAAAGGGCGTCCGAATCGCCCGCACAGGCCGCAAACTACCACAGTCGGGGCCCGCTTTTTCTACGTTTTTTTTTCTACATCTGTTGCTTCTGCTTCTGCTGCATCCCGCAATGCAATCACAGTCAATGGGTATCATGCAGTGCCTGTTTAATAAAATTTCAGGTGCCGATCATGCGTAGAACTTATACTTAGCGGCCCTTTCATCGTATACCGTCTGTCAAACACCAATGTTTTGACGAAAGCGGAAAAAACAACGAACTTAGGTCGGAAGAAACTCCAGGACCAGGCGCCTACGCTCCGGAATCCGTCTATGACATGCAACGAAGTATTGCTTTTTCACTGCGCGATGATATTGATTTTGTACGTGGCCCTCCTGCAGTTGTCCATGATAATGTGAAACTGAAAAAAAGGACAGCTTCTATCTTTATGGTCTGCCACATGATGACTAAGAATGTCATTCTAATTGGCGATTGCAATGAAGAAAAAACTTAATTTTGCAGAAAAAGCGCTGGCGCGGGCTGCTATGGCGCAACGAAGTGCGATGTCGAGCTCGCAAGTGACAAGCTCCAAGTCATCGACGCAGACCGGGAGCAAGAAATCGTACAATTTCGCCCCCCAGACGAGAAGAACGAGCTGAGCCTAGCAATGCCAACCAGTGTAAGTAAGTACCTGTTTTTTCAAGAAAATGATAGCACGCTTGACAAGTTGTTCCAGAAATGAGCTTGCCCAGTACACTATTAGACATCTACTGAGCTTCATCCCCTTGCGCTCCCTGTGCTGGTTCAATTTACGCCCGTGTCGAGCTGACTTTTCGAGTAATATGGCCTTCATCTACATCATCCTCTCCGTTTCAGTAGGATTCATCGTACGCAACAAACGCAATGAACGATTCGAGTGTCACTTTAATGCCAAAAAATAAATGTTTCGCCCTTTACTACAATTCATCGTTTGAGAATGATGGTGGTGCCTCGCGGTCACCAGGCCCCGTTTCCGGATTATTTGAGAAGCTAGTTCTCGAAAATGAACGACTACAGCGAGCACTGGAAAGACGAAACAGAAACGCATCAAGAACAACTTTGTCGTAATGATACTAGAGAAGAACTTACTAACTTAATACACCAAATCCAATAACTTTACAATACCACAATGGTCCACCCGCTCTGACCATTCACATTTAGCACGGTTGGTTTGATCCTCGCAAACAGTTGTACCCTTGCGAAACGGCTTCGGCTGCGAACAAGGATTTTTACGAAGTAGTGTTGTCGTAGAACTACTTGAGTTGTCAATATTTGGGGCGATTGGTCGCCACGGGAGCATTATGAAGATTGGTGTGGCATTTAGCAACATCCAAACACACATGATCCAGCCACAGACCAGGACTTGTTTTGGATCTTGCTAGAAGTTGTACCTTCGTCCAGCGAGCGATGTTGATCGCCAAGAAGAAAGCTATTTTGCTTCTCTTGTTTTTGCCAACAAAAAGAAACAGAGCGGTGCTATGGTTATCGTTTTGTGTGTATATATAGAAGAAAGTGGACCACACGACCATGCAGAACTTTCGTCGTTCTTGTTTGATGGTGACGACAACAACAATGTACTTCAAAGTTTGCCTGTATTTGAGGTGGAACTAATTGAACGAAACTTTTTCTTTTTTCGCTCACCGTGGTGATGAGCCAAAGAGAACGGCACCCTTCCAGCCTTGGCTCCCGCATACCTCGCGTGATCGTGTTCCCGGCCGTGCGCCTGCCCATCCACAGGTACTTAGAAAGCGCGGCAGGTGAGTATCAGTTCTACTTCTACTATGCCCAGCATGAGCGAGCAGAGATCTTCTTGCAGCTAGACCTGGAAGTTCACTTGATGTTTACACTCTGAACGGCTATAATAAAGGTACATGACAAGAGCACGTCGTGAAAAGGAGGCTTCGTTGCTGCCGACTAATCCCGAGAGCGAATCGAGAGCGAAGAAGTGCTGTACCTGTAGTGACGCTGTGGTCCGTTTAGCAGCAATCACAATAATTAGAGGTTTGCCGTTTGTGCCAGGTGTCTGTTATTAAAAAAAGATGTGCTATTGCAGCCACGGTAGACCAACAGCATGAAGCTGCTCCCTTGCGACCCGCTCGCAAACACGCAGATTGAAACCCTGCACGAGCTAGCAACGATCGAGCATGAATCTGCCTTGTGGGACCGCTTTCGGGTCGAACGTGGGTTACTCATCGAGCGTAACGGTGCACCGCCAAAGGTCGGTGGAGAGATCTTCGAAGGCCGTTTCTTCGCTCGCAACGGTGCGTTTCCCGAGGACGCGGAAGCCGAGGACGACGACATCGACGCCGAGGAAGAAGATGAAACTGATACTACAAAAGAAAGAAGAAAAACCCAAACCGTGGAGCAACAAGCGAAAAATAAAAACGCCGAAATATTGGAGAACGAAGATGGTGCTCCGCAGGGAACTACATCAAAGGCAGACGACTTCGACACGAGATCGCTGGAACAGGATACAGACTCCCCGTCGCGGCGCGTCCGGACGTTGCAGCGCAACAGAACGAAAGACCGTGGCGGGGACGCCGACTTTCGCCATGCTGAGGACAAGATCGAGTTTCTGTCGCCGGAGGTGGCGACCTTTGTGCAGAAGTGCCTGACACCGTTGCAGGCGTTGCAGCTCTGCCTGCATTTCGAGGACACCTTCCTCGACCCGCTACTGAAAGACCTGCGAACGAATATCATACCGCTCTATGGTGGGAACCGGTTTTTCTCTGCGTGGCTGCTGGACCAGAGCGGGGTCGCGCGCACCTGCGCCGAGACCCTGAGTGACTTCGCCCTGGAGTTTCCCGATCCAAAAGTGCTTGTCGCGGCTGCCGCCGTCCTTGCGGAGCCCCTGGACTTCGAGAGGGACCTGTTGCACGTGTTCAAGCAAGGGCTCGTCAAGGGGCTGGACGAGAAGGAGCTCCCGGCGGCGGAGCTGCTCCTTGACGATTCGAACTTTCGCACGAACGCGGAGAAACTCGCGGTGGAGATCCTGCGGAGCCGAGCACACGAAAAGCCCATTCGTCCCGCGAACGGCGAAGATGAGATGTCATCCGGCGACGAAGACGAGTACAGCAGCGGACAAGAGTCGGAGGACCGATTTCAGGAGCGGACGGTGAAAAGTGCGGAACTCGCAGAGGACGATGACGCAGGCTGGATGCAGGCGGTCGCAGAAAAAGAAGAGGCGGCACAGCTTCAGCAACAACGATTCCAGCTGCTACTGAATCTCATCGCGAAGAAGCAGTCCAAGCGTCTTCGAGAGCTGCGGACCGCGCAGCGCGATGCCGTTCGCGCTTTCCACGAGGTGGATCCATCGGGACCGCAACAGGATAATTCGACACAAAATCCATCTGGAGCACGAACTACTACAGATGCGAACGTACAAATCGTGATTGTCCTTCGTCGCCTGCGACGCAAGCGGGTTAAGCAAATCTGCCACAAGATCGCTCAGCTCGCTGAGTTTGCTTTTTTAATTTCCATCTGGCACTTCGTTCCACGCCCGAATGCAAAAGACCTGGAAAATCAACCGGAGCGAAGCGAACAAGACGCGATTCGAAACGCGAGCGCGACCGTGAATCTGCTGCCGTTTTTCGCGAAACTATGCGTCTTGTTGCGAATCAACGTGCCCCAGCTGCACTACTGGATCCTCCACTCCATGGCGCACTTCGACTGCCCGATTGGCTTGCCCTTCAGCACGGTGAAGTTTTTGTTGTTCAAGCGCTGGCGGGAAACGCTGCTCTTGCTGTCCCGCCCACACATTCGTGTTACTTCGGACTTCTTGGAGGACGAATTTTTGCCGGCGCAGCCCACGGCACACGGCCGCGAGTGCGTTGTCGTGCTGCACCACGCCCTGTACGTGGCGAATCTGCGGAGCAAAACGGGAGGACGGGAATCAACTTTTACGTCGCCCCCGCGGCCTCTTCCCGCGGCTTTCGAGGACCAGCGCTTAGACGACGTGCAATTGGTGTTGCGCAGCTTCACCGACAAGTTGCTGCTCAAGAACTTGATCGCGGTGAACCTCAAGCGTCGCTTGCTGATATCGTGCGACCTGCGCGCCGGGGACCTGGAAAATGGGCTGGCCGTGCTGACTCGTTTGTACGATGAGTGTCTACGACACGAAGCGCTCGGGATTACGCCGGCACCGGCATCGAAGCCAGTGCCCAAGGGTGTCGATGTGTTCGAGATGAAGGCTGCAGTGAACGGTAAGGACGAGGAGGAGGGTTCAATCGATAGAGACGCGCAAAAAGCCGTCGACCCGACCCTTCTGGAACAACGAGACCGTTTGCTGCGAGAGCAACTCGAGCTGGAGCGCGTAGTCTTCGGCCCCGCGATTCTGCGGCTGGTGCTGCAAATCTCCGACATTGTCGGTGGCGAGGGCGAGACTTTCGGAGCTATCTACCCGGATTCTTTGCTGCAAAATGTGCCAGACGCGGTGCTCCTCAAGCGAAAGCGACGGCGAAATATTGAAGCACCCCAGCAGGCGGATAGTCCGAATAGGTTCCGTGACCGTGCTCCTAGTACCTCCGGGAAGATGAAAACACGAGGAAGAACATCAACGGCTAGTACTGCTACCGGCATGGCGCCTCATGTAGGGAGTGAAACTTTAGCGTCCTCGTCGTCCTCGGACTATTCCGATTTGGAGCCGACCGCACCCGGCCAGGGAATCGTCGACCAGAATACAACGGAAGAACATCCCGACCAGTTGGGAACAGATTTTCAGCACGAGAAGCAGGTCGCGGCAAATCGCATTCGCGCGCGCGAGCGCCGAAAGCAAATGCAGCAAGACATACTGAAAGGAAAAGAGGGTCCTGTCACCGCGGGGGTGAGAGAACCCTCCCTGGAGGGTGCAGAAGACCCTGCTATGGCGCAGGCTGCTGGAAATCAGCTTCTGCAGTTACACGCGGGCAAGAAAGGCAAGGGAAAACAAGGCAAAAAGAAAGGCAAGAGCAAGAAAGGTAAAAAACCGGTTTCCGCCCCGGGAAGTCCAAAAGCAGCGCCACAAAAGGCTACATCCAAGGGCCGCCTGAATGTTTCGTCGCCAACATCAAAAAAAGGCACCCCAGAACAGAGAGCTGGAACCCCTACAAAGGGAAAAGGAAAACTGAATGCAAAGCCAGCGACCAAGCAGGGACAACAAGGAAAACTAAACATGAAACCGCACGGCATGACGTTCGAGGGCCAGCACAGTATGGAGGCACCAGAAGGCGCAGGGGAACAACAGCCGAAGAGTTCGTTTTTCGGACAGCTAGCTTCGTTTGTCAACACTGCAGTCTCAGTCTTTGAGAGTTCGCCGAAAGACGGGCTGTCCGACGAAAAAATTGCACAAGGAGAGGACGCGGCACCGCAAGTGATATCTCCCGAACGACAAGCGGAAGTGGTAAATGCCGCGACCCTCGCCGACAACGTGCAACAACAGCTCCTCCCAGACGATGCCGCGGAGGACGAGGAAGACAACGCCGATGACTTGCTGTTGGACCAACACTACATCCGCAAAGCGCGGAAACAAGACAAAATTGTCGCCCACTGGCGGCCGCTTGATTATTGGTTTTCGGCCCACTGCTCCCTGCAGTTGTTCAGCGAGGACGACTACTACGCGCGACATCTGGAGTACGTGTTCGGCCTGCGCCAGAATTTGACGCTGGCGCACCTGCGGGACATGTCCCAGCACTGGAAGAAGGTGGACGACTACCTGCAAAAGATCTACCACCAGCGAAAATCGGTGCACGTGAACCGGAAAACGGGGCGGCTTTCCCTTGGCCAGCGCAACAAACGCATGCAAAAGCAGGAGGAACTGTTTTTCGCCCAGTACCGCTGGCGGCGGGCGCGAATCCTCGAGCTCAGTCTCGGCCTGCTGCCCCGAATCCTTCCGTGGACCTTATGGCGCTTCTCTCACCCGTTACACTCTCAACTGTTACATAAGTAGGTCTGTGATGCAAGAATACCTAGTAGCGAAAGTGAAACTAAGGGGAACATCCTTGCGCGGTTTGCATCTACAGATATGGAACGGATTCTGATGCTATTTTGCGCGCCCACGCCGGAAGATTGTCACGAGAAGAAGTTTGATCGCGTGAAGCGCGATGGTGATGTTGTTCTTTCTGCATGAGATGAAATCATGTAACAGTTGAGATTGTGCCGTTTGAGAACCCGCCCATAGCGCAGCCGTGCCTTCAATCTGCCCAGCCGCAACTGTTCCAAGGAATCCATGGCACTACTCACGTCTATTGGCAACTTGGCCAAGAGCGCCAAGCGCGCGGAGATCGAACCCGCGATAGCGCAGCGACAGCGAGAGGAATACTTGAACGGCAAGCACACTACTCGGGCGGGCGCGGATGGTGAGGAAGTGGCGTTGGATGAAATGCATGTTACCAACGATACTAGTGGAGCAGGAGTGGTTGGAGCGGGAGCAGAGGAACTTCCTGCTGAAAATTCAATGAAAGTCGATGCAGCTGCAAAGAGTGGTGCTGCTCCGTTCTTGCTGGCGCATTTGAGTTCCGCGGCGAAAATAAAAAGCTACGGCCTGACCGGTTGGCAGATGAAATTCTCCACCGCCGCACCTGAGCAAGTCCTCGAGATTTTGCGACGGTACTTTGATGTAGTTCAAGATCATGTACTACATAACCGAAGCCCCACGAGAACTTCCGCGCATGTTGAAAATAATGACGCACCGACAGACGAGATGAAAGTGAAACCACTCCCGGTTATGTCCCCAGCCGTCGCGCAAGCGTACTTGCTCGCTTTGTTCGGGTTTGTGCTGGAGTACCGCGATTTTCCGACGGTTACCGTTACCCAGGTGGACAAGTATTTGTACAAACTGGAGGATTTGCTGCAAATTGCTGCAGCGAAGCCCTCTGGCTTGGCGACCACTGATGTGCTTGCCGAGATGACCCATCTTCAGATAAAGCCGACAAAAGTGAAATCGGAAGCGTACCAGAACGGTGTGGTAGCGGGCGACACGCTACTCAACGTGTCCGGCACTTTCATCTCGGACTTGCCGAATTGGCCGGGAAACCATCCGGACGGCGCGCTTTTGCGTTTTATCGTCCGCGCCGCCTCTACTTCGTCAAATCATGAGACTGTCGGCTTTGCTTTTCTGCGGAAGAAATACAGCACGCGCTACCTCCAGCTGACCGCATATGAGTCGGACCTTGGTCTGTCCGTGCACGGGATGAAAGTGCGGGCGGTCAAGCCAAAAAGTTGGGGCAGTAGGGTCGGACTCAAAAAGGGCGACCAGGTGCTGGTGGCGAATGACATTTTTGCGGAAAAAGCCGTCAAAATGTCGGCGCTGGGGCACCAGACCGCGAGCGGTGAAGTAGAGGCGAGGGGCAACAAGGCGTACCTCGAGAACGACACAAACTTGGACGTCTTGTGTGGCAAGTACGAAAAGCGCCCCTTGCATCTGTTGGTGCGTCGGGTAGAAGGCGACTTTCCCCCGAGCGCACGGGAATTTGAGGTGGACACGAAGTGCCCCCTGCCGTCTCACTGGTCCCGTCGGACGGTAGCTCTGCATTCTGAACTCACGACTCTGAGGAACAAACTCGCGACTTCCGCTGGTAAAACTGCTAGTCCGGATGGCGTGGAAAGAGAACTGGAGCACGAACCACGAACTACAAATGCGGAGATGTCATTAGAATCACAGCTACAGTGCTGGAAAGGGAGTTTGTTTCTAGAACGGAACCTCTTTGGCGCGGTTAACCGCCGCAGTGCCGCACAGTTTTTTCTAGATCGCCGCATGTCTGCTCTGGATAGTCCCTTTTTACGAACCGCTCTCGGAGGAAACAGGAAGGAAAGGATGAGAAACTGGCAAAGTTCCCTACTTCTTGAGCTGGACCGTTATGAAAACTACACATCGATCCAAAATTCCCACCCTGAATCCGCCCGAGACGACGAGAGTGAGGGCACCATTGACGAGGCGGCGCTGCGCGAGTATTCTCTTTTCTACAAGTTAGCTGACGCGCAGTTCTACCTGACGCACCCTGGAGCGAATCGACTTGCTGCAGTTGGTGGAAAGAACTACTTCCAGCGACAGAACTTGCCGGGCCTGCCCCACGCAGTGGAGAGCACTGCTGTCGATGACGCATCTACTTCGCAAGCACGGAAAATGAATAGCCCAATGTGGTCCTCTGGGAATTATTTTTATCGAGATTCATCTACTCCGTATTTGGCTCCCGTGAATCTCGCATACCTGCGAGACGGACTGGGTCAGACAGAGGACGCGGAAAAGCGAAATGCAGAACTTGCGAAAGACAAGGAGGTACAACAGAAATACGTCGAGGCGAAGAAGCTCCTGGCAGAGCAGCAGCGGGAAGAGGAGAAGCGCACCCGGAAACGCCAAGATGTGTATGCCGACAAGGTTCGGCGTTTCCTGGCGCAGCCGGGGTTGCGAAATGTGGAGATAGAAAACCTGGCGGTGTCGCTCTGGCGCACCGCCGGGACCTATGCGGCGAAGCTGCAAAAGTCCGAGGAGAGCATGAGCAACGACGATAATTTTTCTGGGCCTAAAATGTCGAGTGCCAGCAGGCGAAAAAGAACGAAAGGCACGAAGAATCAACGTCGAAGCACAAATGGTGGAGCCGCTGCTTCTGCTAGTCACGAGCAGGAGGGGACGAATGCAAAACAAACGGACTTTTCGGCGCCAGCAGAGAGTTTTTTCCAAGTGGCGCAGCCGATTGTTAGGACAATGACTCAGTGTCTAGCCTTGCACGGGGACAACACGACGAACAACGCATCTACTGCTGACAACAGCGAGGAAGCAAATTTGGTCCAGAAGTGCGTGCAATTTTGCCTGGACGTCGAGGCAGAGTTCCAGCCGCGGATCAACGCCATCGAGCGCGATTTTCGCCGATCCTTCGAGGACCAGAAACGTCAGCAGGTCGAGGCGGAGAAGGCCAGGCAACAGGAACTGCGACAGCAACCAGGCGAAGAAGTTGCCGAAGCGGCGGGCGGGGCCGCAGTAGAAGCAGGTGAGGTCGAAGCGGTTTCTGGAACACAAGTAACCGAGGCGGAAAGGGCTGAAGAGCTGGAGCAATTTCTGGCGGACAAGGAAGAGGAGATGAAGCGGCAAGCAGAGGTGATGAAACTGAGGCTGCTCGGACGTCGGTTTTTGGGAGAACTCGTGGACCTCTCCGACGACGAACTAGCGGACTTGGGTCTCGACATCGAAGACGTGTTGGTAAACGTTTCCCTCGCATGCCGCGCCGCCTTTTTTGAGGTGCTTGCTGACGAACGGCCACCTCTGGAAATAAACCCGGATACTACTACGGACCGGACAGCAAACGGCACACCAGTTCCCGCATCAGCAGCAGCAGCGCTCCAGGGTGTATAGTGATGCTTTGATCTCGAAAAAGGTTTCTTTCACTTTCACTTCCATGAGCATGATGTTTTGAGCCATATAAAACCTTGAGAGAATGGCTTAAGCAAGCCTGGCAGATGATCGCGATGGCATTTGCTGTCTGGCAAACTACTACATGTACATGTTCCTCTACTTTAGTTGTCTCGATCGAATTGAATGACGCAAAATTGGAACAGGAAAAGCCCAAGCGCGCGCGGACGGTCTGTCCGATAAACGTGCGAAGCGCAGAGTGCAGAAGGCTGCGGCGCGCAACCTGATATTCTCCGACGGCGCCTCCCACGTAGAGGGCAATGGCAAACTCGACATTGTTTGGCATGAACGCAACTGGTCCGGACGCTTGATTGGGCCACACACCGAAGATGCTCCTCCCGGGACAACCGGAGGTCGTGGGAATGCCGAACCAACCACCGAGAACCAGGACGCGAAACTGCAGCCAGAAAAACACGGCAGCGCTCCGACAAGTTCGACGCCGAAGCCCGCATCTTCGTGTACGCTGGACGTGTTCACAGTCGCCAAAAACTACTACGTCCGCCGGAAGAAGCGACGCTTCATTCCTGCGACGCAGGCTTTTGCGGAGAGCGGTCAAGAAGCCTCCGCATTCAGTTTCATCCCCCCGCGTTCGGGCGAGACCCTGACACAGTGTGCCTTACTCACTTTGTTCGCGACCCTGCAACCACTGCTGCGCGCTTCACTCACGCTAGAGCGCGAGGACGGCTTTTTCGCTGCGGCGTTTCATCCTTCCACGGAACAAGAACTACCTAGCGCAAATAACCAGACGGATGCTTCCTGGAACCTGGCCGCGCTGAGGGGCTCCCCGATAGCGCGCACCCTACTGTGGGAGTGCTTTTTGCTCGCGTCCGCCATTGTGCGGTGCGCCTGGGGCGAGGAACCCACCCGCTTGCTGTCCCGGTGGGAGAAGCACCCCCCGGGCGTGTTTTTGCCGCCACGCGAGGAAACGCTGGTCGAGCGAGTGACTTCGGTCGCGCAAAACATCGCGGACAACCTCGGTAGCTTCCTGCGCGGCCTCTTCACGTCGCCGGATGGCGGGAACAAAGAAGCCACGCCGAGTGGCGACGACGAGGCAGCACGCGAAATCCATCCTCCGCCCTCGACGGTTCTTTCCACGAAGCCTGACACGGCGTACAAACTCTCCGGTGACGGCATTTCAGGCCTACAAACGGAAACGATCGCCCAGAGCCGGCATCGGAACGCCTCGGCGCGGTTTCGCATGTGGAACCTGCTGGTCAATTTTTTTGTGGTGCCGAACCTGGAGATGCAGTGGAAACTGGTTTTGGCGGACGACTTACTTGCCCTGCTCGCTCTGGACCGCGCGGCATTCCCGCAGGGAACGCGGCTGCGCGTTGGAAAGGCCTTCGTCCACGAGGTTTTGCAAACTCTTGTGGACCTCGAGAAGAACGAAGCAATCTTGGACCAGCGCAGCCTGCTGCCGTTCTCGTCCCCGGGGAGGACGAGAGAAAAGAAAAATTTGAATGATCCTGCTTCCAGTTCTATGGACCGACGAGGACAGTTGCGCGGCTCCTACGCGAAAGTATTAAGTGCTGATACCCCATTGGCACGGAGTTGCGCAGACCGCCTGGAGACGAGCTTGTTGCAGCTCTGCACGTGGCTGTTCCGCGCCTTTCCGCCCCAGGACCTGTTCCAGTTGGCATTTCGGCTGCTCTACTTCAGCAAGCGAGAGCCGTCCTGGCTACGCAAGCAGCAGAGCGTGCACTTGGTGCGCATCTTGCTCCTAGCCGGTCACTATCAAATGGAACATTCTAAACTTGTAATGCTGTCTCTGGATTCTGAAAAACTTTGTATTGCATGACCAGCAAGAGGACTCCAGTTTGTGCTACGCGGAGAGGCCGTTTCTCATGCGGAAGAGGCATCGCAAAGCGCTCTAAAAATCTGTGATGCTACGGCATGCATCACAGACATCATGGGCCATGGAAAATATACATGACAAATGTAAGAATTTTCCAGACCCAGACATTTTTACATTTGATAGTCACGTCCCGGCCCCGACCGACTCCGACCGTTCCTGGTTCTAGCGAAAGGAAAAATCCCCCCTCCCCATATCAAAACGGAATTTCTGATGCTGGATTTGTGTACACAAATCAGCTTTGTGCTGCAGGAAGGCATTGCGGCCAGATCCCCAGGCTGGCCGGGGCGTATGGGTCTAGTTGTTCAGCATGGCAAACGGCTCCCCTTTAGGCCCAACAGCATGACAAACCGCTTCGATAATGGGACGGAAGCTTCTGCCCTTGTCTTGTTGCAAGACAAATGTGATCTGTGACCTCAAATCAGCAACACAAAACTTCGGAAACATACCTTTTCAATATGGGGAGGGGGAGTTTTTCCTTTCAATAGGATCGCGCGGCACGCCACACTGCAGCACCTCAGCCTGAAAACCAACTACTTCAACCTGGAGGCCTTCGTGCCCCACCTGCTACTCCAGTGGGGCAACTTGAAGCAGTTAGCACTGCTGGAACCGCTGTTGGCCATCGTTGCCATGACGTCCGACGACCACGAGGTCGCGGTGTGGACCTACGTGACCGCGCAGGAGCTCTTTCGCCTGGTGTTTCGCGGCTTGTCCAACGTGAGTGCGGAAATCGCGACGGGCCTGCTCCACGCGCGCGAAACGGCGCACGACCACTTCGTGCGGGCGCGCGCCAAGCAGTCGCTCGGCCAGGCGGCCGCGGCCTCCAGCTCCGAGCGCAAAACCCGGGCCGAGGCCGTTGCGAGTCTGCGCGCGGCGAAAGGCGGCGAACATTTCCCGGTCTTCATTGACGAGCAGGTACTGCGCTGTTTCCTGGATTGCCTTTACCACACGGGTGCTGCCATCGGTGCGTGGTACCGGCGACAGCGCAGCTCCCCCGAGGAGTTCGAGGCGTTCTGCATTGCCCTCACGCACTACGTGTACGAGCTGGGGTTCGATTTTCAACCGGCCGACTGGGGCGCTTTTCTCGCGCCCTGCCTGGGGACGAAGAAGTTCTCGCAGGAGGAGGGTCCTCGTGGCAAGATGATGAAAGCCTCTACTAATATCGCTTTGGGGTACGAGAAAGTCGGGATCTTTTCGCGCACCGTTGATTTCGGGCGCGTGTGCAGGCGTTTGTACGCCGCGAAGGTGGTGCGCATCAGGGAAGACAACGCGCCGCAAGACGACGACGACCTCCACGGTGCCTACGGTGACCGAAAAGCGTTTGCTGCTTCCGCGTCGGCGCGACTAGCGAAAACCAAGCGGGAGCGCCGCCAGCTGCGCCAGGACGGAGACGAACTGAATCCCGACCACGCGCTCGTCGCGGAGCGCAGTTCCGAAGAGAATCCCTTCCCGGTTCCGGGCCTGTTTTCGAAAGCCTTTGCGGTCGAGGCACTTGCGCCGGATGGCGGGTTCGAGGACGTCAACATGCTGTTTGGCCCCGAGCGTGCCGAAGCCATTGAGAAGGGCCAGCGCGTCTTCACCATGCAGGAGTGCACGCACATCTGCCGTGCGGAAACCTTGTTGCAGGAAGAGCGACAAGAGCGAGAGCAGCGCGCTGCCCGCCTTCGGGAACGGCAAGCGCGCGGTCGAGCCGTGGCGGCTCCTGGAGTAGTTCTTGGGGCCGCGGAGTCAGCACCTGGTGGAGAGGTGGAGCGAATCGCGGAGGAACCGCCGACGAGTGTGCCCGCCGCAGCTGCAAATACAGCGACAGCAGCTGCGCCAGCAGCAGCGGCGCTACTGTATTACCGCGATCCACCGCCGCCGGTTTTGTACTACGAGGAGCAGCTGCAGGGGCCGGAGGAGACGGTCGGCATCCTCGGCGACGCGGCCCCCAGCCGCATCGGAATCGGGTCCGCGACGCAGGCTGGCGTCGACGAGCTTATGGCCGTAGGTACGGGTGGGAGGTCGACGTCGAGAGCTGCTGCGCTTGGTGTAGTTTCAGCCGCCGATGCACTGCCGGAAGATGTGGCAGATGTCGAGCAGGATGAAGAGTCCGCGCCCTCTGAAGATGACAGTCGAAATTTGAGCGCCGAGGAGGGGGAGACGGGTCATCTCGACGGAGCTGCTGCCCCGGCGGGCCCGATGATCAACGCTGCGGCGCGGCGAGAACAGTTGCAAGCCCTGGCCGACTCGGAGCGCAAGGCCGTCGCAGCTGCGCGCGCGAAGTTAGACGACGTTGATGTGGAAGCGGAAGACCTCGACCGGACGATTCTTCAGGCCGCACACGCGGAGAAAAGGCGAATGGTGAGGGTATTCGGAGACACAGAGCCTCGCACCCCCGTTGTTGACCAGGCCCTGGACACACGGTGCATCTTCTTCTTGAGTCTGTACCACGGGAAACGACTGGCGACCAGGCACCCCCTCGACGATTTCTGGACTGTTGCCCTGAAAAACGACGTTGCGCGAATATGCATGCCGCAGGCCGGAGGCCCAATGTTTCAACATCTCGCACGACCAGCACACGAAGCCAGCGAGCCCGGACAAACTTTGTTGAAGCGTCAGCAGTCGCCCGCAGTGCAAGAACTACATGCCGCAACCGCTGCCAGAAGCACAGCATTCGACTCCAATCAGGAAGCTGCTGCTGCCCGAGCTGTTGTAGCGCAGTATTTTGAAAGCTACGAGTATCTCCCCACCCGCACACCCATCGCACATCTGCGTCCCCCGCTGGAGGTTCTGGAGACGCACGAACTGCAGATAGCGGGGCTGCGCCGCTTTGAGCAGTTGACCCAAGCGTTTGTCTCTGCTGGCCACTTACCCAAAGGTCCGCACACGGAACGCCTGCTCGACCAGCACACTCTCGAGACGTTGCTCGCGGCCAAGGCCCAACGAGTCGACGACTCCGTCGGACCTGCTTCTACCAGTACTTCTACGCCTCATATTTTTAGTAATTTCCTCATGGACGATAAAAAGACTGACGCCCCCCACACCGTGTCCGCGCGCCTCGCCCCGGGGACAGGGCTGTTTTCGCCTGTGGTTACGCCGACCTTGCCGTCGCTACTGATGTTTTCGATCCGGCATTTGTGTCCCGAACTCGTTCTCCTGCCCGAGAAGAAGTACGCCGACGTTCTCCGGCGCGCGTTCACGGCCGCTGTGCTCGTGCTGCTCCACCGCTCCGAAGAAACCACGCGGGCCCAAAGCTTGGAAGGGGAGAAGCTCTGGCGCGAGAACCAAACTTTTCTTACCGAGATGGAAGCGAGCGCTGCAGGAGTTCTTGTGTCCTCTACTTCAGACATCGCGACAAATGAAGCTGCTGGCGACAAAAACGGAGGAGCGACCGCAATGAGCGCGTTATTCGCAGGCAAGCAGGCAAAAGATCGAGACTCCCTCACCGGCGGGCGTCTGCGGCTGGTGCTTCGGAACGCCCGCTCGCTAATTCTCAGGATGGTCGACGCGGAAGCGCTGGACGCCGAGAACTTTGACGGGTACTTGTGTTTTCGGGTTCGCTGTCCACTGCACGAACAGAGCCTATTCCGATTCAAGGCGGCCAAGTCCAAAAGCGAAAAGGAAAGGCTTTCGGCGACGACCGCGACCACGCCGACGGCCCCGGAAGTTGACTTGCAACACCACAAGCACGACCTGCTTGCTGTCACTGGTGATAATGGGAATAAAACAACTTTGAGGAAACGGAATAAAAAGAAAACCACAGAACGAGAAAATTCAGGAGACCAGCCTGGCCGTAAAGCCGCTTCCTTATCTGCCCTTGATCGTCACGAAAACGACGTGAAGAAGTTGAAGGCTGCTGCTGAGATGGGAACAGCAAAAGGCGAGAGACTAGGACTCACGGAAGATAAAAACAGAAGGTCAACAGAGCTAGCGTCGGACGAGTTTATCAACCGCAAAAATGTCTGGGTCTGGAAGATTGCCAGGTTTGTCATGCATATTTTGAATGATCCATGATGTCTGTGATGCATGCCCTAGCATCACAGATCCTTAGAGGACTTTGTGATGCCTTTACCGCATGAGAAATGCCCTTTCCGCGTAGCACAAACTGGAGTCCTCGTGCTGGTCATGCAATACAAAGTTTTTTAGAATCCAGGGACAGCATTACAAGTTTAGAACCTTCCAGACCCAGACATTTTTACAATCCATAGAGTTTTCTGCGCCGCCACATCAGCTGGCAGAGCTGGCTATCCCACAGAAAAAAGCTGGCAGGACATATTTGTAATGCAAAAATAAATACACAGAAAAATATATCATGGGCGGCCTCATAGCATGCTGTTTAGGATACGCAATACAGATTTCTTTGTGTCTTTATGCATTACAAATGTGACCTGCCAGCTTTTTTCTGTGGGATACTGGCGAGGCGAGTGCTGCTCACGCAACCGGCCAGCATGAAGAAGTTCGGGTTCACAGGGTGGATGTTATCGAAAGTAGACGAGAGTCTTCTGGGTGACAAGTCCAAATCCGCGGCGGAAAAGCTGTACGAAATTTTTGGCGCAAGGTTTGACTTTTCGGAATTCCCCCGTGTGGTCATCGCTTCCATCAAGAGCAGCACCTCATCGGTGGACGAGAAAAAGCCTCCACCCGCTGTCAAAGGCGGCAATGTGCCGGGCGACATGCTTCTCCTGGCCTTCGACGAGAAAATCACCCGCTTGAGTGACTGGACATATCGCAAGAAAAAACTGTTTCATTGTAAAGTGTAAACTTGTAATGCAGAAAATGCATCCGAAACGTGTTTGTCTTGCTACACATGCAAGACAATGGATTTTTAGCTGTGTTTATTTCCATTGATTAGGGATCTCGCATGGCAAATTTTCTCTATGATGTAGAACGGACTTGTGATGCAGAACTTGCAAAATCCTTACACTTACAGTGAAAAACTTTTTTCGTACGATAGGACGGTAGTACCGTCTGAAAATTCGCCTGCAGCCCCTGCCACACCACGACCCGATGGAGCACAAACGGCAAGCCAGGCAGACGAAATTTTTGCTTTTTCCCCGGAGGATGTTCTTGTCGCAAAGCTCACGGAGCAGCTCGCGTTGAAGAAGGCACTGGAGGAGGAAACCAAGCGCCAGCGGGAGAACCACGGCACGGAGCAGGAGGTAGACCTTTCGCAGCTGAGAAACCCGAAGCCGTTACGGTTTACCTTTCTGCGGCAGAAGTTTGCAAGCCGATTCTTGCAGCTGGTCTGCAAGCCGGGAACGCCGCCCCTCGGCGTGGAGTGGGCCTTCGGCAAGTCCCGAATCAAAATCGGTAGAATTGCCGACCGCAGTTGGGCCCGAGCTTGCGAGCTGGAGAAAGAGGATGAATTGCTGGCGATCAACCACAAGTGCTGTTTTCCGATCGCCGACATGACTGCGGCAGAGAAGCAAGCCCTCGAAGTGAAGGTGAAAGAAGAAGCTGGCACTGCTGAGCGGGACCGGCCGGTGTACCTGCTTTTCTGCCGGACGAGCGCTGATCCCTTTCCCTACACTGCCCGAATAAAGAACCCACACGTTGTCCACCTTCAGCGCCGCATTCCCCTCGAATGGCAGGAGAGCATCCACGCCAGCCTCCTCGCTCGCTCCCAAAACGCCTTTGGAGGAGAAAGTAGTCGTGAAAGAAGACGAAAACCAAAAGCAGACCCACGGACGACGAATAGTAGTCCCACGAGCGCGAGGAACACCAGCCCCGAACAACCAGGACCGCACCTTTCTGCCAATGGTGAAGAGAACAACAAGTCTCCAGGATTTTTCAAGAGAATGTTGCAGCCGTTTATGTTTGCTCCAGAAGACGACGACGAGTCGGATGCAGAAAAGAACCAGAACGAGAAGAGCAGCGACAAAAAAACAACCCCAGAGAAGAAAAGTAAAACCACCGACGCGCGAAGGAAGCAAGAAGACAACTTTCACACCGCAGATGGCCCTCAGGGTCAGGCGGGCGATAGTTTTACTGAAAAAAAGAAGCAAGATGAAAACCAAAAACAAGGAGGACTACAGGCCAAACCGGCAGGAGCGATCGCGGCGCCCAAACCAGAGCCACCGAAGTTACCGATCCCGTGGTACCAGCAGACGAACTGGCTGGCCGTGAAGGTGTGTCGCACCCTGTACCTCACCGACCACCTTCGGCGCCGCAAGAGCGACCGCGCGACCCTGCGCGAGCTCGAGCGCCTGATTCAGCAGTGGCGCAGTTGGGAGGAAAACCTCCAGGCCGGAGAACGGAGGCTGATGAGTTTGGTCGACGCCGAGTCCCACGATTGCAACAAAGCCTATGGCGCGCTCAAACATGATTACATTGATGACTGTAAGTAGTACATATGAAGACTTGTCGTCACACAGATGAATAAGTATCACCCTCCAGTGGAACTCCACACCAATCATCAAGAACAAGCTACTTTGCATGACAAGTTCTCGACGGCGCACTGACTTTACAATTCATTGTATGTAAAGCCACACGAAATCTGTATGTGCAAGACGCGCAAGCTCTTGTGTATGTGTTAATCCATATCCAGATGCTCCGTACTATAATCCGTCCGCCTTCACTATACTTTTGCAGTAATGTTGCGTCACAAAGTCGCGCCGCAAGAGCAGCAAACAAGGTACTATACGTGTGAGAGCGCCATAGGGTGGAATGGAAAAGCGAAGCGCGCGAGGCCGAGGGCATGACTGCTGCCGACCGCCGCAGTCACACACTGAACGGCAGAACAACGGAAGACTTGATCGTTGGCCTCCTGGCACGTAAAAAAACGCGGGAACACGCCTCGAAGATGAAGGACGGCTTACAGCTGGCAGACGGCTACAGTAATTTCCCATTTAATATTTCCGTTCCGCAGTACACGGAGGAGGAGCGGGCTTTTAGTCAGGCAGAAAGGCTGAAGTTCCTGCCTGCGCTGATACGCCAGGCAGCGCAAACGCCCACCGAGTTGCACCAGCTGGATTTGCTTGCAACCGTCCCCGCACTCCACCGACGCGATTTCGGCCTTGTTGGTTGGGTGGAGTGGAATCTGGGCGGCCTCGAGGCCCTTGTCGGCGGCCAAGAACAAGCTGCAGACGCGGCTGCTGCTCGTCCGGGACAAAACGCCAAAGGCAAAGGGAAGATAAACATCAAGGGAACGAATAAATCATCCACGAATAAGGGAAATAAAGCCAAGGTCAACGAAGGCCACCAGGTTGTTGTGAAGGGCAAAACGAAAAGCAATTATAAGATTAATAAAGGACCGTCGGTGGCCATGGGGCTTCCGCGCGACCAGGAGGACGATGTTTTCCTGAACAGATTCGGCTTCGGCGTCAGTTGGACGCAAAAATTCCCCCGCGTGGTGGTCACAAAAGTTTTGCCTGACTCGGTTGCGGCGGGGCGCGGACTGCAGCCCGGAGATGTGTTGGTGAAAGCCATGAACGCGGGTCTCACCGAGATCCTTTCGTTCCCGGGCTCCACGCCGACAGAAACACTATTGAAAAGGGCAGTAGCGATCAAGAACCGAGCCGACAATGACGCCAGCGACTTTGACGTTGACGACCCTTTTAGTGTTTCCGTTGCGGCAGGCGGGGCCGCGGGGGAAGCCGGCGCGCCACCTAAAATTACTGAACACGCCGGCGGCTGCGAGTTTTTGTTCCTGCAAAACGAATTCGAATACGTGCAGCTGGGTGTGCAGAGCTTTTCCGAATTTACAGAATCAGTGACACTCCAATCTCGCAGACGAGTAGACGATGGCCGGACCACCACGGCCAGCACGACTGGTCGTGCTGCAAACAACACAGGTGGCCCCGCACGACCACCCTTGCAACAAGTACTTATCCGGGAAATCACACTGGGAAAGTGGGCCGACAGACACCACCTGCAGGCAGGGGATGAGATAGTGGCGGTCAACAAGCACTTTCTGCCGCTTGAAGTTAATAAGACGCAGCTGAAGAACGACCGCCGCGAGTTGAAAATGAATACGCAATCGACTGAAGAAGCCGAAGACGATGAAAATAACTCGGCGGCCCTCCCAAGCGCTCTGCTGGAGAAATTTTTCCATAAAAAAACTCCAACTGGTAGAAGTGCCGGTAAAGAAGACGAGGGACGCTTCATATTTCCAGATGGAACCGTCGCGGAGGTGGATCCGAGCGAGACTTGGAATCAAATTCTCGTTTATCAAATGTAAAAATGTCTGGGTTTGGAAGAATGCAACTTGTGATGCTGCATTTGGATTCCAAAAAAATCTGTATTGCATGACTACCAACGGGAATGCAATTTTTGCGACGCTGAGTAGAAGGCATTTGTCATGCGGAATAGGCATGAAGAAGCCCTCAAAAAATCTGTATTGCTAGGGTATGCATCACAGACATCATGGCTCATGCACAACGTGCATGACAAGTGTCAGAATCTTCCAGACCCAGACATTTTTACATTTGATATCGTTCGCCGCATCACAAGTTTGCCCGTCGGAGCAGCGCGAGACCTCACTGCCGATATCGCAGCGAGGAGTATCCAGTTCAAATATGTCGGGGTCTGGAAAAGTGGAAATTCCAATTATGCCAGAGAGAGCGGCACTAGGAAGTAGGCTGTTCAACATCAATTATGACCATTTTTCATTGTCTTTGTCACAAGTTTCCAGGCCTCGAGGACATATTTGCAAAAATGCATAAGGAGCCTAAAGGAGCAACAGCGACATCTCGTGGCTGAACTGAACGTCGCACAGCAGCAGGTCAAGCTTCCGCTACGCCAGGAATGGATTGATGCCGAGGTGCAGAAGGAACGCAGGCTCCTAAAGGGAAAAAAGGGCAAGAAGAAGACCAGCGCCCGCACAGTCGAGAAGAGTTCTTCTTCTAAAACGTCGTGGCTGACCGGGTTGCGACGGTTTTTCGGGTTTTATCCCGGCGAGCGAGAGACAGACGAGGACACTCATCCCGACGAGGAACGCGTGAGCATCCCCATTTTCGCTTCCTCGGGCATTTCTTATCTACTGCAGCAAAAAAACCAGGGCGTAACGGAAACCGTGACGTCCCGCGCGGACGAAAGCAGAACGGAAAAAATACGCGGCCCGAGAGCTGAAGAGGAGTCTGAGGGCGCAGGAGATCCTGTTTTTGGAAACGGCCTTCGCCTTGACAGGCGCCACAGAACTGTTGGTGATCAACGCCGTGTTGACTTCTTGCGAATGCAAGACCAAGACGCCACGACCAACAAGTACGACTACAACAACACCGCTGGCGCGAAACGAAAACAGCATCGAAACGAGGAAGCCACTACATCACAGGAGAGCGTCGAATTATATGGTGAAGATGAGCTCGACCACGCATGGCCTGTGTCATCAGGATCTTTTGATGCAGGTCTCAACGCGTATGCCACGACGGATGTAACTAAGCAAGCCCGTGATCGTGCGAATGCCACAGCTCGCGTGCGAAGATCTCAAGAACTTAATCCACAGCATGCGACAGATAACCCACTTGCCCCGTTCCTTTTCCTGCCGGAGGTGGCGTTGGCCAATTTGCAGCAAATGGAGCAGTATCGACTGCAAATATGTATATGTCTGGGTCGGAAAGAGTACAGAAGTTTGCCATACAGTTTCGCGATAGCCCAGAAGCTCTGGAATACGGGGCCTTGCATCACGAGTTTGGCAAGGTCCTTGCACTGCCTTTCAAGTTACCCAAAAATGCATAGCTTCATCGTCTTCTTCTACTATACTCATGCGTGGCACATTTTTGTGTGACTGACAGGGAGCACATGATGCTCACGCACTATAAGTCTACTGCACCTCTAATTGTATTCCTGACCCAGACGTGTTTGCCATGCATAATGAGCAAGAAGAGCAGGACGATCATAGAGACGCACAGGAGGTTGTGAATGTAGTTGACGAGCAGGGCACGGTCGTTGTGGGTGAAGAGGTCGAGCAGCTGCAGCAAGAAGACCTGGCGATGGAATTGGCCGACTTTGAGAAGCTGGACCGCGAGGGGGAGCCCGCACCCTTCCTATCCACAGCATAAATTGAATTTATATCATCTGGGTCTGGAAACTTGTAATGCGGAACTGCGGACGATAGACATAGGCTTCCGCTTGTATGATTAACCGCAGTCACGCATAACAACAAGTACCATCTCTTCGCGACCAGACCCAGAGATGCTTGTAGTTGATAGTGACCGGCGGAGTACGATTTCGACTACGGATACTTCGTCCTGAAGGACGACCCGCGCCAGGCCGCGTGGGATATGGGATTCTCAAACTTTAAATTCTGAATTGTTACAAGGATTTGCCATGCAAAATTAACATCAATTGACATTCACACAATGAAGCTAGTACTTCGCATATACAAATTTTTGAATGGCTGCACAGCGTGTAGATCTGTGCCGAATTATTTGTAATGCTAGAAGTGCAAGCTCTCCCTTTCAAAGTTTGCTACTACTGCAGCAAAAACTCACGCAGCGCTTGAGAATGTAACGCTTGAGAATCCCATATGGGAGTTTGACCGCCTCGATCGCTTGGAAACGGAAAAACTGAAACGCGTATTCGATTTCAAAAGCATGCTGCAGCAGGCAAAAAGTGGAGCACCAGCGGCGCCATCTCCAAGGGGATGATTACTTAGATGCCCAAGTTGTAGCGCTGCCGCGTTCGAGACGCGCGGCAAGCGAGAAAAATACCCAAAGAACATGTGGGTGGCAAATTGAAATTCTGAAACTGGACGACGCCTGCTACCGGGCAGATGTTCCGACGACACAAAGTTAGGACTTTTTGGAAGGACGGCAGCCATTACTGCAGCAGCTAGTACTACATCGATAGTCATAGTCACGTAGGAACGACTAACTTCATCTCTGCCTCTGCAACCAAGGAAAAAGCTGTTGAGGTTGCTTTGTTCTCCGGCTTTTTGTGTCGTCGCCGTCGGGCAATGGAGGTACGAGTTTGGTCGAAGATCAATGTCCGGCGGACAGGAGATACGAGTGAGAGGGAAGCGACATCGATTCTATTTGAGCGCGTGCCGTTTTTGTTCTGAGATACTGTACTGATGTGAAATGACCTCGGAATCGTTGTGCGAAGTCTGATATTTCCTAAGTTATTTATGATCCAAGGTAAAGTAGGTAGAATTTCAAATGTTGGTTTTTGATGCATACTAACTTATGCACTTACTAGTGCTGGATCGGTTTTCAGAGTTGTATTGTATTGAAAAAATTCTATTTTCAATCCAGTTCTGGTCTCAAATACATCTTTACTTGCGAGCACCCCGTCCGTCTCGGGTGGCAGCGTAGACATGAAATCCGCCAGTTCCTCAAGTAAGCGAGACCTCGGGGCCCAGGTCCACAAGACGGGCACCGATGCGGGGGCAATGATGAGTAAGCTGGAGGAAGGACTGAAAAACCTGGAGCGCGAAATAAACGCAGACAAGACCGGCCTCATCGAAATGAACACCCACCTTATTGCGCTGCGGAAGGAGAAAGCCGCACTCGAGGAAAAAATAAAGAACATGCAAGACTATTGCGATTCACTCGTTAGCGAAGCAAGTATCGGAGGTGTCCTGAAGCAGTTTGACGGTACTATTATTTGAGACCGAAATAACTTTTCGCTTCTCGTTTTTGCATCTGCATAAAATTTTTCTTTTTGAAAATCATTCGGGACGACCATAAATTCATGCCTGAAGGTCATAGGAAAAAGCATCGAAATCGGAAAAAATCAAATTCTCTTCAATGCTGACAGCGATGGAGGGCTACCTGAAAAATGCCTATGGAAAAGTCCGGGAGGGTCACGCAAAGGGAATCGACATGCTCAAGAAAGAATTCGGGTACATACCGATGCTTCTTGTGATGTTGAAGATTAAGGCTTTATTCATTCGTTTGAACAGCTCGCAACGTAGATTTTGATTTTGTCGCTTACTATCGCAGTGATGCATGTATCGATAGGAAGGATACAGTGAGATTCGAATGACGGAGGGAACTCAATACAGGAAAAAGAATATAGAAAAGACGAAATTCACTATTTTGATGTGCATGATCTTCTTCATCCAGGCATGAAAAGCAAACGCAATCTCGCAGGTATCATCCAGCATACAAGCGCGGACACGCAAACGAATTTTCAGCTTCCTATTTCACACCTTCAAGCGATCCCAACAATCCCAACAAACGGTAAAGAAACAAGGAGCTCACGAGTTTCACTCATTCACGACCTGCGCTTTTGCTGTCGCAGTCTCAGTCTACAAAGAAATGCCTCTCGTGATGAACGGATCTTACTAGCAAAATATTTTTCATTCTGAATCTCATTGAACAACGCACAGCTACTGTTTCGTATTGTGTTATCAATAAGGACATTGTCAAATAAAATGCAGCAGCTTCATCCGTCGATCTGATGAGGATGACCATGACCAACGGGCTAGACCGCGCGAAACGAAATAAGTAGATACTTACACTGTGCGAATGCCATGCCGTGCCTCGATTCCACGGCCGGTAAAAATGGCCGTGCACCTGTGTTTCTGTCGTGTCAGAACAACACATAAAACACGAGCTGTTCATCAATGCACAGCAAAGGCCAGTTGTTTCATCGATGAAGTTTCGCCGTGTTGGCTGCGCGCCGGATACTGATCCCTCATGTCTCTTGCTCTTCTAAATTTTTTGTTTTAGTTTCAGCAGCTGCAACACTGTCTTTGTTTTTCATTTTCTTCAAGATGTCTAAGAAGCTTGCATTACATTGTTTTTCTTCAAGATGGTGCGTCATTCGTCAAGACTCCATACTATAAGTACATTCAATCATCATCATACGTAGGGAACAGGATCGCAGTCGAGTAATCGACCGCCATTGCCCGAAAGGAAAGCTACGTTGACCTTCGTAGTATACACAAGATCATGTTCCTATGTTTATTTCTGTATCAATTCCACGAAGATCCAAAACCAAATTTGACCTTCCATCTACCTACCACAGCCGCACCTCCTTAATGCCCGAAAAATGAGCTTCGTGTTGCTTAATTTTCTTTCTCTTGTCACTTGCCCGTTTTTTCTCGGAACTACATTTGTTTCCTGTGCAAGCAGCACCGTGCCCTCCGTTGCCAACGATCCGGTCAACATCTTGCAGAAAAATTCGAACTCAACTCAGCAGCCATGGCCAGCCGCACCACTGCAAATTCCAGTAACTCAGTCTGCCGAAGGGACCTGGAAACAGTTCTTGAGGAGCAAGGGATACGATTTTGTTTCGGCCATATCCGAAGGCGCGTTCGGACGCGTCTGGAAATGTCGTACTCTGTCCCGTTACGTGGCGGTCAAGATACCCGCGGGCAGTGGCACGTCTGCGTTCGGAAAAATTGGAGGCGGGTTCGTGCAGCGAACCGAACCCGACTCGTCTGCAGGTCTGAAGAAGCCGGGTAGTAGTACATCAATTTCAGCTGCGACCTACGCGTTTGATAACCATGCGGAAGCGGACGCGTTGTATCGGGAGTATGATATCCTCCGCCAGCTCTGCCGCCGTGTGATTGACACGCCTCAGTTTGCCCGTTTGGTCCCCTGTGCTGATCTTGCGCTGCACGTCTTCCCGCAAAACAAAAATTTGCTTTTTCTGGCCATGGAACTGGTATAGTACCTTGCTGATGCAAGATCATAGAGCAGGTCGTGGAGTACTAAATGATTCGTGTATAATAGAATACACAAGTTGGCTTTATTTTCTATTTCAATTTCTGGTATGACAAATGTTTTTGCATAGGATATTACGGATTTCTTGAAGCAACGAGGTACTAGCGACAGGCACACAAAAATGTGACTTCAGGCACCAGGACGCGAGCTTCGCGAAGTTCTCGACGAGATTGAGAGCCAGCGAACCTACTTGGAAAGTCGGCGCGAGAAGCGTAGCAGAGCCACAGTTGTCTCTGCCCAGCTGCAGCTTCATCCGCAACCACCCTCTTCTCCTGCTAGTACTTCTAGTGTCGGCCGAGCGAACGTCGACCCACAACAACATGTTAGCCGCTTTACGAATTTCCTTGCGGGCGGAGGCGCAGCACCAGCGCGCGACCAAGTACTAGATGACCAGTCCGCGGCGCGGCGCGCCGCCCGTGAGAGGGAAGTAGAGCGGACGCAATGGAGAAAGCTCGCCCGCGATTCCATGGCACTCAGCCGGGAACTGCTGCTGCTGCAGGTGATGCTGCGCAAGTTGAGCCTGCAGCATCGGGACCTGAAACCAGAGAACCTGTTGGTCTCCTTTGACGAAAAAGCGAAAACCTGGCGGCTAAAAGTCGTCGACTTCGGGTCTAGCGCATTCGTCGAGAACCGGCCATTTTCAGCATCGCGGAACGAGTCATCTGATGAACAAGGACGACCTCCATCTGCGGTCGCTAAAAAGGATATAATTTCTTCACGACTGCTCGCAGGAGGAAGTGGTGGCGCAGCTGCCGTGGCGGTGGATCTTCCTCCTGCTGCTACAAAAATGCAAAACAAAAATCCCGGCACTCATTCACCTCGCCTCACGTCGTACCAGACGGCTGGGGGCACCGTCGGGTTCCTGCAGCCACTCACCGTGACCCTCGACCGCGATCCCGATAGCTACGCCATTGGACTCCTGCTGTTCTACCTCTTCACTACCCGGTCGCTGCACAAGCAATTGGACGAACGGATTCTGTTTCTCGGCCTGCTCTACGCCGTGGTGAAAAACCATCGAGCGCGGGCCCTTGATTACGCCGATGCACTGCACGGCGAGTACGCGAGCGCACTCGGCGGCCGCAACGAGCAGTGGCAGCCCCGTGGGCTAGTTCGGTACTATGAGATGATGAGTACACAACCTCTAGCTCTACCTCCCGTCCTTCCCCCTGATTTTTAGTCTCGCAAAGTCAATGCCAAGTCATCGCTTCGTCTTCCGTGTAACAAGCACCGTTTGCGTGACAGGAAGTGGTGAAGCCGAAATAGCATATAGAAGCCTGTACAAATTTGTCATGCAAAAGCTGCCTCTTTGCCAGTGCCCGTAGTGCTGGGATGCCTTTCATGAGAGGGGCAGATGAGAAGGAGTTGTGCACTGTCATAGGTACGCCATGGAGTTCATGCGGGGTGACAACGATGCCGCAACTCCGCCTATCCATTGCAAAAGTATCGTGCTACTCGTACTACTGGTACAAGTATCAATTCTTGTATCACAATGAATTCCCCCAAGGTCAAAATTTCAATTTCTTAATATGGAAAGTACAATTAGTACGAATTTTTCGGACTCGATCCTTTTGCAGCGGATACCGGCCGGCAAACCGCAAAATGCCGCCATTCTTGCCAGTCAACAGCAGCTGCAGGCGGTGTTCGCAAACAAAGCAAAACTCTCCGAGTTCTTCGCATTGCACATTCACGAGTATAACAAAGCCATTCGGCGGGGCGAGACGAGCTACGTGTTGCCAACAATCGCGAATACGATCGGTGAGGTGGAGTCCTCGCAACTTGTCTCATCAGACGGGGCGCAAGATCAGATGGTGCAGCTGTGCAGTAGTCCAGAGCAGGCCGGGGTGGACGAAGGTGACGACACGGACACCATCGATCGACTGGCCGCGAGCGGCAGTGTGAACAACTTCTTGAACAGTGTTTCCTCTGCTGCTGGGATCCAAAAGCAAAAGTCGGGTTCCGAGTCGTTCGCGCTGGGGAGAGACGACCAGGCGACGGCAAAAAAGAATCCACTTAGGGTGACGTCGCCGCATGGTAGTTCTTGTGGTCGTGCCCCCTCTAGTACAACTTTCTCGAAGATGACGATGAACAATAAAGCGAACAGCAACGACGTTGTCTTTGCCTACATGCTCACAAACATGATAGGCCTGAAGTACAACCCGAGCGAAATCGAGTACAGCAACCCGACATTTTTGTTCCGCCACATTGACCAACTTCTCGGACACGAAAAATTTTCCGACCTGGTTGCGCCAGATGCAGGACAACTTGCCGAGGAGGCCCTCGGGGGCGCGCGGACGGGGACTGGCCGGCCGAAAAGCCCGGAGTTGATGTCCGGTGGTGCAGCTGGTGTAGATCGGCTGCAAGATCATTTCGACAGGGAACTACTGATGCGCCGCCCACTCCTGTCGAGGCAAGGAGGTTCGCTGGTAAATTCTTTGGGCCCGCGTGCCTTTTTCCTCCGGATTTTTCAGACGGACGCCACCTCAACTACTTCTAGCAGCTCCCAAGTCGCAACGCTGGCTGGCGCTGCCTTGTTCTTTTTTCTGCTAGTTGCTGGTCTGACCCTCATCATCGCGCTCTTCCTGCAGAGGTATGACCGAAAAGGTCGCGCGCAGCCAGGAGGCGCACCACTAATGCGAAGTAGCAAAAACAAGCCGCTCTTGGTCAAGAAAAAAAAGAACCAACTGGTAATGTCCTCTGAAAAGTCTTCTACCGCGTCGAGTGCGGAGGGAATTGGCGCCGGAGTTGTGAAAATGGGAAAAGCCAAACCTGTTGCGAAGAGGGGTTTGTAGTAATTCGTATTAACGGACCGCGTTGGGGTTGGCGATAGGATTAAGACCAACATCTACTGCGAAGATGATAGTAAAAAACAGAAACACCTCGGTGCTCTGTGTATTACTTTTCTGTGTATACCTGTAACCAGTCAGCTACAACTGACTTTTGTTACACTTTTGCTCACTTTTGCGAACAACTTTTGCCCCAGTTACTGGAAGCTCGCGTCGTCGCTCGTGTTGCCCAGTCGCGTTTGTTTTCGTTGCTGTCTTGTTGAAGTAAGTAGAGCTTACCTGTGGTGATACTTGCTACCTATCAGTTACAGTTTCCATGGTGTACTACAGAACTTGAACTTCTACCAGTATCCGATGCATCCACAGTTCGTGATTGTGCAGTAAGATACTGCTTCTACATCTTGTCGGGATAGCATGCGTCTCCCATGGGCACAAGAGGCGCAGCCGGTTCTTGTAGGCATAGTTTCACTTTTGGTTCAGTGTTTCTTTTCATTTCTAGTGGCCAAGACGCCAGGTCGAGAAAAAAATTTTGTCCTTTCCTTCATTGGCAGTACTGAATCAATCGCTCGGCCAGACCGACTCAAGATTCTCGCAAGTAAATGTCGATTAAAAATAAAAGGCTGAACCAATGATAAAGTAGAATTAGAATAGAGTATGCAAAAAAAATAAATATGCAAAAAACAATGAGTTGGCGTCTTTCGAAGTTTTAACCACGATCGTTTTGTTTCTTGCCTTGCGATGCCTGTGCCTTCTGGTCGCGACATCCAACCTTCAAAAAAAGATAAAGTATGGTCAAAACAGCACCGCTTGTTTCTAGAATGTCTGTCGAAACGAAAATGTCCTGCAATTATTGACTTTATCATTTTCGGGTGAGTTTTTCTTTTCAATTTGAATTTTGTCGATCGAGCACGACAATTAAAAATCAATGCATTTCCTGAATTCTTTTTCTTTTATGAATAGCGTAGTAAGTTTACTATGTAGGGTTTGTCCTGCCTAGTTTACTATGTGGGTTTTCCTCCTCCTCCTTTTTCCTTTATGCATATATCAATCTATGAGCAGCAGCAGTGTGTGCATCTTCGCAGATCCTGCTGCAAAAAATGCAGGAATTAAATTTGAATCAGCTCCCGTGGTCGAGATTGTGTATAATAGCCTTTGCCTTTGATTGTTATCAGCACCAGGAGTTTTCCTACATCGACAAGGTACTGTGTCCTCGTCGAATGTTCGCTTATGTCCGTGTGTCGGTCATTAGCAGATATTTGTCGCATTTGCAGTGTGTCCTCTTCTGATGCAGGAGTGGGACAAGCTCCGTCTCCGTATCGACACTCAGAAGAAATTGATATTGACCGCGCCTGCTACATAGAACTTGAATTTCCACGTACTCCTTCATTCTGGGTCGAAGGTAAAGATGCAGAGCCTCCATTTTGATCATTGTTGAGGGAAGCAGCTCGAGCTGCGCACGACATTTGCTTTTCCGTATCTGTGCGAAAGTTAATTGTAGAAGATTTGCTTTGCAGTAGTTAAGATGTGCTTTATCGATATTGTGGCTTCCATAACCGAGACACCGAGGGGCGAAAGCGAAATATGAAAATTGTGCAAAGGAGAAAATTAATGCAAGTATTCTATCTCAGGCGACAGCGCAAATCCAAATGGAAAGCTATCGATCAAATTGAGCCTACTTACGACAGTATGTGTCGCTTTGTTCAGAAAGTGGCACCATAATGAAGATATTGAATTCGAATTGCGCGTGCTGGTGCTTCATAATCATAGACTGAGACTCGCCTGATGATTACATATGTTACATCCATATTTCCTGTTTCGTTTTTCTAGTTTCCGTCGACCTTTCCATTTTCATCATAGCGAAACCAAATTACATACTCCCCTGAACAATATTAATCGATGTGACCTCTTCTGTTTCCTTGCTTTTGGTACGAGTTTCGCAAGAAGACCGACAAAGCAAGACGAAGATGAAGCCGATTAGTGACTCAAACCGCAAGGAAGCGACAGTTTTGGATGACACAACCTGAAGAACATCCGCTCGGTTTCCAACCTCTTCCATTTCACGGAGTGTGAAGACGGTCAAGGTTTTTCAGTGTGGGTTCGCGTTAGCGTTCGTCTGGAAACCTTCTGGTCCTGTGATTTATCGACGTCCCTTCGACGTTGATCAGGACTTCACGGCGACGTAGGATATCGCCAATTGCCGACCCAAATTGCGGACCAGGCGAAGGTCCCGTATAGACGCGGTTGAGGTCCGCGGTAGGGAAGCTGCTTCTACACAAGGGCGCCATCAATTGAGAAAACTTGTGACCAAGACGAAGACCACCACCACGCCAGATCAGCTATAACGGATTGTCCTCGCAAGAGCAAGATCATCAGTATCCTACAGAAAACGAAAAGCACATCCATACTGGAAGAAAAAAAAATTCTCATGCTGTCCTTGTGTCGCAAAAAGTAAAAACCCTTCCTGGTTGCCCAACATGACATTTTTTCTCGGTACATCATTCGATATCATGCTACTCCGCAACCGCATTCGATTCTCTTGCCTTGCTTGCGGATCAGCATTGCAAAGATGAGAAAATTGTAACTTATTGAATTTTTCTGTTCGTATGGATGTGCTTTTCATTTTCTGTGGGATAAACAAGAAAAGGAACGGACGCACTGATCAGTGAGGCTGCAGCACCCGGGTCAGGAACAACTGCATCCAGAAGTACTTACTCGTCTCTGGCACATTCACGGCTGTAAACCTCCTGCTGGACGCACGTCCAACACAGTGTGCCAGGGCAACGAGCGCGACAAGAACTACTACAACATCGGAAAGATAGTTTTAAACCATCGCGTTTTCCAACTTTTTCGACTACTTGTACTTACCATATTGAATCCATGTCGCAGTCAGCGGAGGTTCAGGCGACCGGGAACAAGGATGACCAGCTCCCGATTATGGAATCGGTATAAAAAAATCGCCCTTGGAGCACATAAAATAGTTAAAATCCTCCTTGTAAGAACTTTAGTGCGCTGTGTTGAAAATTTTCCAAAATGTTTTTAGGTCCGCTCATCGGGCAGGGGCACTTGATTTTCATGGCTTTGTTATTGTTTCTTGTTTGCATCCCAACAATAGATGCCACGTAACGTATCTGTAGCGTCCTGCTCATGCTTTAGCTTTGTTCGTTGTATCCTGAAAACACGACACGACACGTCGATGAAGGTCAAGAAGCGGCGAAAGATAGCACAATCGCCTGGGAGCGGTCTGTATGGGAGCGGCACCGAGCCGGAACACACACCTGCAGATCTGGCTACCAACTTTGTCAAGGACCAGATTTTTGAAAAAGATGACTTTGAAATCGGGAAGCACCTCGGACGGGGGAAATTCGGGTCCATCTACGTCGCGCGCGAAAGGAAATCGAAGTACTAAAATCAGTAGGTTTCTTAGGGACCGACCCCCTTTTACCACTACTGAACACCGCATTTGTAATTCTTCGGAGGAGTGATCTTTATTCGCGGACACAGCGCTGCACCGAGCATCGAGGTGCGTGCTGGATGAAAGAACAGCCAACTCCTGCGTCTTCTGCAGACGATGGAATATTAGATAGAAAGATAAATGGATACTCGTTATCTGTTCTCATACTCGTTCTCAACTTCAGGTACATATGCGCGTTGAAGGTTCTTCAAAAAAAGCAGCTGATCAAGCACTGTGTGGAGAAGCAACTGCAGCGCGAAATCGAAATCCAGTCTCACCTCCGACACCCAAATATACTGCGCTTGTATGAAAGGATATTTTTGCTTTCTTGTTGCAGCTATTTGCTCTTGCTCGCAACGCCTCTGCAAATCCTTGTCTCACTACTTTGCTTGTTGCTACGTAACATCCTCATCTCTTGACCGCCGTTTGCAACTTAAAATTCTACTTTCACTGATCAATGCAAAACCCATATCGAGGTACAACTGGTTTCACGACACCAATCGAATATACCTCATACTCGAGCTCGCCCCAGGAGGCGAGCTTTTTGAGTTGTTGCAGAAGCGTGGCCGGTTTTCCGAAGCCCGTGCCGCCTGGTATCTGTCCCAGATGGTGCACGCCATACACTACGTTCACTGCAAGAACATCATCCATCGCGACATAAAACCCGAGAACATTCTTCTGGGCCTGCGAGACACTTTGAAAATGAGCGACTTTGGTTGGTCGGTGCATCTCGGAGGCCCGCAGCAAAAGCGAACCACCTTCTGCGGGACGCTCGACTACCTTCCACCAGAGATGGTACTTACTACGTGGACCACTGTGGCTGTTTTACGTGCACAGCAGAAATCACCCTCACGTGCTGATTTTTTTACCCGTGCACGACGTGCACGTCGACTCCTAGCCCCTACTGATTCTGAAACTAATGTAGTGAGTTGCAGTTGTCTTGTGCAACCTATATTAAATAGTTATAATTCTTGAACCAGGTAAATGAGACTACCTACGGAAAGGACGTGGACACGTGGGCCCTGGGGATCTTGCTGTACGAGTTCATCAATGGGAAAGCGCCCTTCGAGAGCCGCGACGCGCAGGAAACGTACCGAAAAATCAAGTACCGAGTCCCCGAGTTCCTGGACGACGTCAGCCGTGACGCGCGCGATCTCATCCTTGCTATGCTGGAGAAGGATCCCAAGAAGAGGTAATGTAGTTGTACCTCTACGTATTCAATTCGAAACTGACTCGAAGAAAAAAGAAAAACAACGCACGGGCAAGTCGGGGTCGATCAGTTCTGTGGTGCTCATGCAAAAGCAATTTTCTGAGTGCTGCCATTGTGTCTTACTGCCGCATTGAGTTTGTTCCCGTCGTACATCAGTATTGCCTTTTTGCAATAGCATGCACGATGACCGATACCGATTCTAGCGACACGCAGATGGCAATTTCGAGACCGTGACAACAAATCAGCTTACTTATGCATGCATACGCATAGCACGAAGACGAACATTTTAGGTTTTAGATTTGTTTTTCATTTTCAGTGCCCAGACAGTTTCTCGCCCACCTAGAGGCGAACACACATGTTGTTTTTCATTTGCCGTTTCTCTTTCTGGTTTCTCTGCTTCTCAGGTTGCCGCTAGACGGGGTCCGCAACCACAAATTTCTGCAAGCGGTGATGCGCGATGAGCGGTTCTGCCAGGAGCGGTACGGAGGTGTGTCCGCCCAGATGCCAACGCCCAAGAAGAAGATGAAAATGCTGGACGCGAACATGAAGTCCGAGGACTACTTCAACGCGACCACGGGCATAAACCCGTTCACGGGGCGGCCAAACAACACCAGCGGCTTCGGCATCAGCATACCCATGCCCGGCCCGCAAGGCTTTGCCGTGCCCTATCGCAAGGAAAAATCCCCCCTCCCCATATTGACGAGGTAGGTTTTCGAAAATTTGTGTTGCTGATTTGGGACCACAAATCGCGTCTGTCTTGCAAGACGGCAATTCCACCGGATCCGCCGCAATATGCAGGCTGTTTGTCATGCTGTTGGGCATACAGCGCGGACGTTTTTCATGCTAAGCGCCTAGGTCAGAGCCTCTCTGCTCAGGCGTGATGTGTGGGTCTGCAGTCCTCTCCAGCAAGACAAATCAGATCTGTGTACCCAAATCCAGCATCAGAAATTTCGTTTCGATATGGGGAGGGGGCTTTTTTCCTTCTGATATGCCCACGTGCATCGGCGCCATCCCCCGGGAGGACGAGCCCGTGGAAGAGGCGGCGCAGCGTATGGCGTTCTCAAATTTAGTTACATTCTCAACTGCTACATGAATTTGTAATGCAAGAACGACAAAAGTGAAAGGGGGGAGATTGCGCCTTCTGCATTACAGATTTGGCGCAGATTTAGATGCTTTTTAGCCCTTCGGAGATTTGTCATGCGAAGCAGCTTAATCCTGACGATCTTGCTGGTAAATTTGCATGGCAAATCATGTAACAGTTGAGAATGTAACGCTTGAGAGTCCCATACAGCGCTCCGCCGCCATGCAACTGCACCATCTGGGAGGCCAACAAATAGTGGTGCCGCCACGCATCCCCACCGGCAACCTTGGCCTCGCCGGGCAGCTGAATGGGAACCTCCAGGGAAACAATCCAAATTTCCCCGGCGCGGTGCCGCTGCTAGGACCACCCGGCGGTAACCCAGCACCTCCGCCTTGACCACCGGGCGAAAAACTCTGTAAATGTAGCTCCTGCAACGGTACTTCCTCTTCCCCGACCACACATGATGATTTTGCTCATTCGTGCAGATGACGATGAGAACCGAAATCTACGGGGAAGATGGCTCTCCCTCTCGTCCCTAGCTGCATGAGCACAACATAAGTAATCGGTGGCGCATCATCGTTCACCACGTTGTTCACATGCTTCTGCACGAACAGGAACGACCTCTAGCAGTCCTACACCTTGCTAGCAAGATGATGATGAAGATTGTAACTCACCGATTCCACGCCGCGCCCGGATCCCCATGTTTCATCTCCTCGACGCTTCCATTTTTCGTGACACTGGGCGATCGACAAGAAAACCGGTGTTCTTCGAATTTCGCAATCATCATGTGCGGGTGCACGAGGTTCTTCGGAGCAGGCGATCTCACTTCATAGCCACCCCGCAACAAGAAGTGGGCATCGCTGCACCCACATCGCAAGTCGGTTGCGTTTTTACCGCGGCCTGCATGATCGGAGGTGTCAGTACGAGGGACCCTAGCTGCTAGCAAGGGAATGCGAGCGCACCACCTTGACTTTTAGTTTTGGTCTTGTGCCCGTCGGAACCTTCCGTCTGCATGTTTTCGCAACGAATCCCTCCAGCCATGCGGAACATGACGCACCCGCTCCGCGACGCCCCTAGCATGGGTGGACACACAGCATTTTCTGTGCGACGATCGGAAGCGCAGATGGATCCGACATGACACTTTCCGATCGAAAGCTTTGGAACAGTGACATAGAGAATATCGATCTTCATCGGTTTTTCTCGAATTGGATTTTCCTTTTCCATACACACATGTATGAATTGAATTTTTTTCGTGAACCCGTGCCGAAATCGAATTTGGAATGAGAAGAGAACACAGGGAGTACAGCGGTCGAAAAGTTGAAGGTAAAAGCACATCCCTCGCAGTTCTGGGTTAGTTCTTTGACGAACAGCGTCACCTGTGTGAAACTACGGCGCAGGTCCAGATCAAGTGCGTGATTTGGAATTGACATGTCGACGGTTACGCCTGCATCGTAGCGGGCTAAGCAACACGATCGAATTCGAAACCCTGCTGCCTAGTCATACAAACTTCGTACCTTAATTGCCTTCGAGATGTCTGTCGTTGCTTTTCGGGTATATCGTGCATATGTCGAGGCTTAGATAAAAATCCTCGTGCGGTGAATAAAGCCGCTTTGGTACGACGCATGAGAGTGGGGGACCCTTCGTGAGTGAATTATTTCCTCGTGCCGTTCCACGGATGAAACATTTGCACTCGTCAAGTATGAGTGGAGGATTCTCGCATGAAGACGGACTCTCATGAAGTACGGACTAGCAATGGAAACGTAGGAGAAGTATCTATTTTTCAGATTCAGAAGTCGTTAACCGATACTTTTTCTTATTAAGTACAACTACAAGAACGCGGGACGCACGTCCGTTTTTTGAATTCAAAACAATGCCTGTCCTCGGGTATGTCCCACCGATTGGTTTTTTCGACGGCACTCGGGATCAGCACGACAGCAACAGCAGCACATCGCAGCTGTACAATGTCTCGCAGCAGCTTCTGAAGTTTGCTGGCATCGGGACAAACGTTGCAACCCCGCCCAGTCGAGTGACGAATTTAGGTTCATCGCACGACAGTGTTCATTTTTCCACAGCGGCACGCGCACGCCCAAGAGGAGGGCCCCGTGGACGTCCTGCTCACACCAGCTTTTTGTTGGACTGCACAGGAGAAGAGCCTTACGGATTGGACTATCGTGTGGTGGACGAAGACGCACGGGAGAGCCACACCGCCCTCTGTGCGCGGTACCGGAATGCTTTTAAGCACAAGCACATGGTGAACAACCTGAAGATCATGGCCACGAACTGTCCGCAAAAGGTCCACTACTGGGTGCAGAGCTCAAACATGATGGTGTCCTGCTGTCTAGCTCCGGGGGCCGAAAATGGCGAAGGCGACGCGAAGTGCCAAATCGACATTCCGGTCGCGAAGCCAGAGGGATTGTTCGAGAAGATGAAGCATTCGCTCTGCCGATTCCGCGACCCAAATGCGATATTGACGAAAACGGCAACGCAGCCGACCTGGTCTCTTACGTCCGGAAGATTTTGAGTCAAAGGCATCTGTGTTTGTATGTTTGTCACTGTAACAAGGTTGGTACTTCCCATTGTTCTTGAAGAACATGTATTGTTCGACATCCAGCGACGGCACAGCGATCGCACACGAAAGCCGACACGACCCACATGTGTTGTGATCAGGTACTGCGTGAAATCTTAAGGCGGAAAAGAGTCAAACGTGGTAGTGGATCCTGTGCAGCATGCATGCAAAATTTACACGTAATACGTGCGGCAAGAGAAACAAACCTTGTGCGAAGCCTCAACATTTTTCCGACGATACCACTAGTGAAACTCATGGGCAAGATCCTTGCAGTTCTGGCGATGTTCGAAGTCATCGGCCCGGTAGCCACGGAGATAATGGACGCAGGAGAGGGACCAAAAAAGGGAGGCAAGTTCGTGGAGCCCTGCGACGAGAACTCGTATGAACCGTGCAGCATCAAAAATCTGCAGAAGTACTTCCGTGCGACCGGAATGGCGGTGATGGCGTTTTCCGTGATTCGCAAGATCATGGCGTACTCCTGCATCCACCCGGGCGGGGTCGAAATCGATGCGAACCACGTGGGGGAGGTCCAGGGCCGGACGCCTCGGTATGGCCTGACCGACGAGAGGGTCGTCATGCTGCAAGCACCACACCCAGAGCTAGCGGCCCTGCTGCCTGCAATTACGGGGTCCACCGGAACCCAAACGAGCGACGCGGGGTCGAATAGCGCAGAAGGTTTGTGGCTGTGTACAGCAAGACCGCGTGATCAACGAATGAACCATAGTTACAAACTTCGTTCAGCGAGTTTCCTGTAAACCTCCACGCCCTGTTCCGCTCGGGACGCGTCCAGCGAAATCCTTGTGTATCTTGGCCACTTCACTGCTTCAGCCGTGTAGGCACGCGGAAAAACAAAATGACATTGCCGCTCTTGAAGCTCAAGTTTGAAACAAATCCAAGCGCATGCAGTGCCGGTTGCTTGTCGTGGGATCCATCCTCTCTTTCTGTACTATCCAGACAGTAGAAATAAAAAACACACACTCCTTGTGAAATGAAACGCGTTGTCCAAGGGACGTCTGCTGGTTTCGTCGTCCTTTCCACTGCATGCGCTGCATTTGACGTCTTCTCCACGAATGCAGTCATTTTGACGTCTTTGTTCACGTCTAGGGTTCACCTTCGTTTGCTACTGACGCCATCTTTGTTTACTGATCTAAAAAGTGAGGTCGTTGTCTTTCAATCGGTAGCTTGTCCGCATCCGATTGTACGTGCGTAGTTGAGATGTTGACATGATGAAGATCACAAGGAGCCCTGGTACGTTTTCTTGAGGACTAAACTCGGTTTTTGCCTGTTGCTGTTTCCGCGATCACACGCAATTCCTCGTTTTACACTGCACACACACTGAACGTAGATCGTAAGTCAAATTTAGAGGAAATAGTACGGCGTAACCATGCGGGTGCTTTCGTCTAACACGAGCAAGGCCGTGTTGTGCCTCGCAACCGCCGTCGCAGCCGCGTCAACAGAGAGCCCGGCGAGCGGCGTTGGCAGGGTCATCCAGTTGCTGCAGAGCCTGAAGTCCAAAGTCGAAACGGAAACCGCAGCTGGTGCAAAGGAAGCCGAAGCGTACGCGGATGAGTGCATTGCAAGCATCACAGGTCTGGAAGCGGACGTGAAGTACGGTGGCGAAAAGGCAGATGAGTTCGCCGCACTGCAGGAGAGCGAGACCGCGAAGGCCGAAGGGTACGCGGTGGACGTAGCAACGCTCGGGCCCCAGATTGCCAAGCTGCAGGACGAAAAGAAAACTGCTGGTCTCGTAAGGGCGGACGAGTCCAAAACCTTCCAGGCCGAAGAGTCAGAGCTTGTTGAGGCTTCCACCATGCTCACGCAGGCGTACTCCGTGCTGAAGCGCTCTCTCACCGGGACCGCATTCTTGCAGGGCTCCAGTGCTGAAACTGCGAAGGTACTGCTTTTAGATTGGGATGAGTACATGATGATCACGACAAAGAGGAACATGATGGATGAACTCATATTCTGGTACATGATATACGTAAACGCGGGACAGAGAAAGCAAGTCTCAGAAATAGTAACTTCCCTGTGTCCCCTTACTAAAAAACGCGTTTTACCTCTCAGGTGAAGAAGGTTGTAGAGGCTCTGTCCGCTGTAGTCTCCGCGGCGTGGATCGACAACAAGTCGACCGACAAAATCAAGGCTTTCCTCGAGGCGGACGACGGGTTGTCACTCAAGCAACCGCAGGCGATCGTCTCGGCCTACGAATCTAAGTCCGGAGGTATCCTGGACGCTATCGAGGATCTTCAGGTACATCAATCACTTTATGGTCTTGATCTGCGTTTTGTTTGCAAGACTACGGGTACGACCCTTACCCTTTATTTCCGAGCCGTACTGAATCACGGTCTCATCGTTATAACTCTCATTCTGTGCAGGAAAAAACCTCGGAGAACCTGACGAAGCTGCGCGCGAAGGAGATGGATTCGAAGCACTCGTACGAGCTGCTGGTCCAGGACTTGAGCAACCAAATCTCGACGAAGGAGGACATGCTCGCCGCTGCGAAGCAGAACCAGGCCGACGCCGCGGAGGCCGCCGGCAAGGCAGGTGCCGACCTCGCTGCCACCAAGGACGCCCTGGAAGCCGATAAGACGCAGCTCGCAGACACCAAAGTATTATTGTCTCAGCTTTATTTTAAATGTCCACCTGTATTTGCGAAGTTAGATAACCTGCGTGAGTTGTACATTGCTCTGAATGGTGCCGATGTCAAGCTAGTACGCACTCCCGGGTGCGTGCAGGAAAAGCCAGAAAATAGATTTCCATTCAATCACACAAACACGGCAGTCCGACTGCCACAAAGCCGCTGACGCGTGGACCGCCCGCAAGGCTTCGGCTGAAGAGGAGATCGCCACGCTCGCCCAGGCGGTCGACATTTTGTCGGGCAAGTTCTCGTTGTTGCAGACCGGCACCAAGCGTTTCCACGCCAAGAACTTTGAGCAGCGGGAGAAGGCGTCCGCCCTGTTGCGCAAGCTGGGCCACAAGTTCAACAACTTCGGCCTGCTGCAGGCGGCTTCCTCCGCTCAGGAGGACCCCTTTGTGAAGGTCCGCGGCATGATCAAGGACATGATCATGAAGCTCGAGGAGTCGGCCGCTGCGGAAGCGTCCAAGGAAGCCAAGTGCAAAGCGGACATCGAGCAGGGCACGCGCGACGTCAAGATCAAGACGCAGCAAATGAAGAAGTACCAGACCCGGCTCGACTACCAAATGTGCAACTATGTCTGGGTCTTGAAAGAACATCAAGCACAGATAATGCTTGTTCCGAGAAATATCCCTCTGCATTTCTGTCGAGAAGGTGATTGATTCTCTGGAAAGAACATCTTGTTCTCTACAGCGCCGTTGAAAGTGAACAGCTTTTGCTTCCTACACAGAATAGAGATCAGATTGTTTCCCCTCCTTTCAGACCCAGACACATGATTTGCGATGCATAGCGACGCATCCACCGCTAAGAGCCAGCAGCTGACCGTCGAGATCGGCGAGCTTGAACAGGAGATCAAGGACCTGGGCATCCAGATGCGCGCCTGGACCAAGATGCGCACGGACGACAAGAAGGAGAACACCGCAGTGATCAAGGATGCCGAGGAGGCCATCGAGGCGATCAACGGTGCCGTGTCCACGCTGAACGAGTTCTACGGCAGCACGACCAGCTTCCTCCAGCAGCCGCAATCCGACGCCGCGAACACGATCATTGCGATCCTGCAACAGGCCCAGGAGGACTACCAGAAGATCCGGCAGGAGACCGAGTCTGCGGAGGAGACCGCGCAGACCGACTACGACAAGGACATGCAGGACGCCAAGGTTTCCCTCGCCAAGAAGAAGGCCCTGGTCGACGGCAAGACCGCGGAGAAGGCTACGTTGAAGGTGATGATCGCGCAGATTGACGACGACCTGGCAAACGCCACCAAGGCCTGGGAGGCCGCCACCGGGTTCCTGAAGAACAAGAAGGAGGAGTGCGCCAACAAGGCCATGAGCTACGAGGAACGCAAGAAGCGCCGGGAGGAGGAAATCGCTGGTCTGCAGGAGGCCCTGGAAATCCTGGCTGCGGAGGAGTGAAGTTCGTGTGACGGTTCTCACTGCTTCTTCTAAGAATATACGGAAAGATTATTGAACTTACGACTCGACACAAAATTGTTTCACCGCACTAGACAACTGTACTATTTTGTTTTTCTGAGAGCGTTGTCTTCCTTCTCGTCCTGCACATCGGCTTTTGAATGATTTTGCTGACCCCGCTCTCGAATTTTTGTAGTATTGCACCACCATCAGCGACTGACGTTTTCCGAAAATCCTGCACGGTGGCTTTACTCGATTGTTTGCACGATTTGTTTCGATTTTTGATAAGGTTGCAAGGACAAACTCTTTATATTAATTCTGAAGCAAAGGACAAGACTTTTCGATAGATAACTTTCAATTGCATAACACTCCTAAATCTTTTCTACTTTACAATTGCAGTTCCAAAAACATGTTCGTGTGCTCCAACCGAGTAAAAATGAAAAAGCGAAGCCGAAGACAAGATATTACGGGCAGATACACAAGGATTCAGGACGGGTCAAGTTTCGATTGCAAGCGAGAAGAAAATGTATAAACTCACTCTCAAATGAATTCCGGATCGTCCCGCGTACGACAAGAAAAGACGGCTAAAATGCGTCTTCGCGAACGCGATATAGGACGCGCAACGCTGAAATGCAGCCGTAATTTGTGTGTGGTGCGCAAATGGAAATGCGTCAATCTGATCATGCTCTCGCAGTTTTTTTGTTGCAAGTTTGTGGAAGATTCGTAAGTTTTGATCTATGGAAGCACGACATCTTACGCGATGCTTGAAATCGCGAAGGTCCAACGACGTAGTCCGCGAACTCTAACACCATCTCCTCCGCACGAATGTCCTCCCTCGGTGCAGGATAAATGATGACGATCATGTTGCGTTTTCTGTTTCGTTGAAAAGCAACGCAATACAACACAATGCAGCAAATGTTTTGTTTCATCATTGGGTCGCAGGCAGGATTTCCAAGCACAGCAAGCCGACGCATTCTTGTTTAAATCCCTCACGCATTTCATTAAAAATCAGCACTGCGCTTTTCGGAAAGAATGCCTGGAGCAGGTGTTGCGGCCGCTCTCGCCGCCTTCATAGGCGCCAACCCGAGTGGTGACCATCAGCCGGTCTTGCTTCCTTCCAGAACCAATTACGCTTTTCTTTCTCCGCGAGGACCATTCGCCACAAGCGATAACGGCGCGGGCGCGTGCCTCGGTACACAAGACCACACGATCTGGGAGGATGTAAAAACAGATATGAATGACTTCATGAAAACATGCATTCTGCAGGGCCCGCCGGGATGCGACTACCGGGGACACTGCATCAACGCGTTTGGCCACCCGGATAAACCCAACGAGGGTGCCGAATGCATGGCGCACTGCATTTCTGTGCGGGAGGGTTTTGACGCGCCGTGTGCAGATTGCTTTGGTAAACTGTCGCGGTGCACATTCGAGAACTGCGCAATGAGCTGTTTGGATCCCGAGGCCGCCATGTGCAAATCCTGCATTTTAAAATTCAAATGCGAGGAGAGTTTTAAGGCGTGCAGCGGTCTCACCGACCTTCCGGGCGCAAAACAGCCCGGCGCTGCGAGAGAAGCCATTGAGATGCCTGCGAGTTCATCCTCCACACCAGCAGCGGAGATGGAACCACGAGAAAATTCAACACCATCAAGCATCGTCATGTAGTGCCAGGCAGTGCGCAACAGCAATGGAGACCAATTCCTCCACTTTTTGAGAATACAGACGGACTCAACTCATTACGAGGCATGAACAAAGGTTGATAGCGTCTTGCTTGTGTCTTATGCGACAAAAACAAATTTTCTTCGAAAATGAAATGCATAAAAGAAACAGTCTTGGAATCTCTCGAATCTTTTAGGTAATATTTTTTGCAAAAATGAATGAAATACAAATATCTATGCACAATGAATGCATGCCTTCGCAACTCTCTGTGTGTGTTTGTGCGAGTCGCCACCTTTGAAAGAAAAGCAAAAAGAAAAACCACAAAAATTCCCAGCTATCTTTGTTTTTCTTTTCTTTCTGATCATCACATCCGAGATTCACGCTTTTCTTTTTCCTTCATCTCATTTGTTAGGATTTATTTTCATGTATAGGGATCTGATTCTGTCTCGAGATGGAAAGAAAAAAAAATATATGAATGATTCCGAAAAATTTCTTCTCCAAGATAATCATGATGATTGAAAGAAATCCCGATATCATATCGATTTTTCTCCCTGAGAAGATAATTTTGATTTTTTTCTTCGATTGAATGATCTTGATGCAAAATTTCAAGAATTGGATCTGATATTTCTTAGGATCAAATCGAGATTATCTTCCTCTCTTCATCATAGATATCATTCGTTCATCCGAAATATATCTTAGAACCCCGACACACATATATTATTTTTCGACCAGATCGACGCCCAGTGGTCGAAAAAATAAAAAATTTATGGTGGTCATGAAAAAAATCGAAAGTGTTGAGTTTTTTTTTTTTTTAAATTCACCGCCGCGGCTCCTTGGGCTTGTGTTTTGGGTCCGCTCATGTTCCGACTTCTTTCTGCTCGGGGCCTCGCCCCATCATCGATACCCCCTGGCAGTGTGTGGCGCTTCGAATCTCCATCACCGGGGCAGATGCCGCGTGTGTCGTTTCGTGTGGTATGTGCCGGCGGCGCCCACCACATGAAGCGAAGCGCTGCAGATTGGGAGGAGGCGCCTTTGTGATTGTCTTTACCGGAGGAGATTGGTTGAGCCCATATCAGCCTGCTCTTTTGCTTGTTTCTTTTGCGACGCAAATGGCCGTGAGTCCAGCGCGGACTCATGGCATCTTGCGGCGCAAAATGCACGGCAAAAAGTTGCAAAAAATCGGAAAAAAAATCAGAAAAAAATCAGAAAAAAGTCAGACAAAAGTCAGAAAAATAGGCGCGCGCAAAAAACCAAAGGGATTTCCCTTATGTTTGCAAAAGCGGCCTATTTTTTTGAACTTTTTATGATTAAAAACTGACGACAAACTGACGACAAACTGACTTTTTTTCGCCCCTTTCGCTGACTTTTTTTGCACCACAACCACCGCAGGTTGATTCCGAATCAACCTGCGATCAAGGCGTGGTGAGGACATTGGGGAGTTTGGCCTTCCATGTTTCCTACAGTTGTTTGGCTTGTGGGTGTTTTGTCCTGTGTTGTTTCCATTGTCGGGCGTCCTGGGTCGGTGGGTGGTTCTTGGTCTGGTGGCTCTTAGCCAAACCAAATGAGCGAAGCCGGGTGGTGACGATGTTGCCCGGGGTTCGGTATTTTCCCTAGCCCCAAAAGGCTTCGCGCTTTTTCAGTGCCCCCCCTGCCGGTGACGTGGTCCTTTTGGGATTGGTGGCTTCTTTGTCTGCATGAATTGGCTGGGGCGAAAATTTTTTTTCTTTGGGAAAAAAAATTTTTCACGGACATCATAGCTTTTTTTTTCACGGGCCCACTGGGCCTCGATCTGGTCGAATACTCAGGCAGACAGGTCCGGGCGGATTTCCGCCCTAATTGGATCCTAAAAAATGGCTAATTTGCGTCGGCGCCGTTGTCTCGGTCGCGCCCTGTGCGCCGGGTGGTATTTTGGCTAGGGGCCGGCTGCCGCTCTGCTCCTGTGGGGGTTTTAAAATTTAAAAATTCGGCGCGTTTTTGGCGACAAAGATGGGCGGAGGGATTCCCTTTGTTTTGGGGTGGGTGTTTCCTTTTCAGATGGGCGGTGCGTTGTTCAAGCTCCCGGAGGGGTCCTCCGCTTTCAACCCAATTAGATGACCCGAGCGGAGCTTGGCTCGAGTCATCTAATTGGGCAGTAAACAGCTCGCTAAACAACAGGCCCAAAATTCTAATTTGCGTTTCTAATCTGCAAGCTAACTTTTTCGCCCGCCAAAATTCCGTCTTCTAACCTGTCATCTAACCTGATCTAATGTGTCTTCTAACCGGTTCTAAGTTGCATCTAACTGTGTACGGGTGCGGAATTCCAATGGGATTTCCCTAATGTTTTTGTCATTAGGGAAATCCCATTGGAATTTTCGACCCTGTTTTGCGCAGTGGGGTGCAGATTAGAACATGGTTAGACGACATATTAGAAAGGGCCGAAAAAAATTAGAACACTATTAGACCACAGGTTAGATCGGGGTGGTTTTGGAATCCGGGCGTCGTCTAGACGACTCCGGAGGGGGGGTTCCGGAGGTAAATTAGACGGCAAATTAGATGTGAATTAGAGCACTTGGAATTCAAGCGCTCGCATTGCGAGTATTTGGAGTTCAGGCATTGGCTTCCGTTTTTGGTTTTCGAAATGTCCACGGCGGGGGCCGTTTTCCTTTTCCCTGGGTCCTCCTTCAAGCCAATGCCTGGGCTTCGCCCGCCATCTTGCTTCCCACATCTGTTTCCAACTTCTTTTTTGGCTTTGGTTCTGGGTTCGAAGGATTCGCAAATTAGCCTAGTTTTATCCCCCGATTAGAATTGTTAGGTCGCCCGGGCCTGTCTGCCTGATCGATACCCCCTGGCAGTGTGTGGCGCTTCGAATCTCCATCACCGGGGCAGATGCCGCGTGTGTCGTTTCGTGTGGTATGTGCCGGCGGCGCCCACCACATGAAGCGAAGCGCTGCAGATTGGGAGGAGGCGCCTTTGTGATTGTCTTTACCGGAGGAGATTGGTTGAGCCCATATCAGCCTGCTCTTTTGCTTGTTTCTTTTGCGACGCAAATGGCCGTGAGTCCAGCGCGGACTCATGGCATCTTGCGGCGCAAAATGCACGGCAAAAAGTTGCAAAAAATCGGAAAAAAAATCAGAAAAAAATCAGAAAAAAGTCAGACAAAAGTCAGAAAAATAGGCGCGCGCAAAAAACCAAAGGGATTTCCCTTATGTTTGCAAAAGCGGCCTATTTTTTTGAACTTTTTATGATTAAAAACTGACGACAAACTGACGACAAACTGACTTTTTTTCGCCCCTTTCGCTGACTTTTTTTGCACCACAACCACCGCAGGTTGATTCCGAATCAACCTGCGATCAAGGCGTGGTGAGGACATTGGGGAGTTTGGCCTTCCATGTTTCCTACAGTTGTTTGGCTTGTGGGTGTTTTGTCCTGTGTTGTTTCCATTGTCGGGCGTCCTGGGTCGGTGGGTGGTTCTTGGTCTGGTGGCTCTTAGCCAAACCAAATGAGCGAAGCCGGGTGGTGACGATGTTGCCCGGGGTTCGGTATTTTCCCTAGCCCCAAAAGGCTTCGCGCTTTTTCAGTGCCCCCCCTGCCGGTGACGTGGTCCTTTTGGGATTGGTGGCTTCTTTGTCTGCATGAATTGGCTGGGGCGAAAATTTTTTTTCTTTGGGAAAAAAAATTTTTCACGGACATCATAGCTTTTTTTTTCACGGGCCCACTGGGCCTCGATCTGGTCGATATTTTTTTATAGATTTTGAAATTTTTTTGAAAATTATGAAAAAAAAAATTAACATTGGTGTTCCGACATCAATCGATTTTAAAATTTTTTTTCCCCCTCAAATTCTGAAAAAAATTAATATATTATGCATGTGAAATTGATAATGAGAATGAAGATAGATTGATAATCTCGGACAGATCCTAAGAGACAGATACAATCTCATCCAGACATGACAAGAAAGAAAAGAATGTGAAATTGAAAAGAATTTCAATCCTGAAAAATTCACACAGAATATCTCAGATGAATCAATAATGAATTTTTTTTCGATCCCGGAGAGGTGATATTTCTGATGATATGACTCAAAATATGGAGAAATGGAATTGATCATGATGGATCATGATTCTTGTATTCATTGGAAGAATGGAATGGGAAAGAAAGGCGATGAATAATTTGATATGACATTGATTCCAATTAAATGTTGATGGAATGTTTTTTTTCCACAAATTTGATATGTCATTGATTCCAATTAAATGTTGATGGAATGTTTTTTTTTCCACAAAGTATGTAGAATCTGATGGATAATTCATATATGTGTGACACATCAAACATCGCGAATTTCACATGTTAATGGAACACACGCGATGTTAAATAATGTTTTCCAAAGAGGGGCGCTAGTGTTATGTGATTGTTTGGTTTCTCTTACTTCTCATTATGGGTCTATATTCGATTTCGCCACATGGCCTACCAGGCTAGAGAACCATTCGGTGACCAACCTCACTACATGCAAAAAATGTAGAATGTATGAGTTCAAGATCGGGAACATTTTCGTTTCGTTTTCCCTTCCTTCATTATCATTCATTTATCGTTTCTCATTTGAGGTTGTTTATGACGAATGCAACAGGAGGTCTACTAGGAACCACCCTGCATTTGAAAAGATGTCATGAAAAAGTTAAATTTTCATGTTCTTGTTCCATGAGAGGTTTGACGATGAGTCATGCTCTTCGTCGAACTCGAAGAGCAAGCAAAAATGGTCCTCGGTTGCCGAGAAGTAGATCGTGAAACAGATATAAAGTGGTGGCACATGCACCATATGGTATGTTGTACTATTTCATAATCCATCACAAAAGCCATGCCAGTCCCAGTGTCTTCATTGTTCGAAAAAAACCTGAGAGACAGACGGCTTTGGCAACGCAATCGCGGCATCAAAATCAATCCATTAGCATTACAAATTCAAATACGTCAAAACTGCATATTCAGAAAAAGTACTTTCATTGCGAGAAGCTCCAAGCCGTGAAAAAGAAAAGCCGTGTACTTCCTGTCCCTGCAGCCGCAGGGACGGGCAGTACAGTCGCGGAGCATGCCAATTATCTACTATGCGTACTGAAGTATCTATGGACAGAAACTCAAACTCGTCATGATCACTAAATAAACATCTTCATCGCAACATTTTTTATTTTTTCCCTGTGAGATGGCCGGTGGCTGCTAAAACGATGACCAGGACCAAGGCAGGGACTATGAGGAACCAGAAGACCCAACTATCGTGAAGAAAAATCCCCCGCGGTCTCCATGTTGAATGATGCCGTTGCAGTCTTCTTGTGCAGATCGATGAGAACCTGCTCAGTGATGCAGCAAGTCTTCACGGTACGCAGATTCCTTCTAGCGTGCTGTGTGGCGAGCAGAGTAGAGCTGCTCGGCATGAGCAAGGTTATATATACATGTGGTCCTAGCAGGAAAAATAATAAATATGGGGAGGGGGTGGATTTTTCTTCGGGGTACCAACAAGGATTCGCGCATGCCAGGACGACAGTCCTGGCATGCGCCAAGCCTTGTTGCACCAAGCCTTGTTGTACCAACAAGGATTCGCGAAGCCTTGTTGGGGCATTCGGGGCCCCCGGCGCAAAAGCTGTAAGCACACGCGCACAGCCCCGGACAGCCGCAAACCTGCGCGCTCCGAAGCCGAATCCAAAACGCCTCGGCGAGCCCGGGCACAGAAAAACCCCGAACCACCCACGTCGCGCAGGAGGTGTCAATAAGCTCGGGCCATTCATCAATCTGGAGTCGATGGCGAAAGCTTCGCGCCAGCCAGGAAATAAACAACTCACACTCCCCCAAGAGGCAATCAAGCAGCGGTCCTTCCGCCAGGGAGAGACCTACCAGAGTGCAAGGGCGGCGAAATGGCGGCCCCCGAGACACCTTTCGCAGGAAGGAAAAACGGAATCCCCCGAGACTGACACCATCCCCAGGAATGCGAAGTGGAAACGGAGTCCCATGAGCAATGGGTCTCCCGAGGGAAGGCGAAATGAAGACGGAATTCCCAGAGACACACCCCTTCCGAGGGAAGGAGACACAAATGGAATCCCGGGAACTTCGCAAAGCGAAAGCCTTGAAAACTTTCGGCAAAGAGCCGTAAAACAAAACGGGCGCGCGAAGCTTAGCTATAACATTACTCGCCTCGTCTCTATCGACCGGAGGAAGAAAAGCCAGACGCCTTTGATGAACGTGGCCGCCTTTCAAAAAAAATAGCGGAGAACTTTAGGCGCGAGGGTGTGGCAGCCACAAAACACAAAAAGCGCAGCAGCTAGATTCTTCCAAGGGGAGGCATTGCGAGGCGAAGGACTGATGGGGATGAAGTTGTGGTGGTTTACTTGATTCCATTCCACCACTTGATAGATTCCAGGTAGTAACTTGATTCCATGTAACTTGATTCCGGGTTTAACTTGATTCCATATAACCTGATTCCAGGTCTAACTTGATTCCAGTTAACTTGATTCCTTGTTTTACCAATAATAAACATGGGGAGAGGGTGGATTTTTCTTCGGGGTACCAGCATCCGAACTTGGCCCAACAAGGCTTCGCGCAGCGCAAGCAGCAGCACGTACAGTCTCGGTGGACCTGAATGCCCTCGTTGGCAGTGCGTGGATAGTACAGACGCTCCACCCCCCGGCAGCAGCAGAAGAAACCGGCACAGCCGCGGGCGCACCCAATGCAGGGTCCGCAGCAGTTCCCCTCCTGCACCTCGAGGTACAAATTGTCCATACTCACGGACCGCTCCAAGACCTTATCAAATGCAAAAGTGTCTGGGTCTGGAAGGTTGGAACTTGTGATGCTAACTTCGGACTCTAAGAAACTCTGTATTGCATGACCAGCAAGAGGAGTGTAGTTTGTGCTACGCGAGGAGGGCGTTTGTCATGCGGAGTAGGCATCCGGAAGCCCTCTGAAAATCTGTGATGCTAGGGCGTGCATTATAGTCGTCCTGGGTCATGCAAAACATGCATGACAAGTCTCAGAATCTTCCAGACCCAGACACTTTTACATTTGATAGACCTGCAGCCGGGACCAGTGCGCGCAAAAGTCTGTCCAACTCATCCAAAACTTGCCCTCGCCTGTGTGATGTCGTGTGAAGTTTCCTAGGCTGGCAGCATCAGCATGGTCGACGATTTCTTTTCAACTTTCTACGAAAAAATTATGGAAACAATTGAATTTTATTTGGAAATTTAATTTGACGATCATCCCCCTGCAGCGTTGTACTACTTGTGTTTACTTCTTTACTGCGGATCTTCGATACCTTTTACCAACACCAAGGCGCAGCACGAAAGAAGCTTGCTACTTCTAGCGATGAAGATCGCGTCGACCCCGTAGTTGCAGTGGTTGCTTTGTTCAAGACGAGCAGTGCATCAAACATGTCCGACTGGAGTAGGTACTTACTTAATAGTACCTCTAGCAGGAGTCTGAACGAAACAAGTCCAAGTTGTAAGTAGGTAAGTACCTTGTTTCATGAAGCATTTCTCCTTGGCTTTTGGGTACTTATCCCATTTTGGCGAGCTCTGGGACCAATCGCCGGTCCATTCGCCCGACCCCCAGGGATTGCGAATCAGCACCATGTATCCTGTGCAAAAGTATCGTACTCCTACTCCGTAGTAATTGCAGTCATGCATTACTAATTTTTTTCTGAAGCTAAATCCGCATTACAAATTTTATTTCTCATGCTGAGGAAATTTGTAATGCATTTATACGAGTACGATACTTTTGCACTGCATACCAGGCGGATTTTGTTCCCGGACTCGTAGAAGTCGAGCACGGAATACGCATGGTTTGCACGCAATATCCTGAGTAAAAACGTACCCACACCAGAGTTGTAACGCAAATCTGCATGCTGAAAATGTTTCTCATGCGGAGCTCCATGCGAAGCATTTTCTAGTCGTGTTTTGCAATTTGTCATGCTCCAATCAGCATGGTATGCTAGATCTCTGATGCTGCTGAGCTAGCTCAAACAGCACTACACTACGAATCCAAATTTGTCATGCAAAACAGCCAAAACTTGTGGACTTGTCTAGCCGATTCCCCATCTTGACTCTGGTGTGGGTACGTTTTTACTCAGGATACGCAACCCGAAGGCCTCAGCCCGCACTCCTCCCGCCGTAATAATGCTGCCGCGGTTGTGGAAGTTCAGCAACACGTTCCACATGTCCTGCGTGGCGTATCGTGGCGAAAGATTCCCCCCCCCTTCGCAATAGCCATACTGAAGTTGCAACAGGTATACCACACTACAACTAGGATTCGAACATTCTACCTGCTGCACAGGCTTGGGATCCGCCCAAAATGGAAATGCCTTCTTGCAAATAAACCAGGTGAGTTGTGCACCAGGCAAATCCTGCTACACGAACCTCACTTTTTCTTTTTTTGCGTACTTCTATTGATTTGCTGGGCGGGAGGATTTCGATTCTGATATGCTGAGGCTGTGCCCCTATGAACTGCAAAAGTATCGTACTCGTATAAATGCATTACAAATTTCCGCAGCATGAGAAGTAAAATTTGTAATGCAGATTTGCCTTGGGAACCAGATTTGTAATGCAGGGCTCGCATTTATACGAGTACGATACTTTTGCACAGGATAGCCCCACCGCATCCCTCGGGAGTGCGACGAAGCCGTAGTTGGTTTTGCTCGGAGACCATCAAATGCAAAGATGTCTGGGTCTGGAGACTTGTGATGCTGGTTTGGGAAGGGTGGACACACTGCAATACGCAACCAAGCATGACAAGCTCTTGAGCTGCTATGTGTATGTGTTTCGTTTTCTGCATGGCAATAACTGTGCTTCTGCATTACAGGCAAGAGACTCTCATCCTGCTCAGGCATCACACAAGAGGTAGCAGTCATCCATGTTGCAAGACAAGCATGACAAACTTTTTACACTCTTACAGACCCAGACATATTTGCAATGCGTAGAGACGTTTGCTTCATGCGCTTCTTGTTTTCGTCGGGCGACTGCTGGTAGAAGTTCACCATTTCGAATCCTTTCCATTCTCCGGTGTTTCCTAAGTAAAAACGACGTCCCCGACCCAGATTTATCATGCACATCTGCATGCCTAAACTATTTCCCATGCGCAACCCCATGAGGAGCATTTCCTTGTGCTGTCTGGTGCTTTATCCTACACTAATCAGATAAGGAGTTCGATTCAGCATTGGTAATGCGGCTTCACTAGCCAAACAGGACTACACTAGAGTAAACCCAGAAGTGTCATGCGCAACAGTCAAAGCGTACTGATTTGTGTAGTAAAGGTCGCATCTTGACTCTGGAGTGGGGACGTGCTTACACAGGATACGGTGCCCGGGGCGTTCAGCTCGAACATGTAGGGCTTGTCGCCCGTCAAAGTATGAGAGTGCATCTTGTTTCCCCCTTCCCCTCATTTATAATGCTGTTTCACCCCTCATTTGTAAAGATTTGTAAAATGCAAAAATACCGAATCCATGTTTTGCCTTTAGGCTAGCCCTGCATAAGGGATTTATTTGGAACCTCAAACAGTGCGGCAAAATTCCGTGTGGAGATTTGGATTTCACATGCGGACCACGCGACATGATTTTTGGTTCTTTCATAATTTCTTGTGCTGCTGCTCTTGTCTTGCCCTTCAAATTAGGTGGGGTGGATTTTTGTACACTCTCATACATGGCCTGCAGCGCCCAGAGTGCCGACCCGCCCTCCAGATTCGCGTAGCTGCCGCAAAACTTCGCGAACGCCTTCTCGAGCAGCAGTGGCCACAGCTCGTAGTTCCGATACTGGGTGAAGACCGGCTCGGCGCGCAGGGTGCCGTCTGCGGCGCGGCGCTGCATGGTGCAAGGGATGAAGTCGTCAATGCAGATGTGCTATCCAGTGCAACTAGGTCTGGGTCTACAAAACGTAGTGTGGACGTTGACAAACACAAAAAGGCTTCGATGAAGAGGACCCACACACCAAAAGTGCTTGCGCGGCTAGTCTGCCGGAGAGGAGTTCCTGTTGACATACAAATATCGCGGTTTTGCAAAATGACAAAAAGGTGGTTGTGGAACTGTATGTCTTTGCTCTTCTTCTCCGCAAAGTATGACAAGCCTGGCAAGTTTCCAGACCCAGACATAGACGTATTTGCAATGCATATCCGCACCCAGGCGCCGACCGCGTTCCCGGCAACGTCCCGGCTGTTGCAAGCGTCATACAGGGTGACGAAGTACTTGCCCCGCACGTCCAAGAACTGGGTTTCGAAAATGTGGCGAACCGCGCCGCGGTGCTCTTATGGATTGTAAAAGTGTCGGGGTCTGGACACTTGTGATGCTGGGTGGCGTGTCATGAAGAGGCCACAAGTGCTGGCTGAGCATGACAACCTTTTGAGCTTGTAGGCGTTGCCTATACTGCATGACAAACTGCGTCTCTGCATGATAGCAAGATGCGGCTCTTGGGTAACATGCATGACAGATTTAAGAGTCATGCCAGACAAGCATGACAAACATGCAATGTTCCAGACCCAGACATATTTGCTGGTGATAGCTCCGCAAGGCACGCCATGGCGGAGAGCAGCCAGCAGTTGCCCAGCGCCCCCTGACAGATCGTGTTCGGACTTAACTTGTTCCCGAACAGTTTCACGGTCGGCTCCTGCTGTTATCCGAGTGCACAATCCCCATTCGCATTCCCCCCCCGTTATTTGTCATGCATACCCGACTTCACCACATCAAAAACCTTTGCACCGTCGCCGCAAGCAGCTTCGGACGCAGGAGATCTAGGGCGAGAACCAAGTAGTGCATAATGTTCCGGCCGTCTGGACGTTTTGCTTTTGGCTGTGTTCTTTTCATCACAAGTTGTGGACTCGATGTAGCCCAGGCTGGACCTCTCTCAGGGCGCAGCAGGTGGTTTGCCATGCAAAGACTCCTGCACAATTTCTTCTCAGGTGATTTCTCTTGGTAGTAGAAGACGAAAAATAAATGCACTCCGAATCAATCAATCATGAGTGGGACGATGGCCAGGGGGCTGTGCATCAATCGGATATCTTTACTTTGCCTTTCGCGTCGCGCTTCTCGAGTACGTCGGCGGTGAAGCTGGACGGCAGCTCCGGCGCGCGGATCCACTTGATTTGCTTCGGGTCCACGCTCAGCTGTTTCTCACCGCCATCGCCCTGAATGTTCGCGCCGATAGAGACGGAGGCCGGCAAGAACTCGCTGTCCGTGTACTTGCAGCATCGGCTGCTGCAGCATCCTATGCATCGCAAAAGCATAAAAAACATCGCACTATTAGTATGAATCGTATGCCACGAAGAAAGGTGCAACATGTACTACAGCTGTGTCCGGTTTTTACTTTTAATACGAAAGACATTTTCATCATCTTCCGTGTATGACTGCGAGGACAATTATCAGTGCGAGTATGATATAATTAGTTTTGCACAGGATACATATCGTGAGCCAGCAACTGCCACACACGGCGCCCAACGTGGGACAACAGTACACGCGGCAGGCGTGGTAGGGCATCACGACAGGGCAGCACATGGTGTTCACGCAGCAATGGCACTTGCCCCAGCACAAACGGTGGCAGCAGGGTTCCTCGCTCGCGGAGGCATTGGCGTTTTCCGGATCCTTGTCGGGATGTCCATCCTGGTCCGGGGGAGCAAACAGCTGCTCCCGAAACTTCGTATCAGTGTGCCGTGTCTTTCGCTTCGTCTTCTGAAAATCGGTTTCCGCAGCCGAGAGGCGCGCAAAGGTGTCGAACAGAAAATCCTCCGCGTTGGCTGCGCTCAGCCGCACGACTTCCGATGCCCCAGATGAAGGAGAGCGACCGCTTGCCTGGGCCGCGCTGATCCGCGCAACAAGCCCCTGGTTCTGTTTCCAGTTCAAAAATCCGTTTTGCGGGCTCGCCCGCAGAAAATTTTGGCGCAGATCCGCTACGCTGCTCAAAAGAAGTGGCTCCGCCTCACCAGCCGCGTCCTTGTAGTTCTGTGCGCTCTCCATGCCCTCGTAGTCCGCGATTGCTCCGTAATCCCCATGAGCAGAGGGTGGCAAAACCCAAGCGGCGGTGTCTTTCGGAAGGTTCGCTCCGTAGGTTTGCTTCGAGGCCGTGGTGGACCGCATAGTTCCAGAGCTTCTTGTGTTCATATTTGGACCACGTGCCGTGTCCGAATTTTTGGCGTTTGCAGGCGAAGATGCAGCAGCCACTAGTTGCGACTGTTTGGTCGCGCCTCCAGTGGATGATGCATAGGCCCCCGACGGAGGCTGTTTTATGATTGCACCATCCAGGTATCAAATGTAAAAGCGTCTGGGTCTGAAAGAGTGCATGTTTGTCATGCTTGTCTGGCATAGCTCTTAAATCTGTCATGCACGTTACCCAAGAGCTCCACTTTTCTGTGATGCAGAAACGCAGTTTGTCATGCAGAATAGGCAACACCTAGAAGCTCAGAAACTTGTCATGCTGAGCCAGCATTTGTGGCCTGATCATGAGACGCCACCCAGCATCACAAGTTTCCAGACCCAGACATTTTTACATTTGATACCAGGGAGGATGTCACGAAATCCGCCATGGCGCTGTAGTCGTCATGCGCAGAGTCCGGCAGTGCCCAATTATTCTTAAATGAGCGATACCCTTCCTCGACTTGGGGTTGCGGCGCGGCGTGCGGTGCCGCAGCTGCGGAGGAGACGCCGCGTCGGGGTTGAGCCTGGTGAATCTGGTAGGGCTCCTGCGCTGGAGCTGCATCTGCCAGTGCTGATGTGAAGCGGTTGGTCTGTCGCTGTGCCGTCGCATCTTGATTTTTAGGTGATCGCGCACGGTCTCTGTTGCTCTGACTTTGGTTCATCTTGACTGCTGGAGGTCCTGCACTAACTGGTGCGCTCATGCTGCCTACGCCGGGATATGTATTTGCTATGTAGTTGGATGCATGCGCTGGCTGTTGTTGACTTCGCGCCGTCCCCGCTTGAAGATGCTGCCCGGGTGCGTAGTAGTTGTCGCGCTGCTGTTGATACTTCTGATTGTTCATCTTCCCGCCTGGGCTTGTCTTACTTGGTACAACATCTCGTTTCATGGGCGTTCGCTGCTCACCATTGTAGAAAGATCCATTCGGCTCTGCAGCGTAATCGCCCGTCTGCGAACCGGGTAACGCCCAATGCGCACTCATGCCGTCCTTTTGCCTACATTGAAGGACCTCCTAGCGGGACTTTGAAGATCAACTACAACATCGAGCTTATCTTATGAATGAGTGGCGAAAAATTCAGAAAGAATGTATCAAAAATAACTTTTATGGCTACGAGCGCGAGAGAGAAGATCCTGGGTCAAGTACCGTGTTGTTGCGAAGTCGGCGACTTGTTGGACACACAGATATAGAAATTAAGTCTATGCGCGATGAAACTGGAAGCTGTATCAGAGTCTGTGGAAACACGACCGAGGCTACGCGATCGTGCCAGTGGTTGCAGGCAAATTCACCGAGAAGGCAAGCGCTTTTACACACCAGCGGTTGTAATGCGGAGTAGCGACTCCGCCTTATTTCCGAAACAGTTGCAGACATAAGTGCGGTTACCGAGCCAAAACATGTGAGAGCCATGGAAAAAAGTACTTCCCTTTACTCGGACACTACCTTTTTCGCGAAACTTTTAGTACAATGTGTGACAGACACACGCAGGACGTGCTTGGATCTTCTGCACCGACATTTTCTGATTCATCAAAGTGACTACAACAACTACAGGTCGATCTCCAAGGTGGCACAACCGAATCATGAAGTGGGATCGGCCTTTGCGGCTCCTGCTCGCGGCCTGACAACGGTACAATTTTGGTTACTTAGCAGACTGCAGCACCGTGGCGTGTGGTGCAGTAGTATGGGTACTATGACAGCACACCCATTTTGCGATAGTGCTGCGTATAGACGTTCTCAAAAAGCCACGTGATCTTGTGAAGCGATGAAGACGTACATTTAACACTGTGCGCGCGTGCATAGTTTTTTAAGTTCGTTTTTTCTTGCGAATGCCATCGAAGTAGCAAAGACAGCGTGATGCAGTTCTTCTTGCGGCGCGTCTGAAAAACAGCTCTAATGAACCGCGGCCCAGAGGGCTTTTGCGTAGAACGAATCGTCTTTCAAAGCCAGCAGCTTCGTATCTTCGATCATCTGCTTCTGCAGCGCGGCCGGACGGCCCTCGAGAAGCACTGCGCCCGCGGATCCGGCGCTGGGTACGCTGGCGAAAATTCCGTCGGTGGGGCCCAAGGAGATGCAGAAGGGGTAGGCCAAGTCGTCCGGGAGATACCCGTCTTCCGAGGAAGTTGCGGACGACATGTCAGATGAAAAGTCTCGACTCGTGCGGCGATCCCCCGAGGAGGTATCCAAACTACCCGTGGACATGGACAGAATGTCGGGCGCAAAGCCCTCCTGGCGCTCGATATTTGCGACCACAAGCGAAGCCATCTCCTCCGCGGCGAAGTAGGTTTTTGGCACCCCCTCCAGTGCTACGCAGTCGCCGCACGCGTACCAACCGCTGACCGAGGAAACCTCCGCCACACGCGAGCTGGAGGTCGAGGCCGCATCTTCCCCGGGAGGTGGTCCTGAGTCCGAGCTAGAAGCAGATCCTGACTGCTCGGCTGCCGTTGTAGAAGTACTAGACGCGGTTGCCTCATCTTGTTCAGCTGCACTCTGAAGATTTTCTGGTCCGTCTGATGCGGACGAATCTGCACGACCTGTGGAAGTAGATGTTGTCCGCGGCGCTGCCACAGAACTGGGCGTCTTGGTGCGCATCACTTGGAGACGACGGTTGACTTTGACGAACCCACGGTCGTCGAGGTGGGTCGCGGTGAGAAAGTGGTTTTGTGGTTTCACGCCTACGCAAGACACGACATTGGCATCGTCCTTTCTTGCTTGAAAGTCGGGAAATCCTTCGCCCAAATGCAACCGACATTGCCGCTTTTCCAACCTACGCAAATTTCATCGATGTAATATCTTCCCAGACAGAGAGTAGTTTTAAGTTTGAAAGGAAGAACCTGATTGTTCCATCGCAACAAACTAGTACAACCCTTGCAAAACCGATAAGCGGCAGCTGCTGTTCGGTATAGTCAAGACCACAAAGAACGCAACATACTCAGGTGCAAAGACACAACGTACATATAAAATTGCTTGATGAAACAGACACATATACAAGAAAAGGCAGAAATCGACAATTTATCTAAATTCTTACCATTGCTGCGCGTATGTGCTGGCTTCCAGAGGCAGTTGGAGCAAGAGCCGTGGATTGCCGTCGTACAGCCGCATTGGTTTTCGCCAGTAGTGAGCGATTTCGGCGGCAACTTCGGTGCCGACGAGCCCCCCGCCGATGATGTAAATTGGGTTCTATCAAGTGCAAAAATGTCTGGGTCTGGAAGAATGCAAATTTGTGATGCTTGTCTCGCATGACTCTTAAATTTGTCATGCGCATTACCCAAGAGCCCCATTTTTCTGTCATGCAGAAACGCAGTTTGTCATGCAGAATAGGCAACACCTAGAAGCTCAGAAACTTGTCATGCTGAGCCAGCATTTGTGGCGTCTTTGTGATACGCCACCCAGCATCACAAGTTTCCAGACCCAGACATTTTTGCATTTGATAGGTCCTTCGTCGCCACAAGCTCGCTGCTTTTTTGTATTGTGAGGAAAAATCCCCCCTCCCCATATCGACAACGAAGTTTGTGTTGCTGTATTTGAGTACACAAAGCGACTTGTATTGCTAGAAGGCCAGGAGTCGCAGTTGCTCCCTCCTTTGCAGGCAATTTGGCATGCTGTTTCCCGTTTCCTGTTGCTTCCCGTCATGTTGAAGACGCAAGGCTTTCCCACGCCAGCCAGCCCTACAATCCGCATCTAGTATTCCCTTCTAGCATGACAACGCGATTTGTGATCACAAATCATGCTAGACAAACCTCCCTTTGCGTATGAGGAGGGGGGATTTTTCATTTCGATATTTTGGCGGAGGCTGTCGAGCCGCTCGCCGAGCGTGGAGAAGTTCTGTTTCCAGATGCCGTTCTGGATGCCCGCGCAAATCACGCAGTAATCGAAATCTAGCTCGCGCGTGGTTCCTGCTCCGCTCGTCCCGTCGGCGGCGGGGGCGATGCTGCAATGCCCCCCACTTGGCGCGGTGGAGGAAGAAGATACCGCCGCGGTTTTCTGCTTGTACGTAACGTGGTGTATCATGCAGAAAAAAGCAGGCAGGCGACATGCAGGGAATGTAATGCAAAAAATAATTATCACACAAATCTGTCATGGGTGAGCCTATAGCTTGCACATGCTGATGCCGCTTAGGATAGTGCTACGCCACAAAGATTTTTCAATTTCTGTATGTATTTAGTATTCATTTTTGTATTACAAAGTAAGAAATTCCGTATCCCTGCCAACTTTTTTCTCTGTGATATGGTCCACGAGCTCGGTGACGTAGCCCTGCACGAATTCGACACCCAGACGGTCCTTTATGGATTGCAAATATGTTGTCTCAGTCTGGAAACTTGCGAAGATGCTAAAGTGTGGGTGATGGAACCACTTCCGAATGCAGCGAAGCATGACAAGCTTCCAGAACGATTTCTCATGCGCAGCCCCTACGGTACGAGAAGCTGCGTTTTTGCATGACAAAAGAGGCTGCGGCTTCTCTTGTTGGTCAACATGTGTATACAGATATTCCGGAAAAACCAAAAACGCAAGACCGACATTACAAGTTCGAACTTTCCAGGCCCAGACACATTTGCATGTGATAGCCTCCAGAATCTCCCGATAGTCGAATGTCAGCCGCTTGTGCGTCTGCACCGGCTGCGCCAGTGCGCGAGGCAGGCCGGGGGAAAACTCGTAGTAGCTCTTGGGGTCCACCACGGTCACGTCAAACAGGTGCCGCAACCGCTCGGCCACCAGCATCCCAGAACCACCCGCCCCGATAACGCACACGCGCTTGCCCGTCTTCGGAAAAAAGTTGCGCCCCGTGGTCGGGAGAAACGAGGCGATGCGCTGCATCTTCCTGTGTCCTGATGTTCTTCGTTCCTGATGGATGCGACGGTACTAGGAAAATAGAAAAACGCGGGCGGAGGCTGGGACGTTATGGTGAAATAAACGCTTCTTGACCACACATCTCTTTTTTCATACGCCAAGAGAAACTAACACTGCGAAGAAGTGGGTCAGGAAAAGGAAAAGGCGATCTATAAATATCTGTAACTAAAGTCTGGAGCGCAATAAACAAGTAGGTAAGAGGGAGGGCCTATACAAGTTTTTCTTCTTTATTTTCACTTTGCGTCGGTCTTGTTGATCTGTTCCATGCATGGCAAATAGGATGTTGGGACATCAAGAGAAAACACACTGGTCTTCAATGGAAACTCAAAGATGCCAACTCTCCAAGGGAAGACAATCTCATGAACATGATGATTTTCACATTAGAATATTAGAAGTTGCCGAGTTATGCACAGTTACTACACCACAGCATATAATCGAGCCGAGTCAATAAGTAGCTTGGTCATAGAGTCGAAAACAGAATGGTTTTCATTGACTCAAATCTTTGTACCGAAAACAAAATCCATATGACACCATGAATAGCACTCAGGATCGGAAGTACAGGTGGCTGCTTCCCTATCCTTTTTGCTGACAAGGTACTTATCCGAGGGCGACCGACATTTTGAATTTTTCGAGAAGTAGGCCGCAACATCAATCAACGAAAATCGTTCGCAGCTGGAGCTCGAGCTCCCACTCGTGTGCTGCACAATGGTAAGGGCAGCAGCCCCAGCCCTGCAGCTGCTCCACTGTCGATAGTACGCCTCAGTGTTCTGTCGACGTGATTTTATTGCGGTTCCACAATTGTAAAAGTGCATCGTACAAGTGGATGATTGATGTCATCTGCGAGTAACAGCAAGGCCAAGAGCTAGATCGTAGTTAAGTAACACCACTTCCCAATAATTTTTGTGATAACATTAAAGCATATGGTAGGGGCAGGGAATAATATCGAACTACGAAAAAAAATTTGTACAGGAAAATGTCAAAACTAAGAGCATCAGAAAGAAAAGTGCTCGGCGAGGAGTCGTCTTAGTAGCGGTCTTTTCAGGCGAGCCCAAGTGATAATTTATGAGAAATTCATGTCAAAAAAGGTGTAGTGCCTATTAATATGCACAATATTGTCCAAGCAAGTGGGTAACCGCGAATGGTCATAATTGTTATTCAGACGAGCGGGTACTATGTCGTGCCTCTTTATTTGCTTCGACGCCGTGGCACCGGGAGCACGAGGGGGCTTGTCCGCGTGCTGCGTTGAGGTTGTGTAGCTACTTAGCCAGTAATCCGAAAAAAGCTTCGAGAAAATAAAAAGCTGCTAGTGCTACTGCATGCGCGCGCGCGCTGAAGGTCAATAGTAGAAGCTTGGGAACTACGTACCGTAATATCAGTATAGATACTTTTTCATCAACTATATTCATCAACAAGAGACTTGGACTGCTATTGCTCGACCACGCAAAGCTATCGCATTGGTCGCATATTGTATTCTTTAATTGCGCCGCACGATCGGCACCTGCTTTTTGCCCGAGCATGTTTTAGGTAAATTATCCACTGAACATTGTCTGCTCATGTTCACACTGAAAAGCATCTTGCTCTGTCGGGTCTTTTTTCAATCGGGTGAACGAACTTTCGAGCACGCAGGCAGATGCGCATGCCTCCGTATCCTATAGCGCACAGAAGTACAGAGCCAGCAATTTCCTGGCGCGGCATCCTTACCAGCGCGGGCGCCTCGACTTTTATTACTCTTCTTCGTTGCTAATAAATTGCATTTTTTCCAGCGACGAGAGGATGAAGCTCTAATAAAGGTTCAACAGGTCTGAAACTTCCGCAAGGTCTGCTGTCGTGGCTGTGGCCGCTTCCACGATGCTGTGAAATATTTCCCGAGTCCCGGTTGCGTCGAGGAAATGGCGCGCGAGGGTCGTTAGATCAGCCAGTCTGCTGTAGTCGATGGCACTTGGAAAGAGACTCTGGAGAATCGAGCTATTCGCGATCTCCCACATCATTCCGCGGCGAGAGGACGACGCGGCGAGAAGATCGATCACTCGCTGCAGGAGAAACAAGTACGCGGTCAGGCGCACGAACACGAGCACGTGGCTATTGAGAGGAAAAGTCCCCCCTCCCCATATTGAAAACGCACTCGTCTGAAAATTTGTGATGCAGATTTGAGGTCACAAATCCTGTCTGTCTTGCAAGAAGGCAAAGCCAGAGAGTCCGCCGCATTATGCCGGCGGTTTGTGATGCTGTTGGGCTTATAGGGCCGACGTCTGTCATGCTAGTCCCCTACGTCAAAACCTCTCGACCGAGGCTTGGTAAATGCCTGCAGTCCTTTCCAGCAAGACAGACCCGATTTGTGTACGCAAATCCAGCATCAGAAACTTCGTTTCGATATGGGGAGGGGGGATTTTTCTTCTTGATAGTGGCGTCCCGCCCGGAGCGCAAAGGCTTTGTAGAGGAAGATCATCATCCGCATCACTTCCAACACAGCCCCCTCCTGCTCTGCGGCCGTCAGCAGGCCGGAGGAGGGCGAAAAATTATGCCCCCGAACGAGGTTTTCGCGGACGTGCGCGTGCAGCATCGCTTTCTCTTGTGCGGTACCGACTTGAAGATCCCCGGTGATGCCGTGCCATAACAGCGTGAGCATCTTGGTGCGCAGCAGGCCCGCGCCCTGCTTCCAAAGGAACCACTCTCCGGCACCGAAGGCCGCCTCCGTGAGAGGCGTGTGGTGAGCCACCAGACAGGTAAGTCTCGCGATCCAAGGCCTCTCTCTCTTCTCGACGCTTTCCGCAACCTGGCGCACAAATCGTTCGTGAAAAACCTCCTGAAATTTGTGCCACGTCGAAGATGGAGGTACTAGTACCTCGGCTAATCGTCGGGAGGTCGTGCCCGTGCTAGAGCAAGCTTTATTTTTCGGATGGAATTTGTATTTGATGTCCGGCGGTTCCTGCTCCCCATACTGCGGTGTCGCCCAAAAATCTTTTTGGGCGGATCGGCTTACACCTTTATCAACTTGTTCATCTGCGACCCACGCTGCCACCCGGAAGACCTCCCTGGGGCTCTCCTGAAGAACAGACCCAGGCCGCAAACAAAACTCTGTAGTAGAACTAGCCCGCCTCCTAGAGGGAACGATTATCCTCTCTGGTGACCAGCCGGACGAGTGCGCCGAACGTGATGGATTTTTGCGAAGCTTCATTTCCAAGTGTCCCACTTCCGGGCTTGCCGCTTTGCGCGAAGGAGAGGTGGCGTCCGATTTGTTCCACTGTCCGACACGCACCACGAGCTTCACGAGGATAATGGCGTATGCAGTCAAAAACTCCGAAATCGGTATCTTCGCGTGAAAATCTGTAATATTCGTAGCAGCCGTGGCAGAGGCATCTTCGTCTCGAACTTGATGCTGATGTGCTTCCTCGGATGTTGAGGCTGACCGGAAAAAAACTTCTCTGTCACCGCCTCCATTCCTGCTAGACACCACGCAGATGGTCTTCCTTTGCGCCACCGACTGCTTGCTTTCTGTTACTGCACTCTTCTCGGTGTTAGTCCTTGCCGCTCTGTCGGATATTTGTAGTACGTCAGTCGACGCGGAGTGGGTAAATCGATAATTGTCGGTAAAAAACTTTCCGAGGTTCTGCGGTTGCGGTTGCGGTCGCGAAGTGGGCTGAGGGGCTTCAATACGTCGGTGAAGCGGGAGCGCCTCACTACTTCTTTCTGCGCCGAATATTATCCGCTGTGCTATGCGATCGGCCAGAACGTCTAGTTCCCAGAGCAGCTGCTTCGGTTCTTGCAGTCGTGCCGCTCTCCTATCGTTGTGCTGTAGTTGCCCAAACTCGAAGACATTAGTATTCGTACTGTTCATCTTCCGCACTACTTTCTCATTTTGCGCCTCTTGATGTAGCTCTTTGTCTACTACTTGCTGTGTCGTACTGGCACTAGCACCTTTTTCGTTTGCATTTTCAGCAAAAACATTCCAAGGCTTGCCTCGTGGTTTTTGCACTTGTCGGGAATGCCTCGGCCTCTCGCGGTTTCTCGAGCCACGTCTTGCTTCCTGTGCGAGTTTATGCACGAGAATAAGAAAGCGTCGGTGCTGGGCGTAGTCATAAAAATTCTTCCGCGACGTGTAAAGGGTCCGCCTGTGTTGGCGTTCTTCACAACCTACCTCGGTGGTATTCATTTCTAGCTGCGCAGCGGAAGGAGATCTGGCAGCTCCTTCCGGGGCTAACCTATTGCATGCCGATCCGCGGCACTGTGCGACAAGTGTGGTCTCCCTCTCCGGAGGTCGTGGTCGTGGTGCTCCTAGTACTACAGGGGGGCTCGTCACTAGTGCCGACGGTGATTCCTTCACGCTGCTTCTGAGAGGCAGGCCCGGAAGTTGTATTCCGGCAAGCACCGATTGCGAGGATTTGGGCGTTGCTGCAAAGCCCAGCAGCACCAATCTTGCCAAAGCTGCACTTAACATCTTGATCTTCCTTGTTTGTGGCGCATGGGGGGCTTTCCTGCGGCGGCCAACACGTGCTTTCAAACTGATTCGGTAGCTAGACTAATTCGTGACCAGAAACGGGGTCGGCTATTATTTAAGGCTGGAATCTTCACTGTGGTGTGTCGAGAGATGTGCGGAAAGAAATAGCGCTAAGCCGAGTTCCAAAAGCGATAATAGAATCGAAACCGGAGGAAAAGAGCGTATTTTTGTTTCAACAACTACTAGTCGTATGTGATTGGTGTAAAACTAAAAATCAAAAACCATCACAAAACGCGGCACGCACCGTGTCCGGCCTGCAAAGATCCATGAACATGTCGGATAGTACGGGCAGACATGATATATAAATAGAAGGGGGGTTCTTGTATCGCTTGGATCGCTACACTCCTACTCTTCCTGATCTGCTAGAGGTGACAAGTCCCCTAGTTCATTCGATCCTTGGTACGGTGGAGAGACTGGAGACGGGGAACGAGATCATACTGAGAAGAGCGCAGAGCTGCCTCGGGTCGCGATAGTGATCAATGAGTATATGTGCGAAGCCATACTTTTTTGTGGGAGTTTTGGATCCACGCACGAAAAAACTGTCGTGTGGTCCAATAAGTCAAGATCTCGATGAGAGTACACGAGCGCACACAAGCACAGCGACGATTCGCAGTGCTCTTTATGAGT